TCAAGAAATCAGCTAAGCCTTCTTGGGGTCCATGCTTGATCCCCAAAAGGTGAGAAAAGTTCTTCTTGGAATCCTTAGAGCTGGCGAACCGGGTCACAAAAGAATGGGCCAACTCCCTGAAATTCCGGATCCTTCCATTGGACAGGGAATCGTACCACTCTCGGGCTGGCCCGTCGAGTGTTACCGAAAACCCCCTGCACTTGATGGCATCCTCATACCCCATCATCACCATATACGGCACATATCTGGAAACACGGTATTGTGGGTCTGTCTTTCCCCGGTAGGCCTCTATATTGCAAGGCTTGTACCCCTGGGGTAGCGGGACGTCCTTGATCTGACGAATGAATGGTTTGGGAATCCTTACCTCATGGTTGGGGTTGATCCTGGCGTCCACCTCCCTTCACAGCTTGTCCAGTCTTCTCCTGAGATCATCGTTGCCCTGCCCCGCTCGTTGCCTAGGTGGGGATCATCGATTTTCACGGCTCTGCCGGTTGGCGTTGATCTCGTTTCTGAGATCTCCCCCACGCATGCTACGGCGGTGGGACGAAACAGCCGCGGATGATGCCTCCATACTCGGCTCAGGTCGGGATGAGATCCTGTCATGCACGGAGACCCTCTGTTCTCCGATTCGGTCCATCACTGAGGTCCTTGGGGTTGGCCTGGAACGATGGGAACGTTGAGAACAAGATGGTGGCGAGCCCTCCTAGAGTGCTCATGCCTCTCCTCCTCCTGCCGGGGCATGGACGGATCCCGACGAGGGGAAGGGGACCTCGCACCCTCATCAGGGATAATGCCCTGAAAGGCAGTGGTCAGAGTCTCCACTTCCCTTTGGAACGTCGCCAAACTCGCTAAGGCCCAGGCTGGATCAACATTAGGGTGAGTCTCCCTGTGCCTGACGTCTAAAACTGCGGCGGTCGTGTTGCTGCCCGCCTGGAACTTCCAACCCCTTGGAGATGAATCCTCAAATCATCCTGTCCCGCCATGTTGTCGTTGCGCCTTAGGATGTCACTCCGGCGAGACCGAGAACCTTCGTCCTCGATCAACACCTGTTCGAAACGATTACCGCCCATATTACTGCCCACACGGTTGTGGCTATGGGATCCAACCATGGTTCGTCCTAGATCGAGTTCTCAACGAGAGCACCAAATGACGGAGTTTGATCCAATTACGAGAGCTAAATCTACACGAGCAGATGGAAATTTGGCAGCGTAAGGCAGTGTTTTATTGATCAATGTTTCGACCCCCCTTTAGGAGGTTTACAAGTCTTATTTATAGGCTAAAGAACTAGTGTTACAAAAGGAAACTGATACAATAAATGCTATTAATTGCGCATTAGTTTGAATAGGACTCTTGTAACGTCTTGGCCGTTGTGCAATGATTGTTCCTTTATTCCCACGTTCCCGCCGTTAACTCCTGCCAGCTGCCGTTCTAGTGATAGCGTTCCATGTCAGCCCTAGGAATATCCCAGCCTCACTAGAACTCCGCCCAGGCTCGAGGCTTGCTTTCCCGCCTAGCCTGGCTGTGGGTTCCTCTCGTGGGCTTGATCCCTAGTTAGGCCCAGTGGTTATCTAACATTAATCCCGTTTAAAGGCTAATCCCGCTAATGCTCCGCATCCCGTTATGGCCTGGATTGTATAATTGGGCCATGGTTGGTGTCCATGGTAGCATCATCAGTAAAACTCACATCTAAAAGAATATTGATGGTGAATATTATATGTATTATGCGCGCACTAATATATATATATATATATATATATATATATATATATATATATATATATATATATATATATATATATATATATATATATATATATATATATATATATATATATAATGAGATTATGCAATATTGCAAGCACTCTTACACATTTGTTTTTTAAGACCGATAGTAGACAACCACTTTTATGTATACCAATTAGTGACTGGATCTTAGCGTGAGATGTTCTACATATTTATTATATATGGTTGTTAACTAATTGTGCCCAGTGCGCCTCCCACAGTGCACTATAATTGGTCTTAAGAAATAAATGATTTTGTCTTGGATACGAATCTCCAACAATAACCCACTATTAGCCTTAACAGATAATGTGTGCACCGCTTTGCGGGATATGACTTTGATGAGACAATTGATTTTCCTGTCATTAGGGGGAGATTTGAGAAAGAACTCTCTATTTGAATGACAAAATCATCATAATGGTACAACGCTACCCTATCTCAATGATAAATTTTAGACTTCAAAATGTAACATTGAAGTTAAAGTGTTTGTCAATTATCATAAATGATTTAAGTAATCAGATTATACACACTAACTGCAAACATATTTATATATAAGGCTTGAATTAAATTAAAAGACACAATGCTAAAGGAAGAAGCATTGCAATCACAAGTAGTGGCCGAGGTCGTGGCTCTCTAAAGGAATAGAGGGAAGCCACATGGTTCGATTAATTATCCACCCCAAGTAGTAGGGGGTATATAAGGCACAAACCAATATACTCGTCATCATATGAATTGATCTCACGAGATTATCTCTGACTAAATATGTCCATGAATCAATAATGGGGGACTTCCGAAGTTCAAATGATTTCAGAGAATTAAAATCTCAATGGTAATGAGAGTGTGTCTAACGATATATTTATACGGTTGCTCAAAGGAGTACAGAGCACGATGATATCAAACCATACTCTATTGCAATATGAAAGCAATGAGAATATTGGCCTAAATGTGTAAAAGTAATCCAGATATAAACTTAATATTTGACAAGGAGACATATATTTGGTGTGATAGTGCTAATCAACCAAGTGTAAAGCCTGTAGGACATAAAATAATTCTTTGTTAAAAAGCGTATTGAGATAATGAGGTCCTATCTATTCTCATAACGCCCTGGATTCAAATAAGAAAAAGTTATACTTCTCTATTTTGAACACAAAAATGTTCAACCACTCACTCTCTAAGTAGTCTCCAAAGTAATGGAGACATAGCTAAAGAGTGTGGCTATTAAACGTCTCAGTAAAAATTTATTTAAGATATATATATATGAAACGTGTGTTATGATTTCATTATCTCTAATCAAGTGGTTTTTAATTACATTGTATATTTACATGGAAATGTTCACATTTGGATTAAATCAATCCAGACGGGAGTGACATACTCGTCTAAGTGACCACTTGACTGAAAAATGGATGCAAAATGAATATATTATGCCCTGCGCATTTATAATTGTAATAAGTTTTGTTTCCAAATATCACTGTATCTCCATGATAGCATAATTGAGATAAAGGATCTTGGGAAACTCGGGTCTGTTTTGAAATTAAATACCGAGATGGTTGAATATTAATTCACCAGTTGCATATATCCAAAAGAGTTCTCAAGCAAATTAACATGAATAAATGTAAACTGTTAGCACTCCCATGATCGGTCAAAATATGGATACTTGAAAAGATCCATTTTATTGGGAGAAGAAATTCCATATGTAAGTACAATATGCGCGTGGTTGTACTTTGACAAACATATTCGACCAAATATTACATTCTCAATAACGTGTTAGCTAAAAATAGCTCAGGGCCAACACATCGTATATCGTCATTGGAATGGTATCAAGAACGTACTTTGATATCAATATGAAATGATTTTTGTAATCTTTAATCATCCCTTATAAATTGAATTAAATGATTGATGATAACAATATTTCTAAAGGAAATGAAAATATCAAAAGAATTATTCTAACACAAGGTAACGTGATTTGAGTTTTACTGATGATCGAATCCCCTTCCTCCATTGATATTTTCTTAATGAGTATATACTTATCATGAAAGTAACCATGATGTTATATACAAAATACCTTGATAAAAGTATATATCAAACATTGGTGTGTTTCACTCAGGGGGAGTCTTTACATGCTTATTTATCATCAAGTATATTGATGCGTTGTACTCTTTTTCTCTTTTGACCAAGGTTTATTTTTTCCCACTGAGTTTTGTTACTTGGCAAAGTTTTTTTTAATGAGACAATGTTGAAGAAAGAACATAATCACTATATCGCAGTCAAAAGTAATTGACGCGTAGGTATTAGTGCACCATACTTCCTTTTCACTTTTGACCGATGTTTATTTTTTTCCATTGAGTTTTGTTCATTGGCAACGTCTTCGCAAGTTAATAATTTGGGGAAATTTCCTACGCTCGACACACATTTGATTAATGTGACAAGTACTGAAATGCACATATTTTACAAACACCATTGATTAATGTAAATATTAAGAATAAATGTAGAGTTGAGGGGGAGTACCCCAACTAGATTACGTTACACTCTTTTCCTTTACCCAAATTTTATTTTTTCCCACTGGGTTTTGTTACTTGGTAAGATTTTTAATGAGGTAACGATACGTATAAACTTTAATGATCAAAGCAAAGATCAAATAAAGATAAACTTAATGAAAGAAGCCTATCTTGATGCTATACTCCCTTTTCTCCAGTCAAAGTTTTTTTTTCCACATGGGTTTTGTTACTTGAAAGAGTTTTGAAGAGGTAACAAGACACATACAACATTCTATCTACAACTCAACACAAGGAGGAGTGGTGAAGAAAATTATATGTTGTATGCTACCGTTCAGACCCGTACTTGTAAACTCCACTCTATAAACAATTCTTCCTTCGATAGCTTTCTTAGCTTTTTGCGTAGTCCGGACAATTCTTCACTTCTTCACAGGATGGGAAATCTGGATCCGACTCGCATGAGTAGCTCTGTTGGTGGAGTGGTGGGAAAATTGGACCAAGTGACCAAGGTTCGAAACCCGCAGCGGCCGTGTGGAGGTTACAGAACATGATATAAGGCTGAACGTCTGATGCGCACGTGTATAAGGTCTACCGCCGTTTTGGTGACTGAATCACCGTGATTAACCTCATCACCATCCTGTCGGATCGGGATGAGACGGGTAGGGCATTCAACCTGGACCAAGGAAATCTGGATCCGCGGTTGGGCGGTCGGGCCTACTCCCTGCAGCGGGTCATTCCATACATTTCCACCTTTAAGTTTAGGCACAGCCGCTGTACGGTGAGGTGTTATAATTTTCTGATTAGGCTATTAGCTGTGGCGTATGATTTGCCATATCCCGCCAAATCACCGGCCAAAATAGTGCACTCATGTCCCAAGGAACACTTCAGTGGCGTTCATTACCAAATCAGTCTTCAATGTACAGTTGAAATGTTAATCCCTATTTCAATTTTCACGTTGCTAATCTTTCTCTCATTTTTCGTTTCTTCAAGCAATTGATCAAGCCAGTGATGTCATTTCCTTTCTCTGTGTGTCACGTGTTTCCTGAGTTTGACCTTTACCTCTTGCTCTGTTGTATGATTTCGGATATTCGTTTTGTGCAGATGAGAAGCGTCGAGAAGTTGCCCGAGGATACTCGTAGCGCAGTCCGTTCTGGAGTTATCCTTTACGACTTGACGAGGGTTGTGGAGGAGTTGGTGTATAACAGCCTCGATGCATGTGCTGACAAGGTAACTATAGCACCATTTGTAATCATCTGAATTCCCAAGTAGTGGAGGTAGCTTACGTAAGTTGTGTATAATTACTTTGGATGTTTGGGTATCACTGATCCGAATGGTTGTATGGTCTGCTGGTGTTACCGTCCATATTTAGTTTTTTTCTAGCGCACCTGGACTCGTTGTTTGAGTTATAAGGGCTAAAACATAGTCATTCTGACAGGTATCCATTTCAGTGGGCGTTAGGGCATGCTATGTCAAAGTGGTGGACAATGGTATATTCAAGACTGTTTTCTTTTCAGACCCACTCACATTTGTTTGCTTGCCGACAGGTTTTCTCAAACCCTATGACATCTTCACGTGCCTCACATCATTTTTCATTTAAATCCATTGTAGGATCGGGTGTTTCTCGAGATGGGCTGGATCTTCTGGGAGAAAGATATGGTAATGGGTGTGCTATTTCACTAATGGTTTGTTATCCAGTTTAATTCTTAAAACAAAAGGATCATATTGATTGAAAATAGTTTCAAGATAGAGTAGCGGTTTGGCCATAAGAAGTTTGCCCACTAATGGCCAACATGTATGCAACTCAGAATCACTCTCAAACTTAGAGCTTCACGTCATTTTGGAAGCCTCAACTGATTTTAAAAAAATTAAATAATGTCAGTATTAACTTCTGTTTGCACTTGTAGGTTTTTCTAATTTATCACTACTTCTTGCATTCAGGAAACTTGATGTTAACATAACTAAACTAAAACCATGGCACAAAATGACAAGCTATAACTATCTACTTAGTTGTACTTGTTATTGATAACTAATATACCAATGAATGTATCAGCAACGTCAAAATACGACCCTTTGGATGGTATAAACACAAGTACATTAAGCTTTGGCTATCGTGGAGAGGCGTTGAGCTCCATTGCAGATGTCTCTTTGGTGGAAATTATTACAAAAGCTCATGGGAGACCAAATGGATATCGCAAGGTTTTGAAGGTAGAATATTCAGATGTTAATTAAGTTGGATATCGCTAGGCCTGTGGTTGTGTGACCAAATGGATGGTTGGTTCCATTTCCATCTTGCTTTCCTTGCTTAGTCTTAATGACAACGTTTGATAAATAATTATTCTATTCAATTTATTTTACTACTTTTAAAATAAAAAATAACTTCTGAACGTGCATGTTATAGAGATCGTTCCAAACAGTAAAAATAGTAGTAGATTCAATCAAAGAATTCTGAGAAATCCTCAGATATCCTTAGGAAATTACAAAGCAGCGGAAGAAATTTAATAGAAGAAGTATAGAGGCAAGTTCGAGAGTGCCTATCTCTCCCAAGAGTCCCAGTTCCCATTCCAAATTCTGCCTACCCTCTTATTCTACTCCACTCCTATTTATAATAAATTCCCTTATGGGCCGGCCCAAGCTAACTAGTACCTAGCCCAAAACCCTTATTTATACAATATCACACTCCTTAGTATAATTCTACTATTATTATTATTATTGGAGGTCCATGTCCCTATCATATCTCCCCCCTTGAACAACCACCTTGTCCTCAAGGTGGGTGATAAGAAACAACCTTGATCTTCAAATTCATCTTCATCCTGACGCCTCTTCCTTCCCAGTACCTCCCAAATTTTTGGACCTTTAGCTCTAGTACTTGAAGCTGCATCTTCATGTTCTTCACTTCAAGGAACAGTAACAAGGTCCTCGAGGCAGAATGCTCTCTTATGTAACAAAAGTTTGAATCTTCCAGCATCTATGTTTCTTGTTGTATCCTTGGCCCCCGTTCTAACACCTTTTCAAGAGAATTGACCTCACTTTGGTCAAGACCTTGAACAAGCTCAAAAGCATCTGATCTCGAAACCCCGTTATAATAACACCTCAACATCTTCCCAGGGATCCAACCATACTCAAAACTTTTATGAGAGCCATTGGAAAAACTCAAATCGTAATTTCTGTATACTTCCATTAGCCTCTCCAATGTACATCTTGTCACCAGTAAAGATGTGTCTCTTAGTGTATCAGCAACGAGCTTCAGTATGTCAGAATCCTGCGGACAAGGATGAGTGTCTCCAGCAATTGCATTAATGTAAATCCGATTTGCAAGCTTGGACAATGACTGTCTGGTCAAGTCTACCAATTCACCTCTGTAAGTGAGTCCCGCAGGCCCGGCTCCTGCATCAATGAATAATTTGAGTGCCTTCCAGACATCATGTTTAGCCTTATCAGGTCGGGTATAAAGTGATGAATCCCAGGTAGGAGTTTCAACTATGAAATCCTTGTTGCGGTCAGTCAATCCATCTCTGCCATTATATACTGTGTGATAAAGTATCTCCCCATCAGCTTCAATTTGACCAAGAACAAGATCTCTACAAGTTGGAGCATCACCAGCAATATTGCCCAAAGCCCAGACAGCCTGCTCATGAACATCATTGTTGGGTGAAGTAACAAGTTGTATAAAATTAGGGACAGTCCCCTGTTCCATGACAATTCTTGTATATCCAGGTTGTCCCAGATGTAATATTATCAGTACCCAAGCAACTTCAGATTGCCATTGGGATAAGTCACTCCTTTCAAGGAGATATACAAAATATGGAATAGCTTTTGCTTTTTTCACCCCATATATTGGAAGGCTACGCTCAACCGACAGAAGCTTTTTGATTGGTATAGTTACTTTAGTCTCTTGAGAAGCAATGTTTTGAGTAAATTCTGTTGGGAATATTTTATGGTGTCCAATCTAGTTAAATATCTTTGTATTTGTGTAGTTATTAATTAAATGTGTAATATGGGCCACAAATGTATTTTAGCCCATTAGCCCTCTTGTAAGCCTTAAGTTAGACATCCTTATGTATAAAAGGATGCTAACTTAAGAGAAACACTAAGCCTTGATATTCATTATTCATGCATATCGGTCTAGAAAGAGAGAGTGCCGTTTCATACCCTAAGTTGTATTTCGACATCATTGTTGGTATTGAATCGGATCATCGTTTCTTCTCAACTCGATATATTGTTTGTATGATTGTGTGATGAATTTGGGAAAAACAATTGGTATCAGAGCCGAGCGTGAAATCGATTGAAATAATTCTGCAAAATTCAGAGCCGATCGAGAAAATATCAAACGAAGAACTGCTCTGTGATTTCAGTTTTTCATTGTTTTTAAAGATTTAGCTCTTGTAATCTTGTTTGTGATCGATAATTTGTAAAAGTTATATTGTTGGAATCGCCATCATCTAGCGAATTAACATCATATTTTATTTTTGGATTTCTCTAATGTATGAGTTTCGATAGTAAGATCTCGAAACTCAAGTTTCTCAAGGTTGCAGGAAAAATTACAGCTTGAAATTGATACAGGAGGAATCTCGACACTCAGATCTTCCCAGAACAGTTTTTAGAATTTTAAAATTCGAAGTTTTGTATTTGCAGGATCTCGATAAGCAAAGATTTCGAGATTTTAAGATTTCGCAGTTTGAGATTTCGAGATTTTAGGATTTCACAGTTTGGGATTTCGAGATTTTGGGATTTCGCAGTTTGGGATCTGGAGATTTCGCAGTTTGGGATCTCGAGATTTCGCAGTTTGGGATCTTGATTTTTTTTATACAGGAACGAGGGACAAGTTTGAGTTTCACTTTAAAAAATAAATAAAAGGAACGAGGGGTAAAATTGTCTTTTGAGACCCGCTGAATTTTGCAGCATTCGTGTCCGCAGGTCGCCCGCGCAGTGGGGTGCGAATTTTTGATTTTGAACTGAAAGCCGAAATTCCATGTGCGCGAGAGCTCCCTTCTTCTCCTTCACCTTTTAGTTTATTTTTTATAAAACTCCCACTTCAAGAGCTAATTTTGAGCCCATTTTAATTTTTGAGCTTAAATCTTCAACACCAAAGGTCAACCTTACAATCAAAGCTTTCAAGAGTCAACCTTGAATTAAAAAAAAATTAATTAATTAATTTCAAAAAAAAAATCTCAAGGGTAAGACTATTTTTCTCAAGGTCCAAGCTACATTTGAAGGTCCAGAAAATTGCAGAAACTTCAATTAACCTCACGTCTACGGTCAACATTCAACAATCAACAATGAATACCTCTAGCTCATCATCATTTTGTAAGAGCAAATGCGCTAAAGTTTCTGATGAGTCTGAGGTAAGCACATCCGGAAGTCAACAAATTATCAAGGATCTGGAGCAGAGATTAGCAAATAATCACAAAGTGCTACTGAAGCAGATGGATAATCCACCTCACTGTGCATACAATTGGATAATTCCAAAGAAGAGGTTAAGAAAATAACTTTGGAAACGGAAAAGCTAACTCTCGAGATAACTGATCTGACCAAAAGGTTGGAACAGACTGAGATAGAGTGAAACACAACAAAGGCTTATAGAGACTTTATTCTTAAACAAAGGGGTTCCCTTTACAGCAAAATCAAAGAACTCGAGGACTTAATTGCGACAAAAGGTCAAACTGAGCAAACCATCTTCCTAAACCAACAAAAGGACACTCGTTTCTATAATTCCAAAGCTGAACTCGGCCTCAAGAATCCATGCAATCTAAAGAAAGTAGATTGTATTCAACTTTATGACTTCAATTACATGAATCTTGGATTGTTTGAGAAGATGCCCTATTTTAGTGAAGATGAGACCGTTGTTGAAGAAGACAAGAAAAGAGCTAATCCTGCAGCTTAAGTTCCTTTTGGTTATGATGCATCAAACGAGAGTTATGAATCGAAAGAGCCTCCGGTGACTCCTGCTGAAGAGATTCCTACCTTTTATCTTGAAAAGAAGACTGTGCAAGATACAGAGGAACCTTCAACTTCAGAGCTTGCAGTCAAATCAGCATACATGTCACCTCTCATGAGAAAGTTTGTTGAGTTAAAAGAGACTTTTGATAAAGAAAAACAGGCTTTTAAACTAGAAAGAGAACAACTTTTGAAAGAAATTTCTTTACTCCGATCATCCTCTCAATCAAGCAGAGGCTCACAATCTCCTTCTCCTCCATCATCTGAGAACTGTTTTGAAAAATCAACAGATGATCCTGAAACTTCCACTTCTCACTCTGAGTCTCCTTCTCCAACAAGGTACCCAGTGAAGAGGAGAGTGGAAAGGAGAGGAGAACGATAGATGAGAGGTTAAGAAGAAGAATGAAGGAAGAAGAATCTCGTCTGAAGGATAGGAACTGATGTTCAAGTGCTCTCTTCTATGCCAAAAGGAAGACATCTCCTAAGAATAACTGCTCAAAGGTCTTCTACTCTAAACTGTGTTAAGTCAATGAAAACTTGCTGCTCTGAGTCTGATGCTCCCTTCCACCAAGATCAGAATGTGAATGCTCAGAGAGTTCCAAAGAAATCAGCTTCCCCAAAGGTGAACTTTGAGGGGGAGTACAAATTACCATGTTTAAGATATCCACTCAAGGTTCACTCACACAAACATTTGAGAAGACTCTCTAAAGAACCAATTCTCAAAGAGTATCTGTCTGATCATTCACTCGCTGATAGTGAAACCTCTCCTGCTCCAAAGCTCAAACAAAAATGGTTTCTTAAGGCTGAAGCTGAGAAATTAAGAATGTCAAACGCTTCTCAATCAACTAGCCTAGGATCACAAATTAAACAGAAGGTGAAACAGCTCTTCAATGCTGCAAAGGAAGGACCCATCTGGAAATGGATCCCAAAACATACTTAATCTGTTCTGCAAGGTCCGTCATGTGTGGTAACTGATCCGATTGCTTTACACACATGGCGGGTATGAAGACGAGCTGTGAGCAATCAACTGGTGCACATTATGAAAGGGAGTACTGGCACGTACACTCCCGAATAAGCTGAAAATCATCAAATGCACACCTCAACACCAACACGTGCCAAGAACGAAAAACAAGTGTTTATTCTGAGGGGGAGTGTTTCTTTTTTACTCCTACTGGTGCCAAACAACGAAGAAAGCACATTCCAAGGGGGAGTTTTCTACTTTACTCCCCGGGTAACAAACAACACAACTTGCAACTTTTGAGGGAGGGGTTTCATTTTTCTCCTCCTGATGCTAATCAATGTAAATTGCAAGGATTCTCCCAAGGATGCATTTTTTGAGGGGGAGTTTTCAAAGTTCTCCTCCCAAGTGCCAATTATCATCAAAGGCATCCTACTGAGTGTTCCAGTTGAGGGGTATCACAGAGAGAAAACAAAAGAGCAAAGAGAAATGAGAGATAAGTCCCAATGGCGTACTAAACCCAACTAAACCTACCCAAGAGACAAAGCCTAGAGTGAGTGAGTAACTGAGTGAACACTATGAGAGTGAGGAAGCAGAAAGCTCAAGTGAGCAAGAGAACAATAATCACTGTCAAATCTGTTACCTTTATTGTGCTATCAATCGAGAAAATTACTCCTGGTCACTCAAATACTCTGGACAATCCCCATAGGTTCAGAACTGAATTTATTCAGATCCCAGGTAGAAGTCGCCGCATTTTGTCCAAACGGCGCATGCACAACCCTACCCAAGACCACCCACTTATCTCCCAACTGACATGTGTTTAATCATATTTCATGGGGAACCTCATCTTTTATCACCGTCTCTTTCTGAGGCGACTGATACTGACTACAGTGGCCCACACCCCCACGCCACTGAACATTTATTGATCACGTCGTGTTTAGTTTCTAGGACACAGACGCACTTTTAAAGTCAGTTGCGGGTCTTCATGACCCGCGAGAACTCCCATATGGCACATCTACTATAGATGAAGACCAATGATTGGAAGGAAGTCCTGCTGTTGCAACATAGAAATCACCAACATGTTCAGGCCATCGCTTCAGAGTTATCTCTATAGTGATGATAACAGGCGTCTACATGACCCCGGGGGGCTACGTTATCTTTGCTGATCTTTATGATCATGCCATAACAACCAGAGTGACATCTCTTCGCCATGATTGGTTGGAAGTCCTGTTAGAGCTTTAATAATGCTTTTATCATTTTTACAGGTCACTCATCGGTGTTTACATTGATGTTGTGATAACGGAACACCATGGTGTCTCCGGTGCTTACCTTTTTGTTTGTTTTTCTGCATTGTTACACAGAATAAAAGAATAAAGGCATGACGTTCCGATTCATCGGATCGTCATGAGGGGGAGAGTGGTCCACATGCTGAAAACTCTCAACAAAAATCATTCTCGGATACTTCTCCTCCAAAATTAAAAAAATGACAACTCTCTACTATCTCAAATCATCAAAACTGCCAAGTCAGCTTCACATCAAATGGTCAGCTATGCTCACTAGTCAACCATAATTTTCCGCTGTGCCAACGACTGGTTCTCCTCAAAAGCATTCACCTCAAATAGTCAAAAAGACTACATTGTGGAGGAGACAGAGGTCGGATAATCAAATTCCATGTGCGTCTGCAATTCTTCAAGAACATTCATTCATTCCATGAGTAACTTCTGGAAGGCAAGGATTACAAGCAAGATTTTCAAGATTTCTCAACCCCTGGCATCAAAGATCAAATTGTCAAGAAGACATCAAAGAGAAGATTGAAAGGATTTCTTTAGGAAGCCTTTTTAAGAAGTCGAGTTCAACATGAAGACAAAGGAAGCTGAGCTGCACTGAAGATCAAGATAAAAGAGGAGCAACTCAACAAATTTTATCTACGCTCTCCTCTACATTGCTGAACAAGCACAAAGACAAAGATATCTGCGCTGCAATGTTGATTGAACATCAAGGGGGAGATTGTTAGGAATATTTTACGGTGTCCAATATAGTTAAATATCTTTGTATTTGTGTAGTTATTAATTAAATGTGTAATATGGGTCACAAATGTATTTTAGCCCATTAGCCCTCTTGTAAGCGTTAAGCTAGACATCCTTATGTATAAAAGGATGCTAACTTAAGAGAAACCCTAAGCCTTGATATTCATTATTCACGCATATCAATCTAGAAAGAGAGAGTGCCGTTTCATACCCTAAACTGTATTTTGACATCATTGTTGGTATTGAATCGGATCATCGTTTCTTCTCTACTCGATATATTGTTTATATGATTGTGTGACGAATTTGGGAAAAACAAAATCATTCTCACCCATTGCTGAATTTGTGTTCATGCCATGAACACCAGCATTCTCCTCAACCTGAATCTGCTCATCAAGAAACACTGAGCTAAAGAAAACTTCAACTCCTTTTGCCACTTCCCCTGTTGAGCTATGATTGACATTACCTCCACACAGCCTCATACTTTGCATTCTAGAAACCTTGGTGTTTGGCTGTTGCCCCATCTCAAGTCTCAACCTTGTGGAAAGATTTTTGATCAGATCCCGGTGAAACATTCAAATGCATACCAGTATCAGAAATGACCTGCTGAACTTTACTCAAAACCAAGTTGAAGAATTCCATAGAATCTCGAGGTGCATCAAAATCTGGGCGTTCAAGATAAGCATAAACTGCAGCAACCTTAGTCCTCATAGGATGTTCCCGAACCTCCACCCACCTCGTGGTAGAGTTTATAGTACCTTCAGTGCCTCGTGGATTGGAACCTTCACCACTAGGAGCTCCAGAAACAGCTTGCCCCAGTTTCAACAACACAACTTCAGGTGAGAATGCACCAATTCCTGCACCCACTAGAAAAGGTTGTGACTGATCCATTATGGAATTGGGCCTAATAGGAGATCCAAAAACATCAAGCCCAACATTCATCACAGTGATATTTGATTTCCACGTCGGTGCTTGAATCCTCCTCTGTTTTATATGTGACTTTTACCTGCTCCTGCAGTTGCCTTGACAGTTGATCCTTCACTTTACCCACACGAATTCCATTTGCATCCTCCTCAGGAGGGTTCAAACCTTCATGATGATTTGGCCGATATCTTGTAGTTTGAGTCGTATCATCATCTGGATCTGGTTCCTTGATAGATGGTTCAACCGGTTTCAACTCAGAGTTCATTTTCAGCGATGCAGTCCCTGGCGAGGAAGCCTGAGATGAAAGCTGCAAACAAAGAGAAACAGTTTACGATGGCAAACTGGGAACAGCAGTTCGCGACAGCGAACTGGAGACTTTAGATCGCCGCAAATCTGATGAATTAGAAGAAGTTGCTAACTGGAATGATATGTTAGCGTCGAACTCTGCGACCTATGAGAATCTGTACGTGACTGAGACGCAAATCTGTTCGTGTTCACGACTGAGAACTGTGAGATGAAGTTCATGTTTGTGAACAGTGACATGAAGTTGCGTTTGCGAACAGTGAGATGAAGTTCGCGAAGAAGCCAGACAACTGGACGGAAGTTCTCGCGACTGAGAAGAGACCTATGCACGCGACGATTCCTGCGAACTAGGCGAAGCTGTTCGCGATTGCTAACTAGGAGGAGCGACGGACGAAGACGCCTGATTTTCAATTGGCCTCCGGCATCTCGAAGGACTCCTGGCTTGGTCTCTATGTCGCCTGCGGTGACGTTTACGGATCCTGTTGATTCGACTCCACATCTCCGCCGCCCAATCAGCGGAGGATTGTTGATTTTGTTCGACCTTCTCCTGGTTCTTCTCCATCTGCCACAAACTTCTTTTAGCGACATAATTTCCACACCAGCGATCGTAGCGCTCTGATACCAATGATAGAGATCGTTCCAAACTGTAAAAATAGTACTCCTTCCGTCCCATTGGACTTTGCCATCTTTCCTTTTTTGGTTGTCCCAAAAAACTTTGCCACGTTCCCATTAAAGTGACTATTTTGTGGTTCTACTCATTTCTCTCTCCTCTACACAAATTTCAGCCACACAATTTTTACTATTCTTATTTCTCACCTAACTTAAGGAGTGCAAAGTCCATTGAGACGGAGGTAATAGTCGATTCAATCAAAGAATTCAGAGAAATCCTCATATATCCTTAGGAAATTACAAAGCAGCGGAAGAAATTTAATAGAAGAAGTATAGAGGCAAGTTCGAGAGTGCCTATCTCTCCCAAGAGTCCGAGTTCCTATTCCAAATTCTGCCTACCCTCTTATTCTACTCCACTCCTATTTATAATAAATTCTCTTATGGGCCGGCCCAAGCTAACTAGTACCTAGCCCAAAACCCTTATTTATACAATATCACACTCCTTAGTATAATTCTACTATTATTATTATTGGAGGTACATGTCCCTATCAGCATGAACTATTTCAATGACAATAAGCACATACCTCTTATTTTATTTTTTGATTATTTATTATGTACTATAAAAATACATAACATTAAATAGTTACATGAGCTACCTTTTTACCAAGATATCTATATAAGTCATTAATAAATAACAATATGCTACGTATATCATAACAAAATTTAAAAATAAAAAAATAGAGTGGGAGACCTAGGCACCCTAGGCGGTGCCTAGGCAACAAGCCACTACCCGACTAGTGCCAGGTGCCTGGTAGACCATGGTTAATATTCATAACATGAGATTTGTTAGTGAGTACCTGCTGTCTTATTAGCTTTATGGATTTGACAGGGCTGCAAATGTTTGTATCTTGGAATTGATGGTGAGAGACTAGATGTTGGCACTACAGGTAAACTGCCTAAGTACCTCTCGTACTACTGGTTTGTTCTCTGAATGAAATGCATATGGACTTTCTACTATTTGCAGTCACTGTTTGCGATTTATTTTACAACCAACCAGTCCGGAGGAAGCATATGCTATCCAAGTACCTCTCCTACTTTTTTTTGACCAAATTCTATTAAGTGTGAAGTGGCAGTGTTATTCCATCACTATGGAGTAACCTGATATGGTTGTGTTATTATATCTAAATTGGCAGCTCAAAGAAAGTATTACACATGATTAAAGAGTGTGTCCTAAGAATTGCGCTTGTTCACCCCAATGTCTCCTTCAGAGTAGTTGATATTGAAAGGTCTTCCCTTGCACCATCCACTAACTCTTGAATACTTCTCCCTATAATATGTCACATCTATTTCTTGGTATGCAGTGAAGATGTGCTGCTTCACACATGCCCTTCTCCTTCTCCATTGTCACAACTGGCTAGAAGTTTCGGGATTGAGGCTTCAAGTTATCTCGAAGAATTGAATGTTGCTGGTGGTCAATTCAAGCTCTCTGGATATATTTCTGGCATCGTTGATATTTCTTCATGGAAGGTACAGTTGCTTGGTGAACATACTGTCGTTTTGCCGGGTGTCTTGTTTTCCAAATCTTCTTCTAATCAATGATTGCTTGGTTTGCAGGTCGTTCAATATGCCTGTATCCCTTTCTTTTTGCACAGTGTCTGTCGGACCAAGCTATGCTATCCACATTCCACGGATTGCTGAATTTTTTGTTTGTTTTCATTGACGTTCAGTAATGCAGATATTAATTCAAGATTTATTTCCAAGGGACAAATACATAAAGCGATAAATAATCTCGCTGCAAGCTTTACCATTGGTTACCAAAATGATACGAAGAATATATCCCAAATATGCCCAGCATTTCTTTTGAACCTGCAATGTCCAAAGTCTTGCTATGATCTGACTTTTGAACCATCAAGGACCTCTGTGGAGTTCAAGGTGATTCTTTTTTGCCAATCATCAATGTATGATGTTTCTAGCCTCTACTAGATAATTGTGAAGGATCACAAACTATTATGAATCTACCTATCTACTTTTTCCATTTCATCTCTCGTGCTATCATCTGAGCCCAAAATTTGGTAGTATTTTTGTCCGAGTTTATTCCACTTTGGTCACTCAACTATAATAGCGTTTCTCGTTTTAGCCTAAAATGTGTGAGGTGGAATATTTTTTAATGTTGGCTATTTAAAATAGAAAACATCACAGCTGAGAGACAGAAGCGTAAATGCCACTAGCCCATTGTAGTTGAGTTGCCAAAAGTAAAATGAATCTTTATTTTTATTACATGGCGATATCTTCAAAACTGAATATTTCCTAATTACCACCATTAGTCCATTTTTAATAAAATAAGCAATTTTCCCATGTATAAACATGTATTGAAGGATTGGGATTCTGTCCTTACTTTCATCCGGGATGCTGTTGGACGTCTTTGGAGTAGAGGAAAATCTGTTGGTAAGATGGGATAAAAGTGATTCATATTTCATCAACAACTCTTTATCTTTAGTTCATGTGGTATGTCGACCTCTTATCTATATGATAGCATCATATCAGCATCCACTTTGTCACTGCAATTATTATACAGAATAATTATGTCTCTTTTAATTTTTTATTTGACAACATTTTCAAGTGGAACACATATGCGCATTTCTGTTACAAGTCATTCACATATAGAGGTTTTTAACTAACATTTTTCTCAAGGCCCAAAGTGGATTCATCAGCCTTATTATAATCTGGCGATAAATCTGAATTTGCCCAACCCAAGGCGGGGAAACTTGACCTCACACTATCACAACCTTTTTTGTTTTATTTTGAACCAGAGATTATTGATATTTGGTCTCCTAACACTGTTCTCTACTTCTCTTGTATCTTTTCAGATTTTCCTGTGGATTGTGAGATAGGGAAAAAGAGGCGTCAGGTGCTGAATTGTCTGGTACCTGAGGGGACTCCTCCAAAGTCAAGGAAGCTAGTTGAAGAGTTCAATAATTCCATTGCCAGCAGACAGATTCCATCTTCACTTGCAAATTTCAATGCATTTGTTCCCGAAAAGCTCAACACTGATTGCAGATTTGTTTGTCAAACCGATCATCCAGATCAAGAAAGTGATATATCTCCTTCCCATCGCAGAGAGATATCAAGCGGTCAATGCAGTAGTCACCGATGGATCCATAATATGTTCTCTCCTGGAGACTCTTATTTGGACAATGATCACTTATGTTTATGTAGATCTTATAGAAAAGCGAACAGTTTCTTTAGTTCAGAATGGGGGGGTTCATCTTCCAAGATTGATGCTGACACAGATAGGTTATATGCAGGCCAAGCAACACCTAGTAATTCCCTTGAACTTATTGACAATTTGGATGTAAGAAAACCCTTTCTCCAGAATTGCTTTTTACGCAGTACACTCAAACATGCTGACCCATTCCTGGCCACTGATGAGGAGTTGGAGTTTAAAATTGATGGAAACTCCAAGAGAAGTGCACTTAGAGCTGATGATAGGGTTGTTGAAGAAGTAAATGACATCAACAGGACAATGAATCCAACAAATGTATGGCACAATGAGAAACCAGATGTCCTAAGCTGTTCCAAGACAACCATGCAACACGATGTCACCAATTATGTAAGGAAACCATTTCTTAAGAGTTGTTTTATAGGCAGAACATTGAAATGTGGTGAAACACCTCTGGCTACTGATGAGGAGTTTGAGTTTGAAATTGAAGGCCACTCGAAGCAAAGTGCATATAGGTCTGATGGTATAGCTGTTGAAGAAATAGATCATTCTAACAAGGTTATGAGTCAATGGGACACATGTTGTGATGAACAACCAGATGTTCTAAGCTTTTTGAAGACCACCACGCAACATGGTGTCAGTGAGGAAGTAAGAAAGCCATTTATTCAGAGTTGTATATTAGGCAGAAGACTGAAACAAGCTGAAACAGCTCTGGCTACTGATGAAGAATTTGAGATTGAAGTTGATCACCACTTGAAGCGAAGTGCATTTAGAGCTGATGGTAAGGCTGTTGAAGAAATTGATGATATTAACAAAATTATGAGTCAAAGGGACCTATGGTGCAATGAACAACTAGATTCTCTGATCTTTTCCAACACTCCTAAGCCACATGATATTCAAGATATTCACCGAATACATTTTTTCCTTGGCGATTCAGTAAATTCAACATTGAACCCTGAGCTCTCAGCGGAAGATGGTCTCTTTTTACCTGACTTTGTCAAGCCATTTCAAAGATATGATTATTGCCCACATTCTGACACCACTCATGAAGATTTAGTTGAAAATTGTTTCGAGTATAATGGATATTTGAGATATGAATCGGCCAACATAGTCACCAAGGATTGGAAATATGACCTTAACAATATATCAATTGGTCCAGAAATGGAGTGTTTCCTTACAAGCTCCAAGAGCCTTTTCTCTGATGTCAAGGATCATACTGCTTTCAAGGACACTGACAATGACTTTCAAGAACATGATCAGAATGACACTTTCTCTCGAAGTAGATTAAATATATCTACTTATTGCATTAACAATTGGGGTGACAGTGGTATTAGAAATTGTTGTACTTCAAGACATAACTTCTCTTTGATTGGTTTTGATTGGGAGTCAAGCACAGTGGTCTGTCCTAGAAATTTAAGCAAAACGCCTGTTCCCTATAGGAGAGGTAGGAGATGCAAATCAGCTCCTCCATTTTACAGAAACAGGAAGAAATTCTCTGCCATAAGCAATTTCTTGAAAATAACAGCGGGAAAGATTAATCTGCAGACCTTCAATGATGGCACTGGTTTGCCAGGTAAATTGATATCTGTCAGCGAGAAACAAACCAGGCAATACGGTTTACCATTATTACTTTCAATTTTCAGAAACACACAACCTGAGGCAGCTAGAGAGCCGTTCAGAAGTAAATAGCATGAGGCCATCCAATCAATATGATCAATCTACTACGCTATACTGTGAGGGGACTTCATTCTGCGATGACATGTAATAGTATTTTGCAATTTTTTGTCAGATTTGCACCACTTTTTATTTTAATGACAACTATGAAACTCTATGGTTGCTATGATTTTGATTATGTTAATATTCATTCCAGACCAGAAGTTGGAATCATAAGTATTGATACAGGGAAATGCAGCAACAAGTTACAAATGGATTCCTGTGAAGGTGAAGTTATTCTTCTTGGTTGTGAAGATCTCGTCCCTCATTTTTCCTCTTTCTAGTGGGACAGTTTTAATTTTTTCATCATATTTGATGTATTTACTGTCCTGAAAAGTATGACCATAATCATCATAGGACATTTCCTTTTAATTATTCATTAGTACACAACTAACTGAAGTACCATTTCGCTAATATTCAGAGCTCACGCTAAGAAAGATTCAAGACACTGCAGTTTCTGGGAAAGAAGAACAGAACAGTCATCATCATATTTCAGTTCAGTCAATTAATAAACTTCACTGATTTTCTATATTCCTATTATGTATCATTATGTGCACTGTTGGATTTAATGCTTTCTATTATAATATGATAATATCTTCATTACACAGAGTAGAAGCGGATCACGCCATCTTAAGGATCAGGATACTATTCTTGATATAGCTTCAGGCACCTTGCACCTTGCTAGCCGCTCTATAGTACCCCGTTCCTTGGAAAAAAACTGCTTGGAGAGTGCTAAAGTTCTCCAACAAGTTGATAAGAAATTTATTCCTATTGTGGCGGGCAGAACACTTGCTTTAATTGACCAGGTTTGTAAGATGCTTTTCCATTAACATTGGCTTGTTTCTTTGATGATATCACTCATGCACATTGGGCATTTAGATATCTTCTTAGCATTATTTTTTCATTGCTTCCGAGGCATTCTTACATTTTTTAGGCCAAAAATTGTATTTTTGAGATGCCCCAAACAGGCATGCAGAAATTTATACAGCTTCACTTGCACATGGGGTTATAGTGATTCTCCTTTTCATATGATGACAATTCAATTGTGCAATTTTGGCATTTTTCTCAGCATGCTGCTGATGAGAGGATTCGTGTTGAAGAGTTGAGACGGAAGGTAACTGTGTTATATTTGTACACTATATGATGTTGATTCACTGTTACTTACAGTTGAGAACCTGTAGGTTCTATCAGGAGAAATGAGGACAACAACATACCTTGATTGTGAACAAGACCTTGTAAGTGCATTTATGAGCTATGATCCCATTCGTTTGACATGTAGAGAAGCCATGTAACAGGACAGAAAGAAAAGTAGTTTTGAATTAAAAATGAATGACAGGTGGTACCTGAGACAGGATTTCAATTGCTACATGATTATGCTGAACATATGCAGGAGTGGGGATGGATTTGCAACATCAATAGTCAGGGTTCAAGACCTTTTGTAAGGTACTCACTCCGTTCCTATTTTGTGTCTAGGTTGATAAAAACCAGTCTAGGAGAATTATTTTGGGGCAATAAATTGATCAAAACTTTTAATAGTTTGCCTAAAATGCCATAACTAAAGCCGCTTTATGTTCCTTTTGAGAAAATAAGGGCAACCTGGGATAAAAATATTACCTGTGCAAGGTTCCATAAATGGACAGAAAAAGGAAAAAAAGGTTTTATTCAATTTAGATTAATAATTAATTACTCGTAATGGAGGGAGTACACACATATATTATGGATCTATGGTCAACAAGACTACAGTCACTACATATATCGTTTGTTTGTTGACTTTGTTCCATCACATAAGTTGTGTTTGTAATACTAAACAAAAGTCGTATTACATCCAAATGTCTTATTTTTAGTCCAGATGTTCAATTCATAACATTTGTTTACAGAGTATCTCTCTTTGCTATTATGTTATATCATATCTCTATATCTTATTCTCATTGACAATATTTATTTACTTAATTTCTCACTATTTGGTATATAATACGAACTACGAAGTATAATATTTTCTGTTTCTATTCCGATTCATAATATTTATTTACTTGGCATCTCACTCTTTGACATAATTTCTCTCTTTATTTTTCCTTCAGGAATCTAAATATAATGAATAAGAAGCAAGCTATTGCCACACTTCTTGCGGTACAGTTAACATTTTTAACTCATTAACTTTCTGTTTCTCCCCTGGGGAGTGTTTGGTTAAGACTTCGGAGATTTCAGAGAGGGAAAGGGAGGGTTTCTTTTTATTTTAGTAATCTATATCTATTTGTTAGTTTCAAACCAGAAACAACTATATACTTAATTAGATATTGTATTTCTATAGTCTTGACTTTATTTCCAACCACCTAAAGCAGAAATAATTTAAAAAATGAAATCCCCAGACCAAACAAGCCTTTAGTGAATCAAGTGTGTGGCTAAACTGGATATCATTCATCACAGGTTTTTACTTTTTGTCCCATTATTTATTTGGGGGGTCCGTCATAGGTTTGTAACTATGTCTTTAACAAAAGAACTCATGTAGTTTGCTTATTTATGATTTGGCATCTACAATTGGAGTGTGTTGTAAATTTGTTTAACAAATGTGGCTGTTGTGGAGCATTATATATATGGATGGTATTGATGTTTCTGGTGAGGTTCTTGTAAATTAATTCTAAGGGTCGGGTATTTTCCTAGAAGGTTGAAGATCTAATGTCTTTAGATGTATTACCAATGCCTTGACAGTCATATTATTTCCTAGACAATATTTAAATATCAAAGCCTTGAAAGCTGTAAAGGAAGCACGAGGGAAAGTGAACAAGGAGTTGTATGAAAAGTTGGGTTCCAAGGAAAGAGAAAAAGATATTTATAGACTTGCTCGTTTTCATGATCGTGGGACTCAAGATATCGGAAAAGTTAAATGTGTGAAAGATGTCGATCAAAGTATATTTATGGAGGACGGGAAAATAAAAGAGAGGTGGAGGTCATACTTTGATACATTATTCAACGGTAATAAAGCACAAGATATTGGTGATCTGATCATACTAGATTGTATGGTAAATTGGGATTTTGTGAGAAGAATCCAAACGATAGAAGTTAAAGAGGCTCTGATAGGCATGCGGATGATCAACCTACTGAATATTTTAAAAGAGTATAAAAGGAGAAATAAGAGGGTATTTAGTTAGTTAACAAAAATTAGTTAGCTAAATAAGGCAGGTTGTTATTTCGGTTGAGACTTGGCTTGGAGATTGGGCACTGTATACCTTCTTTGATCTTCCCTACTTCAATAAACAATTGTTGATATGTTCTTAGGTTGATTCCTCTAGATTTTCTACTATTCTGTATTGATCTCTACCAGTGTTCTATCATTGGTATCAGAGCAGTCGTTTTTGGTGACCAGAATTGTTACTACGCCAGAAATTTTCCGCTCCAGTTGTGAATGGTCGAAACGAGAGCTAAGATGGAGGACCAAATGGAAGCCATGGAACGTAGCAAGGTCGCGATGGAAGAAAGTATGATGCAGATGAAAACGATGCTGGAAAACATCGCTGAAAGGATGGATGTGATGAGTGAAGAGTTTCAGGCGAGAGGAAGATTGCGATCTCATCATCGTCACCATACACCTTCGAACAGTCCAACAGCCTCAGCCTCAGGAGGTATTTCCGAACACTCAACTCCTATTAATCACAGGCGACATGATGAATATAATAGATTTCCAGTTCATACGGGTAGAACGGTTGATCTACCTTTGTTCAATGGGGACGGAGCTTATAATTGGCTGGCAAGGATGGAGAGGTATTTTAGATTGAATCAAATTGCGGAAGAGGATAAGGTTGAGGTATCAGTAGTAGCTATGGAGGATAGAGCTCTCAACTGGTTTCAATAGTGGGAACACCAAACGGAGGAGAAGAATTGGGTGACTCTTAAGGAGTCAGTTATTCGCAGATTCCAGCCTGATTTAATGCAGAATCCCTATGGACCTATGTTGAGCTTGAAACAAACATGAACTGTGAGAGAATGCATAGATGAATTTGAGATGATCATAGCACCTCAAAAGACTGTGGATAGAGAGATTCTGAGAGGAGTTTTTATCACAGGACTTAAAGAAGAGATAAAAACTGAACTGAAACTGTATAACTCCAGATCATTTTTTGAAATTATGGACAGAGCCTTATTGAATGAGCAAAGGAATGAAGCTATATATTTGAGAAGGAAGATGACTGATCAAGTGGGAAGGAAAATGGACCTATACCTGTTAAAACTCAAACCAAACCTGGGGAGAAGGATACAAAGCTAAACTTGACACTTCATGGCCTAACAACACTGGGAAGAATGTAGTAGATATTCATCATCATCATTATCATCATCATTGCCCTAGTGCCGCAAAGGCTCCCACCTACGGTGGGGTAAGGTGCCAGATCCAACCAAAATAGAAGCTATGCTTAACTGGCTAGAACCTAAAGATTTGAAGGGATTGAGAGGTTTTCTTGGGTTGACTGGATATTATAGAAAGTTTGTAAAAGGATATAGCAAGATTGCTTTTCCCCTTACACAACCTCTTAAAAAAGATAGCTTCTACTGGGATTTGAAAGCAGGCCAGGCATTTGAAGCATTGAAAAGAATCATGAATTCTCTACCAGTATTACCAACACTTGATTTCAACAAAATGTTTGTTGTGGAAACAGATGCATCTCGGACAGGCTTGGGAGCAGTCCTAATGCAAGATGGAAGTCCCGTGGCTTATATGAGCAAGGAGTTATCACCAAGAAATCAGAATAGATCAGTTTATGAAAGGGAAACTCATGGCAATTGTCCTAGCAATTCAGAAATGGAGGCCCTATTTGCCTGGCAGGAATTTTGAGGTTCACACTGATCAGAAAAGCCTTAAGTTCCTTACTGAACAAAGGCTAATGGGGGAGGAGCAACAGAAGTGGACCTCGAAACTATTAGGCTACAATTTTACAATCAAATACCAGCCTGGAGTGGAAAATAAGGTTGCAGACGCTTTATCAAGAAAACATGCATTGAAGTCTTTATCAATTGTCAACTGCCAGGAATGGCATGGATTGGAAGAAGAGTTAAGCAAGGATCCTAAATGTCAAGAAATGATTCAGAAGGTGATTTCTTATCTAGATAAAAATAAGGATTTCCAGATTATTAAGGGTTTGTTATACTATAAAAAAGGTTGGTGCTACCCAAAGAATCTCCCAGAGTCATCAAAATTCTGAAGGAGTATCATGACTCATTCTTGGGTGGACATTCTGGATACTTTAGAACTATGAAGAGGGTAGAAAACTTGTTCTAATGGCCGGGTATGAGGAATGATAAAGAAATATGTTGAGGAGTGTATGACTTGCCAAACCAACAAATATCAGGCCCTTAAACCTAATGGTTTACTACAACCATTGCCTATTCCAAGCAATATCCGGACATATGTCAGTATGGACTTTATTGGAGGGTTGCCTAAGTCTTAAGGGGAAGATACTATCCTAGTAGTTGTTGACAAGTTGACAAAATTTGCTCATTTCATTGCTCATTTCATGGCATAAATATTCACCAAGGAAGTGGTTAAATTACATGGTTTCCCTAAAACCATTGTTAGTGAGAGGGACAATGTTTTTTGAGTTCATTCTGATCTGAACTTTTTAAGATGGCAGGAACTGAACTCAGGTATAGCACAACATACCACCCTCAGATTGATGGTCAAATTGAGGTGATCAACTGGTGCTTGGAGACTTACTTAAGATGCCTAACAGGAAGAAAGCCTAAGCAGTGGAGTCAGTTCTGCATTGGGCTGAATTATGGTATAACACAAATTATCATACAACTTTGAAACAAACACCTTACAAAGCATTGTTTGGACAAGACCCACCTGCAGTAATTAAAGGAGATGCGAGAGGAGTTAAAGGGGAACCTTGCTAAGGCTCAGAATCTTATGCAGCAGCAAGCTAACAAGCATAGAAGGGATGTACAGATGAACATCGAGGATCAGGTGTATCTGAAAATCCAACCTTACTAGCTCAAGAGTTCGGCTAAGAGAATAAATCAGAACTTAAGCCCAATATATTGTGGACCATTTGAAATCATTGGAAAGATCAATTCTGTAACCTATAAGCTTAAACTGCCAGAAGACAGTAAAATACACCCAGTATTTCATGTGTCCTTAAGAAAGTCATATCACTTACTACCTCTTATCAGTCTCTACCTAAATGCTTAAATGAAGAGTTGGAGCTGCAGGTCATACCTGAGAAAGTGATGGATGTTAGGGTGAATCAAGAAGGAAAGGTAGAAGTTCTGATACATGGGAAAAACTTACCAACTTTTGAAGACTCCTGGGAACTTATGCAGATGATTAAAAGCAATTCCCAGATTTTCACCTTGAGGACAAGGTGATTTTCCAAGGGGGAGTACTGATAGGCATGCGGATGATCAACCTACTGAATATTTTAAAAGAGTCTATAAAAGGAGGAATAAGAGGGTAGTTAGTTAGTTAACAAAAATTAGTTAGCTAACTGTTGACATTCCTGCATGGATGATAGCTATAAAGAGAAGGTGGATAGCTAAATAAGGGATGTTGTTATTTCGGTTGAGACTTGGCTTGGAGATTAGGCATCTCGAATTGTCTTGGGCACTGTATACCTTCTTTGATCTTCCCTACTTCAATAAACAATTGTTGATCTGTTCTTAGGTTGATTCCTCTAGATTTTCTACTACTCTGTGCTGAGGAAGATGGGGGAAAAATAAAGCAGTGAGTCCAGATGACATACCAATTGGGGTCTGGAGAAGTTTGGGAGAGAGGTACAAATGGTTAACAAGTTTCTTCAATAAGATTTGGAGAAACAACAAAATGCCAGTAATATGGCCGAAGAGTATTCTTATTCTGTAACTTAAGAGTAAGGGTAACTTATGTCTAGTCGCTCAACAATTAGGGTCATTCACCTTTTTTGGAAACTCGTGGAGAAGTCTAAAGACACTAATAAGGATGTACATTTGGTATTCATTGACTTAGAGACATATGATAGGGTACCTTGAGAAGTTCTTTGGTGGACCTTAACTAGAAAAGGCATATCACGCAAGTGTATCAGCATCATCATGGATATGTATGAGGATTGTACTACAATTGTCCGTACTAGTGTAACGAGGATTGTAGAGTTTCCTATTACTATCAGAGTGCACCAAGGATCAGCTCTTAGCCCTTTCTTATTGCCATAGTCATGGATGAACTTACCAAGTCAATTCAAGACGATATACCGCAGTGCATGATGTTTGTCGATTATATTGTATTGATTGGTGATACATAATGGGGGTGTTAAAGCAAAATTGGAAGTATGGAGACAAACATTAGAAAACAAGAGTTTCAGACTGAGTCGAAACAAGACTGAGTATATGAAGTGCAAGTTTGATGAAGGTAAAAGAAATGCTAATAGCGAAATTACTCTAGATGGTAAGGAGATACAGGCCAGTGATATGTTTCGTTACCTGGGTTCCATAATTCAGGATGGTCAATTAGATGGAGATGTATCCCATAGAAGCAAAACATGGTGGTAGAAATGAAAGAGTGCATCAGGATTTCTATGCGATCAATGTATGTCTACTAGACTGAATGATAAATTTTTATAGGACAAGAGTTAGGTCTGCATTACTGTATGGCGTAGAGTGTTGGACGGTAAAACAATGTCACATTCAAAAGATGAATGTGACAGAGATGTGCATGCTGCGTTAGATGTGTGGACATTCTAGAAAGGGTCGCTTGAAGAATGAGACAAACAATCAAACAAAAAGTGAGAGTTGCACCTATTGAAGATAAGATGCGAGGCGTGAGTCTCGCTTGCAGTGGTTTGGTCATGTGTGTAGAAGACCGAGTGACACACCTTGAGAGGTGTTTAGAAGAGGCAGAGGGTGGAGAGGGAGAGGAAGACCCAAACAAACGTGAGTCAGAAGTGATATGCTTCTTGGGTTGGATGAGGGTATGACTTTGGAGAGAGCATTACTGTATGGCGTAGAGTGTTGGACGGTAAAACAATGTCACATTCAAAAGATGAATTTGACAGAGATGTGCATGCTGCGTTGGATGTGTGGACATTCTAGAAAGGATCACTTTAAGAATGAGACAGACAATCCTACCAAAAGTGAGAGTTGCACCTATTGAAGATAAGATGCGAGGCGTGAGTCTCGCTTGCGGTGGTTTGGTCATGTGTGTAGAAGACCGAGTGACACACCTTGAGAGGTGTGTAGAAGAGGCAGAGGGTGGAGAGAGAGAGAGAGGAAGACCCAAACAAACGTGAGTCAGAAGTGATATGTTTCTTCTTGAGTTGGATGAGGGTATGACTTTGGAGAGAGCAAAGTGTGGACGAGTATTCCTCATTTACTTTTTCTTTCGTGTGGTTTTGTTTTTTCCTTTTACCTATATATATATATATATATATATATATATATATATATATATATATATTCTTTTTATCCTTTTTGTTCTATCACTTTTATGTACGGAGTATATGTTATCTCATTTTATACTATCTTTTTTATCATATTTTTTTTCTCATCTTTCTTTTCGTTTTGGTTCGGATATCATGTATCGATTCATTTCAGCCGGTCCCAAAATGTTTTGACAAAATGTTTTGAGACTAACTGCTTTTCACAATATTTAGATATATTTGTGTTCTTTACTGGATAGTTACTTCTACAGGAAGTCTGAGTGTTGATTTTAAATAAGTCTATATATGTATTTCTAAAATACAGGTACCATGTGTTTTGGGCGTTAAGTTGTCTGATGTTGATCTTATAGAATTTCTTCAACAGGTTCGTTCACCATCTGCTGCATTATAATAGGAGTATGTTCATTCTGGTACATACACAAGCATTGGTCATTATTTCATTCATCTGTATTTGTGGCGTGTAGCTTGATGACACAGATGGATCTTCGACAATACCACCATCAGTGCTCAGAGTCCTAAATAACAAAGCTTGCAGGGGTACGTTTTGTATTTTATACTGCATAGTTAGTGAACCAAATGGACTGGAATGTTTGGAAGTTGGAACTATGTCAATATAAGACTAGAAGGATCTTGGAAGGTGTTACATTAATTTTATTTCTAACTTTTCGGTGAAAATGAATGCATGAACTGGGCTGTTAACGAGCCGAGGCCGAACACCCAAAGCTCGAGTTCGGCTCGATAAGGAATTAGTAGTGGTCGGGTTCGAACTCGAAGCTCGACGAGCTTTACAAATGATGCTCGTGTTCGGCTCGATAAGCGTTCGATGTTCGAAACGAGCGTTCGATAAGCTCGATAAATATGCTCGAATTTAAAATTTTAGGGGATGCTCGTTAATAGGCTCGTGCTCGAATGACTCGACAAGTATTTGGTTCGTTAGTAATCATATTTAAATTCATAAAATTATACTAATTATATTTAAATTTTGAAATATATATAAATATATTTATAATTTCAGGTGTTTGATAGGCTTGGGTTCGAACCGAACCGAATATTACTATGTTTGAGCTCGGCTCGATTAAGTTTTCGAACATAAAACTCAGCTCGGGTTCGAGTTCGAAAGCTCGTTAAGCAGGACTCGTTAGGTTCGAAACCGAGCTCGAACTCAAATAGTTCGATAAAAGCTCGGTTCGTTAACTGCCCTATGCTTGGACTCGGGCCGGGCCGCCGGTTCCATATGCTTAGGCCCGAGACCGGCCCGGGTCTTGACCGGTTCCGGGTCGGGCCGGGTCCGGTTCATTTTTTTTTAATTCTTATTTATTTCACCCCCCACCCCCCCATCCCCCCCCAACACCCCAAACCCCTCGGAAATACCCAGCCCAGCCCAACTAAACCCAACTAAAACCCAAAAAATCAAAAAAAAAAATAAAACAGGCCCGCACCGGGCCCGGCCCGGCCGGGCTGGTTCTCCTTTTCCCTTACCCGTGCCCGGAACCGGTAGACACCCGGGCCTAGGCCCGAACCGGAACCGGATCCGGTTTCCCGAGCCGGGCCGGGCCCGCACAGTAGCGGGCCGGGCCGGTTCCCGGGCCGGGTGGCCCGCACTGAGTCCAAGCCTATTAAACCGCCCTAGCATGAAGTATACATTAAATTCCTTAAGGAATTATTTAAAGTAATAAATATCAACAGAGGATCTGAAATCCTGATTATAGTTTCAATCATCGAGACTTTAAATGATAGTTGTCATCTTTCAGGGCTGCGAATTGTGGAATTACATACACGTTTGGCTTTTATTTAGCCCTAATTCAACAGAACTTTAGATATAAATCACAAGTCATTTATTAGTGTGTTCATGGACTGAAATGTAGGTGCAATTATGTTTGGAGACGAATTACTGCCGTCGGAGTGCTCCCTTATTGTTGAAGAATTACAGCAGACTTCATTGTGTTTTCAAGTAAGCGAAAGATTAAACAAATCTCTGGAATTTGTTTCTCAAATTTTGAATGAGTAGAAAACCTATTAAAAAGGGATGTTTCACGACAAGCCCTTGTTGATAGGGTAGTAGGTAATTAAATAAAAGCAAAGCATGTCTGAAATGATGGAAGTGTCCCAATACCGGGGGATCACTGAAAAGTCAAAAGATAGCAGTCTGGGCTGGCTATGTACTGAACATGGAAATAGTAGTGAAAGCAAAAAAGATTCCTAGGGAAGTGTATTTTATACTCCGTACTTTGGGTTTTAAAATAGAATAAAAAAGCGCCCACGAAGAAAACATTTTACATCATATAATAATAAAAAAGACTTTTGTACACACTCTTATACATACTTTTGTACACACCTATGTTTGTGAAAGATTTTTTTTGTCTGTGAACATCGACTCACAGACAATGTGTTGCAAAAACAAAATATTACTACCTCCGTTCCCATTTTAACTTCCATATGGGTTTGGCACAAAGTTTAACCGGATTCACAGATAAAAAAAAAGCTTCACAAACATGGTGTATATAAGGTGTGTACAAGGATGTGTACATCAAGCAGTTTTGTAATAATAATATAGTAGCGAGTATTTATACATACCCGTTTGACTTGGGAATTGGTAGTGTGCTCATGGTAGACCAACGATGGTCCCGCTAGTGAATTTGGAGGCCCTGAGGGAAGAGATAGAGAAGATGAAATCAGGGAGCAGCGATTCGTGGCATGGCTTACGTCGCCATGGAATCAGTTTAGAGAGGATGGAGAGGCGGTTGAATGGATGACCGAAGCATGGATAGATAGATAGAATTTGTAAATGTGGAATTTTCACTGTACGTACGTATCTAGTGAAGTAGTAGTGTCAAGCAAGCACTTGTTGGTCAAATGTTTTTTTCTACGCTCACATCCAATTACGTCTTGTCTTCTATGTACGAGACCGTCTCGGTGCATATAATGCAGTGTCATACCTCAAGCTGCTCATACCTTTCTTACAGTTGGTGAACAATATAATACGAAGTAATATGTATGCTCGCCAGCTTGTGTATGATATGATATGGTTATGCGGCTGAATACACCGTTCATGACATTATGGTTGGACCTAGGTCGGGCCACCCGGCCCGTGGACCGGCCCGGCCCGCTACTGTGCGGGACCGGGACCGGCCCGTGGACCGACCCGGACCGCTACTGTGCGGGGGACCGAGACCGGCCCGGTTCTCGGGTCCGGTTCTCGGGTCCGGGTCCGGGTCGGGCCTAGGCCCGGGGGTAGGGCGGGTCCGGGCTCGGGTCTCAAATTTGGTGAACCGGCCCGGCCGGGTCGGGCCCGGGCTAAATTGATTTTTTGTTATTTTTTTTTCATTTTTGGGGTTCCATCCGGGTTGGGCTTGATGGGTAGGATGGGTTTGGGGGGGGGGGGGGGGGGGTTAGGAAAGCAAAAAAAAAAAAATCCAAACCGGAGGCCGGACCCGGTGGCTACCCAGGCCGGTCCCGGGTCCACCATTCCTGAACCGTCGGCCCGCCCGGGCCTAGGCCTGACCCGGACCTGGCTCGGACCCGAGTCCACCCCTACATGACATGAATACAAATATGGATACATGTTCCACAATTTACTGATACGCCATATAAGAAACATTTAATATAATGGTACAATTAGATATAGTATAGTCTTGGGCCCGTGATTAACTAAACATATGAGGAGAAGGGTCCGGCCCAAGCTTTGATGAAGAACATGTCTGCCCAATTTAGAGGAATACACTAATGAATAACAATGCCCTAGTTGAATTCGGTTCGAATCTTACCTTTTTTTGATTCCTTATAGAAATTTATTATCCTCCTAAAATAAATATATTTTACCTTCAGTTACATAAAAAAATTCAAATTTCAAATCATTATGAAATTGTGACCATTACATTATACATACATGATATACCAATGTTCAAATATCATAATAATATTCAAGTGCAAACTTTAAGCTTAAACATAACAAAAACATAAAGGTTTAAAATATGCATCAACTATCAAACCAAAAGGTTTAATAGCTCAAAGGTACATAACCAGTATCAGGTAGTTCAACCCCAAAATAATATTCTACTAGTAATGTATCATTAGTAAAAAAGTACGTAATAATAAACTGACCGATAATATTTGCAATTTACTATGAACAAATAACGACTTAATACAATTCCATTTTAGGTGAACTCAAATAACAAATACAATTACAAACAAATAATAAATATAGAAGTGAACTAAAGTAGTAAAATAACAACTACTCCGATTTTTATATGTATTTTGATGTAGTGTTTTTCAATAATTTATTTAACCGACTTGCCAATTGAATTTTAAGCTCAAATATGGTGGACGTAATCTATATTTCATGAACAGGGTAACAAAATTTCATCAAAAATTTCCACTCAGAAGCACCTCAAATGGAGATTACTCATGCAATGTGAAGAAATTCGGTTCCTGCCTAGGAACCAGAATCGAACTGGAACCGAACTGAAACTGAACCGATCAAATGCTATAGGAATCGAACCGAAAAAAGTTGAAGTCCAAAATTATAGGAACCGAACGAACCGAATCGGAAAATTCGGTTCTATTCGGATCGGTTTTCCCGGTTTTACGGTTCCAAATCCCGGGCCTACTTTGAGTTATCATCTCAAAAGCAACCATTGATTTATTATGGTCCAGTCCTGCGTGTAAGTTTGGGATTGTAAAAGTAGATATTTCAGGCGGATAACATCATCTCAAAGGGAGAGTAGTTTTTTCTTATATATACATTTCCCCCCAAAATATGACATTTTAAGTGTAGTGATTATATTTGCAACTTTAATCATAGTAACAAGCGGATAACACAAGTCACCAAATATTACATAATTTTTAATAAAAAAACTTATGTTCAATTTTTACAACTAAGTGACCATGTCACTATATTGTAATAATTTTTAGTCATATTTTGTAAATAAGTTTCATTTCATTAATATTTTTAAAAAATCTCAATTTAATAATAGAAGCAGTGAGTAATTTAACATATGCACCACTTTATTCAATAATTTAAGATGTAGTTTTTTCAAGTAAAGAAATTTAAATTCCTAGGTATAAAATGTATTAAGTACAATAAAAAAATAACAACTTTAAATAAAATGATACCATTTTCAAATTTCTATTCCAATCACGCCATGTATAAATAGTTCTCAATGAAGTAATAATGCCAAAAGTAAAACGCAACATAAAATGTGAATTACAATAACACTAAAACTCTCTCAAATACTCCGTACTACGTAGTAAAATTGATACAAAGAGTTAAAAAATGAAAAAGAAAAAATAATAACAATAATAATAATAATAATAATAATAATAATAATAATAATAATCTAATAATAATCATAATAATAATTGCTGAGGTTTATTCCTCAGGATTCAAAGGCCCAATACAGTCATTCCAGCTTCGTAGGAATGTCATTTAGTCATATGGCTCAACACGTGTTTAGATGAATGTTTAAAGCAATTAAAATTGCAAGAGTAAATCACAAATAAGTGCAAGTGGATCCAATTCTATTCCAGCAAATAGAAAGATTACAACATTATTGCCGAACGACAATTCCGACCCTCTAGGCAGAGCTGAAAGCTATTGGGAAAGCTAGAGAGAAGTATAATGTTAACATTTTACAATGAAATAAATCCTGGTATTTATACTACAATTGAATAGGTGAATGGATGATGTGGCTTACCCTGACTCGATGAACCCCAACCATAAAATCTCCCATATCCATTTCTGGTGTTTCCTGCCAATTGGCTTGGGTCGTTCTGCCATGGGCAGCCTGTTGGAGTGAGGAAAGAAAACCAAGTGAAGATAGCGAGCCGTACAACACTACCCGTGCGGCGGATATCGTGTGGTTATCTTGAGCTAGAGATATTTTCTGATGGTCCATGTGAGATCCGGGCTTCCTAGGGATATTTGGGCCTGCACTAGGCCGAGACCTAATATCCCAACACTAGTCCCCCCACTTTCAATGTTCCAAGCGGGTAGTAATAACTTGCCTGCCGACTTTGTGTCGAATGCTGAACTTAGTCTGATTGGTCTGATTGGCTTGGAGGGCCTTGCAGCCCGGACACTTGCATGTGAAAACGTGGTTAAAGCGGATGAGTTCTGGTGATTGTGCCGTTCGGTAAGAATGTTTGACCATTTGTTCGCGGATTCCAGATGCAAGGATTTGATGCTTTCCGGCTGCTGGTTGGTTTCCCTAGAATCCTAGATACAAGTCATGATGGCCTGTCTCCTTTGTGCAGCACGTGTCATTAGAGATGCTCCTTGCTACATCTTCCTCTTCGGTTTGTCGATGAAACGGGACCATGGTCTATAAATACTGACCTTAGCTATTTGCTCTAGGTTCCAAAACTTTTGCTTTCTCTCTCTACATAGCTCTCACCTCTCTCTAAAAACCCTAATTCGGATTTCGCTATAAATACTGTCCTTAGCTATTTGCTCTGGGTTTCAGAACTTTTACTCTCTCTCTCTCTCTCTCTACATAGATCTCACCTCTCTCTACGAAGCCTAGTTCGGCTTTCGGCTTGAGGTACCTTTTTGGGCCTTGTCTTCTTCCCTTCTTCCTTTTATGATCCATTCTCTATTCGGCTCTATGTTTGAGGATTTGTCTTCGAGCACGAAGAGTCCGGCATGCCCAGAGCCGCAAATCAATGAGACGGTTCGTAGTTATGCTGCTGATGCCACCGTCAAAGACATGGGGGACGCGACTAGCCTCTGGTGCCGGAAGCGAATCCGATGATGAGGCCGAGTCCGATGATGATATGGTCGTTGCCCAGGCCGGGCCTCCGCACGGGATCCCCAATCTTATTCCAAACCTGGTCGATTATCGCCTCCATGTCGGTCTTCATCCCCTGCGCCACCGTCCGGGAATGGTGGTGGTGCTTTATGTCTCCATTGTCGTTGAGATTCAATTTCCGCCCCATCCTTTCTTTGCCGCCCTCTTGAATTGGTATGAGGTGGTGCCCAGGCAGATTATGCCTAACTCTTACTGGGTTACCGCGGCCTTTATCGCTTGGTGTGTGGACGTCGAAGTGGTGCCCAACCTGGATATGTTCCATTAGTTTTTTTAATGTGGCTCCTCAGCAGACCGAGGGTTACTTGGTAGTGAGTGTCCGGACGGGAAAGACCCTCTTTACCGCCAACATGACTTCTATCAAAGGGTGGAAAGATCGGTTTTTCTTTGTTTCTGTCCCAGACGGCCTGATCCCAAAGAGGTGGAATGCTTATCCACCGTAGGTCCCCAAACCATTCGTCTCTGAGGAGCTGGGGAAAGATATAGTCACTTTGGAGAAAGGGAAAACATCCAAAATCAGGCAGTATCTAACTCCTGATCGTCTCATCTCCGTTGGGATATGTACCACTCTAATTCTTGAAGTTCTTGACTAACCCCAAAGTACTATGGTTCGGGCAGTCCTTCTCGTGCGGGAAAGATCCATGCTCTTTGTATTTACCAACCATGCTTAGGCCGCATGGTACTATCTTCTTTTATGATTTTCTTTCAGTTCCCAACCAATTGGCAAACCTGGGTGGCGGCAACATAAGGAAAAGAAAAGGCAAGACTGCTCCTCAGCCCCAATCTTTGGCCAACTCACAACCAGCTCATCAGGAGGCTGCAAGGCCCCCTAACCGATCCTCCTGTAACACCAGAAATGCTATTTGCGATGACTTCTTCCTATGCTCCCCCGAACGTCCAACCCGTCGATATTGTGATGGGGATGGATAACGACGTCGTGCAAGAGCCTTCCCACAAACGTCCCTGCTCGATAATCTTGGGTGACCCCATGCATGGGGTACTGGAGAACGATGGCTGCCCCGGTGAGTGAGATATGGGGTGCAACTGCCCTCCTGAACGTTCTCCTCATGCGGTCCATGTCTGTTGAGGATGCCGAGGAGAGGATTTTCCTTTTCTGCCCTCGGGGTAACCATTAATCCTGTGCGAGAATTTTCTTTTCTACATATCTTGTATGGATCTCTTGTTCTTTCTACAGGTCAGTTTTTACGGACTCCAGAAGAGAGACACTCGACAATAGAGGATCCAACAATAACAGGAAGCCCGAACGGTCGCGGAGCAGACAACCACAGAAGTGTTCAAGGCCGATTAGGAGGCCAGTAACAAGGCCGACCAGGAATTGGACTAGCTTCGTCGTACTCTTGCCACCGCCCAAGCTAAGATAGACACCACAGAGGCTGCTCGTATCATCTTTTATGAGACCGAGGGGGCGATCCCGGATGCCCCACCCGAGGTGAATGCTGATCTGGCGGTGGCCCATGCGGCTTTCTAATCTTCTAACGAGTTCGTCGCTGCTACCAAGGAGTACGCCCACACCCACATGACGGAGGCGTTTGGGGACTACCTGGCCCAATTCCCCGTCCCGAGCATCGCAACAAGGGGGTTGAATTGGCCGACCAGACCCCGATGGACAAGATCTGGGTGAACTCCATGGCCAGGAGGACTTACGTCGCTGGTTGTCAGCATATTCTCAGGGCTGTGATGCCGATCCTGCGCAAGTTTGGCCCCTCTTTGTTTTTCATGGCGGAGCATTCTAAAGAGTTTAAAAGAGCTCTAGCGTCAAGCGATACTCGAATCGTCATGAACTCTTTCCAACCGCCCCTGAAATTCTTCACGTCTACCGACACAAAGTGCCACACCTGGTTGCGGATGATCCTAGCAATTCCTTCTGTAAACAGTTCAAGGGATAGATTGTACCCCTGAACGCAGAACTGCATTTGTGTCAATGGGACCATAATCAGATTCTTCATCGGCTGGAGCTTGTGTAACACGAGCAGGGCATTCTCAAAACACCATAGACCATCTTCCCTTGTTCGCTCGATATCAACCTCGATGTGAAACTAAAATAAGAGGCTATGATCTCCGATTTCACGAATTTGAACCCCTTCCCCGGATCGCCTTACATCAGCCATAGTATCCTTAAAATATGGGAATTTGAACAACTTATCTGAATGCAGCCTTGCCACCATGCAAAGGGACACAGTCGCAGGTGGTTCCTCTGGTACAACCTCATCGATATCCAACCCTTCCTCTTCGTCGTCTTCTAGACTCATCCTGGTGTAAAGGTCTTCCATCTCGACCTCCATGCACGTAGAAACTGGCCAAAAAGCTTGGAAAAACAGATGTGAACAGTGATGACAGCAAACAAACCCTAGATGACTAGGTAGAGCGACTCTTTCCTCACTTCGGTTTTTAGTCTTCTTGGTTTTTGAAAAATTCTAAAGGTACACACTTTTTTGTGTACACACTTTTTACACACTTTTTACACATGTCTGCGGATACACATACGTTATGTCTGTACAGACATAAAAAAACCTTACACAAACATGTGTAAAAAGTGTGTACAAAAAAAAATGTGTACCCCAAGTTCAACTCTTGGTTTTTAGTCCATCCGGATTGAATAATAAAAACAAAAATGATGTTTGTACACATTCTTATACACACTTTTGTACACACCTATGTCTGTGAAAGTTTTTTTTTTTGTCTGTGAACATCGATTCACAGACAATGTTTTGCACAAACAAAATATTGTCTGTGAACCGGATTCACAGACAAAAAAAAAGCTTCACAAACATGGTGTGTATAAGGTGTGTACAAGGGTGTGTACATCAAGAATGGTTGTAATAAAAAAGGATGCGCCATGATAGTATGCACCACTAGAGGCACTATTGTTGTCGGGCTATGACCTGCTTGCTGTACATCATCATTGACCGGGCGAGTGCTCTAATTTCTGGTCTATAAATAATTTAATTTATTTGCAGCTGCACATTATTATTATATTAATATTGTTATTATTATTAATAATAATTTTTATCGTTCTTTCTTGGTAAAAGATAAAGAGATGTCATTTCCCGGTGATCCAAGTCACACACCAGGCGCCGCCCCGAAACCAGCAGAGATAGCCGCCGTCACTGATCCTAGGGTTCATCTGCGTAACCTCTCCACCGTCGGAAAACGGGTGGACGCGCTACAGAAATTCCTGTCAAACTTGGTTAACAGCAACACTCCTCTGGTCAGAGACGAGATGGATAGGGTGTCAGCCGAGCTCACCGACGCCATCCAAAAGATAATCGCCAACGGCGTCTCTCTGGTCGCATCGAATCAAACCGGAGGTACGGGGGAGGGTTCCGAGATAATCGAGATGGACGCGGCGGCGCTGATGGCGGAGCACATCCATTTCTGCGAGATATGCGGAAAGGGGTTCAAGCGAGATGCGAATGTGCGGATGCACATGCGAGCTCACGGAAACCAATACAAGACGGCGGAGGCATTAGCGAAGCGGCCGGCGGAGAATTGCCGCCCCCAATCGCATCCATCTCTATTCTCGTGCCCGTTCCCAGGTTGCTCGCGGAACAAATCGCACCGGAAATTCCGGGGCTTGAAGTCCGCAATATGCGCGAAGAATCACTTCAAGCGAAGCCATTGCCCTAAGGCGTACCCCTGCAACAGGTGCAACAAGAAAAGCTTCTCAGTGGCGGCGGATCTGAAGAGCCATCTGAAGCATTGCGGAGCAACGAAATGGAAATGTTCGTGCGGAACAAGCTTTTCTCGCAAGGACAAGCTGTTGGGACACATAGCTTTGTTTCAAGGGCATATGCCTGCTGCTGCGGTGGAAGAAGCAGAGAAGGAGGAGGAGTTGATTTTCCACAACAGTTCCATGGATGATGCAGATTTCAGTTCCTCATCAATTCAGACTTTCTGGTTTCAGAACACATTGGGAGGATCATCGCCTTCTGCTCTTGATTTTAGGCACAACAACTGCTGGGATGGACACTTTTTTATTTGATCCATCTCCATTATTAATGTTTTATGTTATATCCGATCCAGCCCAACTGCTTTTTTAACTCTCCATCCATTCATTATATTCATCCAAGTATATACAACGTATTTCTTTAGATCGAGCTCTTGTAATAAATGCTATGCAAATATTTGATCTTAGTGATTGTGTTTGCATTGAGGATAGATACATAGTAGTGCTAGTTAATTTGGAGGTTTCTTCTTCTTCAAGTTCACACCAACTTTTTAAATGGTCATGGGATCAACTTTTGCATTAAATTTGCCAGAATTTTGGCCGGAAGAACGAGGGGTGGTGAGGGGATAATGGCCACGGACTAAATGTGGACAATCCGAAAGTAAGAGATTAAATGTGGAAGTGGTATAATAGTCATGGGACCAAAAGTGGAATTTTTTCTTTGGTCAATGATCACAAACTTTGAATAATATTTTAATTATTATATAATTTATAAATATTAGACTTTTATGAAAATATTTTGAATAAGGAACAATTTGATATAATTTTCAAAGTTGCTCAAAGTAATTTCGTATTAAAAAATATCATTGCTCAAAGTTGATTGTCATTGACCAAGAAAAATTAATTTGGCGAACCTTTTCGAGACGGAGGGAGTATGTAATCTTATTATAAATAGTATGTTATGCACTTTATTTGCAATGTAATATTTAGCTTGCACTTTCTACAATATTAACCTACATTTTATCCCTGCAGTTTTGCACATTCACAGTGGCGGACCCACTAAGGGTCCCAAGGGGTCCCGGGACCCCGTGCACCTCGGAAAAAAAAACTTATATATATTATATATATTATTTAAAATTAATTATTCAATATATATTTACACATATAACAACTTTAAAACAACAAGAACGGAGCAGCGGAACGGGAGCACGCGCGGATGCAAAGTATCTATCTTGCGGGAAGTACCATGTTTGAATCCCGTTGTTTTTTTTTCAACGTTTTTAAGTGAAGGCACGGCCGTGCCTGAGCCTTAGGCACGGTCGTGCGTGTAGAAGAAAGCGGACCCAACTCTCTGGAACTTAGGCCCAATTCGCCAAAACAAAACAAAACACTCAGCCCCCCTTTTCCTTTCAACCTGCGATTCCCCCCAAGTGTGAAGACGCGAACTCACGAAGCACGACCAACTCGTGAAGCACGATTGCGGACTGCACGGCTCCACCTCTTACCACCGTGACTGCCGACCGGCTGACCGACGAGCGACGGCCATCGGCATACCGGAGAAGTGGCAATTGGCTCTCTCGCCTCTCTGGACTGTCGGTCTCTGTCTCCCCCTTTTCATCATCAACCAAGCGGCAAAGCCACCAAGGGACTCTTCTCTTCTTTTCTCCATTAATGACGTTTCTCAAGCTTTTTGGTGCGATTTTCTTTATGCTCAAAACTTAGGGTTTTCAATTTCTATGTTTAAATTAAATATACCAAAACTACGTCGTTCTTTTAATTGCTTTTCTTTGCATATCTTTTTTTAATGTTTGATTAAATTAATAAATTCATGTATTTATAAATGTTATTTTCAATTTTATACGATTTAGGATGAAAAGATATTTTGACGTTGTACCCAAATTTAAAGAAACTCAAAGCACCGGGTGTAGTTCGGGTGTTAATTCAAATGATCCACCATTAGTAAATGAAGAATTGGATCAAGTAATTGCTGAAACTGAAGCTAATTTGACTTATAATCTACCTGAACAACATGAGGATTTTGAATCTTTGGAAGCTGATGCTGGATTGAGAAAAATAATTGCTGATTTTCACCCTAATGTTCAAGACGAGGTACGTCGTAGTTATATTCAAAAAGGACCGTGTCAACCTCGGGACCATGATTTCCCTTTTAAGTTAATTGAAGGCAAAAAACGTAGATTTGTTTATGTCCTTCCTCCTCGTTTGAAGCTTTTGATAGGACATCTTTGCTTAAATTGGCAGAATTTTATCCAAAAGAGTTTTCTGACGTTGATCAAAAGATACTCGAGAATCAGCTTGAGAATTATACTTTAGATGTCCGTTCTGATCATAGATTTTCTGATTTGAATGGTTTAGTAGACCTTTCGATTGCAATGGTGTCCACGAAGAAGCATCTCACATATCACCATGTGTATACACTTATTTAATTATCTCTACTTCTCCTAGTAGCTACAACAAGTGTTGAACGATTGCTTAGTTACATATGTTGAGAGAGATATTTTTTGTACTATTAGTGATGATTCTATTATAGAATATTTCCAACAAATGAATCCTAGGAGGGTACATCTGTAGAATTGTTGAATGATTTTTATATGTAACTTTTTGTTTTATAATACTACCTCCGTCCCAAAAAACTTTGTCATTTCAAAAAATTTGAACATTGATTTTGATTAGTATAATATTATGGAAATTATAAATTTTATGCTTTTATGAAAGTTCTTTTAACAAAGCACATTTTCACGTAACTTTTATATTATAAATAATTTTCAATAAAAAAATATAGTCAGTCAAAGTTTTGAAACTGTCAAAGTTTTTTTGGGACGGAGGTAGTATATCTTAATGTTTTGATGGTGCACGTTAACTTTGAAGTGTTATGCTTCTTTAATATTTTTTTTATTAGTTTTACATTAATTAGAGATCAGAGATGTATAAGGGTAAGGACCCCGTGACTCCGACTTTCTGGGTCCACCCACATTCATACAAATATACAAGAGTGTAATCTATCAATAACCACATTCATTTTAATTATATATAAAAGTGAACTACTATATCACACTTCATAAAGTTCTAAATTGACATTTTTTACAAAATGAAATGCACTTTTGTAATGTGCATTTTAAATATGTACAAAAGTACACTATTATATGACATTCTCTTAAATTTCATATTGACACTTTTAAAGAAATGAAATGCACTTTTTCTTGTAAAACATCATACTTGTTACATTATAATGGTGTCTTCTAGTGTCACCTATATACATTTTTTTTGGAAAGGAAACAGTTTATATTATAGCAATCAAAGATGATAACAACCCCACAATCAAGAAATGCCAAACCTCCCTATGAGGCTCCGCATGGCCAAACGGCCCTCCCACTCTCTGACTAGACACAGAATAGACCACACTAAGAAGAGCGAGACTATTCGCTAACCATGTGAGAGCTTCGAAGCTTTTACCAGCCATACAAGCCTTATCGCTTCCACCCACAAACCTAACCTGAATAATGAAAAAATAACCAAAGAAACTGCGGCTAATGTCCGCAAAGCAAATCAAGAACCCACCCCCTTATTGTGTGAAACAGAAACAACGAGTAAATTTAGTCTGAAATAAAAAACGCAATAGAAATAAAATTGCAGCTGATGGAATTCTCTAGTTTCCATCCTTGCTATATCCTCCTGCCAAAGCTTCAATTGCGTGTCAGGCGGGCATTGTAGCCCGTCTCCTCCCCATTTTTTGCCAATTCCCTCTCTATCTCCATGCCCGCTTGCATAGATTCTTTCACTCCTTGGTCAACCCTCCTACGCTTCTGCTCAATCTTCTCTCCTGTAACATGATTTTCTTGCTCCTGTGGAGTCCCATAGCTATCCTCCCTTGATGCCTTATTACTGTCTTCACCTGCTTTCTCTTTCCATTTACCCACTGGAACTAACCACTTGTTCCCGCTCGACATAACCCTTCCCTTAACAGCTCTCAGCTCTGGTCCAAATGGTAAATCTCCCTCCTTTCCCACTCCATAGGGGTAGCGTGGGCACTACCTTTCTGCATATCCAACGACACCACATGCAAAACAGAAACTAGGGAGTTTCTCATATTTAAACCTGACACAAAAGTTATCCCCTTCATCTGACTGCAAAAATAGTTTCCGTTTTAGGGGCCTGGTCAGATCGATACTACCCTTATCCTCGTGAATGGATTCCACTTTGACTGAAAAATTATATTCATCCACTTTAATGAATTTTCCCACAAAGTTACCTATTTTAATTGCATTTTTCATAGAGAAATAGCCAACCCGAACATCGTGAATTTGCAACCAGAAATCAGCCCTGTTTAAGGGTACTTCTAGAGGTAAATCTCTTTGCCGCAACCTAGCCAGTACAATCAGGTTTTGCTCAAAAAATCGAGGGGCTCCTCCAGGACCCTTTGCATATCATTTTCGTTATAAAACTGAAACATGTACCTTCTATTTCCTAACTCAGTAATAGTGACACCCTTGACTGGTCTCCAGATATTTGCCATGGTATCACGAAAGGAGGAAAAACATACCGATTTTTCAGAAGTGATTGTTCCTACCAACGCCCAACCGATTTCATCACTGCCAGGAGCTGGAGCCTCTACCTGTAGAAATTCATCCTCATCTTCCATCTCCATGTTTCCATACGCACTAGCCAGCCTCTCGATCTCCCGTTGTTCGTTAATGTCCGTCATCAATCTTCCTAAAAAAGGTATTATTTTGCTTCGACGTTGCCTGCTTGTTCCGCCGTTACTCTTCGCTGCAGGCGAGCCCGTAACTATGTGCTGCACTACCTTCACTGATGTCACGATCTTTCACCGCAATCCCCACGTCACAACTCCACGCATGAAGAAAAATGCCAAGCAATCCCGATGACAAACTTTCCAAAACTCGTGCAAACCTAGAACCCTAGGTGCGGCCGTCCGCTTTTTGATCGTAAATACTCCTAGTGTCACCTATATACATAAAAAATATAAAATAAAAATGAATGAAAAGTACATCAAAAACTTATATAAATGTGCACAAATATGTGAAATGACAATTTTTTTAAATTTTGAAATGCACAAAAATGTTTTAAGTAAAACTGCATTGACAATATTTTATAGTTTATGGCCTTCAATTTTCTACGTGTGACTTTTAGATGAGGTTTTTTCCCAATTTAAGAACTAGTATTTTTAAACAATTTTTATATTTCTTTGTGTTCTTTAATAATCATATGCTCTTTAATTTATTTTCAATTTTGACATTGCATTATCCGAAAAATATAATTTTTTAATGTAGTATATAATTGTGCACTTTTAATTTGTGCATTATGATTTTACATCTTTAAGATGCTTATAAACGTATTGCATATTTTCAATTTGGTCATTTGCAAAAAGTAGTGCATTTTTTATTTATTAATTTTTGTAATTAAAAACAAAAAACATCATGACTGCGTCCAACTTATTGGCGAATATAGTAGAACTATTACAATGACTAATACTAGTATATGTCAAGCTGGGAATTTAAAGTGAAAATAAAAATGAAATATAGTGCATAATAATATGCATAAGGTGCATGATGCACACACTTAATATTTGCAACTTTTTTATAGCCTTCTATTTGGGTCAAATAAAACTGTATAATATTAAAATAAAATATAGTACATAGTAAAAATAAAATATTCGTGCATAGTAAAAATAAAATATAGTACATAGTAAAAATTAAAATAATATTATTTGGGGCGTCGTCATTTGGGTCAATTAAAATAAAATATAGTGCATAATAATATGCATAAGGTCAAATAAAACTCTGTTCGGCCGTCGTCATTTGGGGCGGTTCCCGATGGAAATTTTTGATGCAATTTTTTGATAATATTATTCATTAAATCTAGTTTACTAATATCAAATTTCAGCTAAAACGTCAATCGGGAAGGCATTCAAATGAATTCTTGAAGATAACTGCGCAATTATCTTGAAGAATTTATTTGAATGTCTTCCCAATTGAATTGTTAGCTGAAATTTGGTATGAGTAAACTACACTGATTGAATAAGATTCTCAAAACATTTCATCAAAAAATTCCACCGAGAACTACCCCAAATGGCGACGGCCGGACAAAGTCTCCTATAAAGTTTCCCAAAAATTTATATACAAGTGCATAATATATTTACTTTAATAGAATATTTTTTTTAACCCGGAAGGCCAACCACCAAAATAAGTGGGGTAAATGCCGGGTGTCATTTACCAGAGTTTTATTAGAAGACAAAAGTAATTACACGAGAGGAGGGTCAGACCAAAGCCTCTCAGACATAGAGAACAACATAAATAAATAAAAGAAAATGAATAAATTAATGAAAGAATCTAAGAGAAGGCACCCCAAATAAATCCATATAAAAAGCATTTTTAGCTTGGGCCGGTAACTCGGAGGGTCTAGCAATTATAATATATAAAAGTGAACGTATTAAACATTTAAAGTGCGTAATGTTAATTAGTTTTCTTCAACTCTTTAAGGCATAAAAATGCGGTGTGTTTTCTTGTGATCATAGTAAAATGTGTGTAGTGAGATGCAATAGTACGCCCTATTATAGATTTCAAATGCACTCATTAGTCGTTAGTTGATAACCTTGTATACTCTTCATTTTGAATTTTATTCCATGATAAATTTTACATAAATGCACAAATGCTAGTAAAGAGTAAGATAATGTATTATAAAGTGGATCTTAATGAGATAAAAAGTGATAGTTACAAAAGTGCAGATTAATATATTAAAAAGTGCATAAGATACTGAAATCAAAATATTGATTGACATTAACTACACAAGTTGCACATATACATGTTAAAAGTGCACAAAAATGCACATATACATGTTAAAAGTGCACAAAAATGCACATATACATGTTAAAAGTGCACAAAAATTCAGTTAAAGTGTTTCGATAACTATACGGTTTAAAATACACTTGATGGAGTATATGGGCCTGGACCACAGGGCCCACATACTCGGAAGAACAGAAGGTACCACGACCACCTGGTGGACCCTCGTCGGCCAGATGACCCTTATCTGCCAGAAAGAAGTCTACTCAGAATGTGATCCGGAATCCAGGAAGAGCCGGGTGACCTCGTCGGCCGGGTCTTCGTCGGCCATGCCCTCATCGGCCATGCCCTCGTCGGCCATAGACAACCTCCAGAACAGGATTTACACTTAGTCTTTTCTATGCACTTTGTATCCGGCCCATTAGTGGCCCTATTGTAAATGGGCCTCCCAAGCCCAAGACTTGGGAGCCCAGCCCAAGACTTGGGAGCTCAGCCCTAATTTTTTCTATAAATACTCCCTCTGGGAGTAGTTGTAAGGGTTCACAAAAATCATTAATACAGAGCAAACATAGCACTTCTCTCTCTAGCTCTCACTTCTCTCCAGACTTATAGTCTATCATTTGGTGCTTTCATTGAGAGCTAGAACAATCAAGTTAGCCTCCTTCGTCACTACCAAGCACAACTAACTGACAATGGGAAGAACCAAGTCAAACCGCAACCTCCTCAGCAAGGCCATCCCTGAGGCACAGGAGAACCAAGAGCACGAGGAGGATGCTACGGCCGACAAGGCCGCCGAGGGGATGTCTTCCAGGAAGCCATCGACCTCGCAGGAGACCTGCGCAACAAGCTCAACGGCGGCGCCCCCGACGCCCGCATCAGCTTGGACAAGAAGCGCGCGAAAAAAGGCGACAATGCCTCGGCGCAACCGGCCTCTCCTGCTGTTGACCCTCAGCTTCAGGCCACACTCTCGGCCATCATCGCCAGCTTGGCCCAGAATCCCACTGTCCTTAGCGCACTCATGCCAAGGACGGGGGATAACAGGACATCGCCTCCTCAACCCCAGCCATTGGCCGTTAGGCTAGGCAACGATGAGGGGGTGGTACCCCAGGACATGACATCGTCCCACTCCCACCGTGCTTTCCCACTCCGAGCTGGACCGACCGGAGCGCGTGGAAAAGCCTCAGCCTTTAACACGCTAGGTGACACGTGCCGTCGGCCTGCTACGGAGAGGATGGCACGGCGGATTGGTCAACGTGAGCCTGGCTCACCCAGGGAAAGCTTGGGGTCAGTATCCCAGACAGCGGATCAGTCCCGCCTGGATAAAGGCAAGAGGAAACTGCATGAGGACGATGCCCGTCACCAAATCAACACGGCTCACGCAGCCCGCTTGCCAACGCAGGGCGCCACCACGGCCGTCACGGACCCCAGGGACAAGGTAATCGCCCAACTCGAGCGAAGGTGCGCCCAGATGGAGGCCAAGCAGCTGGCCGCCACCCCCGCGAACAACTCATCCAGAGATCCCGACTTCAACGCCCTTCTAAACAAGGTCACCATCCTTGAGAGGGAGTTGGCCGAAGGACGAGGAGACCCCATCATCTTGGTCAGGTCGAGGACTCCCTTCATCGCCAGGGTACTCTCGGCCCCCATCCCCGAGAAGTACCGGGGAAACGCCATCAAGCCTTACGACGGCCGCTCCGACCCCCAGGAGCACTTCAGCCGCTACCAGAACAATATGCTGATGGTGAACGTGTCAGATGAATACCTCTGCCGTTGGTTCCTTTCAACCCTTGAAGGGCCAACGTACGAGTGGTCCAACGCGCTCCCCGAAGGGAGCATAGACTCGTGGCAGGACCTTGCCCAGTGCTTCCTCACTCACTTTGCCGGAAGGAAGCGCGCGAAGAAGTATTTCACCCATCTTCTCTCCGTCAAACATCAGCATGACAAATCACTCCGTCGTTCATCAACCGATGGACGAGAGAGACTGATGAGGTCGAGGGCGCCGATGAGCGCACCCTCCTGGTCCTGTTTCAGGGTGCCCTCCGCAACACCCCATATGCGAGGAGCCTCATCACTGACCCACCGAGGTCCTATCTGAAGGCGCTTCAGCGAGGAAACTTGTACGCTGACGCCGACAAGCTCCACAACCACAAGAAGGACGGAGGGCACCCCTCCAAGAAGGCAAACGCCGCGCTAGCGGCAGGCGCACCCTCGGACGGGGACCGAGGTCAGGGAGGACAAGGCCGCCATGGATCTGGCGGAAAAAACAAGGACCGCATATGGTGGCCGAGGATGGAGAGGCTGAAGCAAGGCCGAAGCTCGGAGCAAGGCTTCATCACGGCTCTTCAACGCCTCATCCCTTGCTCTCAGAGCATCATCCCTATCGGGCGCCACCTGACGATAGGCCACATCGGCCTCATCAACACCCTTCTGCAGGGCCTTCACTTCTTCCTGGAGCCGGTCCAGGCAGGCCATGGCCTCCTCGGCAGAAGCAGCTTTTTGCTCGGCCTCCTTCGGCCGGGCAATCTCTTGTTCTTGCCGTTTATGGCTCTCCATCAGCATAAGGGCACCCTGCAACAAAGAAAAAAGATAAGGACGCTGGAAGACTCATGACACCAAAAGATGTAAAGTATGAGGAACTTACTTGAACGATAAGGTCCATCCCGCCGTCGTACATCCTGACGGGTAAGCTCTAATAATTTGAAGTGAAGAAATAAGTAATGTTTTAAAGCTTAATCAGTTTATTTTGAAATAGAGAATACTTTTAATGTTGGATTTTTTTTAAAAGAATATTAAAGCCCAAATAATTCTTAGCCCAATTAAGTAATCTTTTTGATAATAAAAGCCCTAGGATTAATGCTATGCATACTTATACGTCCAAGACCGTAGAAAAAATCCGCACCTCCCGTAACCTTGATTGCGGCTCTTCTCCTGTGTCGTCTTCCAAAACCTTACCTCATTTTCAAATCTGTGCATTGAGCCTCTTGATTTTGAAACCTGGTAAGTTGAAGTTCCAGTTGTATTCTATCTACTTATATTGTTCTATCAATATTGTTTAGTAAGGATTTTTGTTATTTCGTTGGTCAAATAAAGGATGGCAAAACTTCGATTTATTTAAATTGATTTGATTCTGCTTGTGTCAAACTAATTTTGGGGAGATTCGCACATAGATAAGAGTTTCTAGGTTCTCTTGTAAAGTGTATTATATTCCCCGACAAATTATTCTTTCAATAGAATTCGTTTCTTTTTCAAACAGCCCATGATTTAACTTTAAATCTCTCCTAGAGTTGCTAACCTTCTTTTCAATAGCAAGTTAAATAAGTATTCCTTTTAACCACAGGTGAAGTCTTAAAAGACTATAGGTATAAAAAAGAGGGGGGTCCTTATAGTTGACATACAGTCAAAAGAGAATTGGTTTTAGTTGTCTAATCCTTCTCTTGAACATAATTGTTAAAAACAAAACAAAACGAAATATTGCAAGAAGCATGCAAAACAGCCACACACAGTAGATGTTTAAGAGGCACACTATTTTTCCATCTAAAGAAGGATGAGATCAAATTTCAAAAGTTATTTGAGTTGAGTGGGTTCCATAGTAAGCAAAGACTTCAGAAGACAAATTGTGTTCTTATTGGTTCTAAATCAGCTAAGCTATCTTCTTGATTTTATTCAAAACAGGAGCAGCAAATTTAGTCTCACACAAAAATCTATCCTAGAGGTTCTTTGTTGGAATTCTTTAGGTTTCACTAGTGCAGCCACATTTTTTTATTATTATTTTTTCGTTTGAGTTGGGTCTGCTTTAAAATTTATAGTAGATGTTCTGAGGCAAATCTAACTAATGGCTGCTGCTAATTCCAGTTAGAAGAAAATCAACTAGTTAATTGTATATATTCTAAGCGGCTTCATGGAAGTAGCCAAATATTTCCTTAGCTGACTATGGTTTAGACATCAGATTTGTAATGATTTTATTGACTCTAAATAAAGATATAAGAGAAGAGCTTGCCGGAAGACGTTATCAAGGTGCCATCCATATCTAAGTGATTTGAGTTCAGCTTTGACATGTAAGTTCACTACCACCTGTACATGTTTGTTCAACCAAATGAAAGACAGAAATCTGGTTGATTTTTAGTAGATGATTTTAGACTATTTGTTATTATGTGAGCTTGGTGAATTATTCGATGAGTTATTGTAATTGTTGTATTAAGTTATGTTATTATGTGGCATAGTCAAAATTTTATCAGTACTTTATTTCAAGATTTTATTGATGTTTTTATCAGTACCATAAAAAGAACTAATATTTAAAGTGAAAGATCAGGTGATATGTACTCGGGAACAAGTTCCCTCAGATTATCAGTTTATCATTTTCAGAGAGTCCGATATGTTTAGTGGGTCGCTCCCATGAGGTGTCGGATTGGCGCCTTTGAGTACATATCTCGGGCCCACAGTTAAAATTAGCCACAAAGAGTTTTACAGAAAGTTTATGAGATCCCTTTTAGAAAGTTTTACAGAATGTTGTTTTTGAGATCTCTTTCAGAAAGTTTTACAGAGATGTTTTGAGAAAGAAATTTTGAGATCTCTCCAGTAGTTTTGAGAAATTATTTTAGAAAATATTTTCTTTTGGGATCTCTCTCAGAATTTATTTAAGAAGCTATTTCTTAGTTGTTTGTTTAGTGCATGCTTATAGCCTAAATTTATCTATTGATAAATTAGCATAGACTTCTCAGATATTTTTGTGGATCCATAGTGACTTACTAAGCGTAAAGCTTATCAGTTTTCTTTCTTCGCATGTACAGATATTAAAGGTAAGGCCAAGGCCTAGGAAGATGATGAGAGAGTGGAACGCATGCCGAAATGAGTTAACGGGAACGACCTTGGCGGCTTCTAGCTAGTTATTATTTTATTTAAGTATTTCAGAGGTTATAATAAAGTGATTATTATTACTTTATTTTATTTGAGGATTTGAAGTTTTAGTAAATTCCTGGATCCAGGTGGTTATCACATTTGCTGATGATAACTAGGTTTTTTTGAGTTTTATTTGGAGTAATATTTTAGTTATATTTGAGATTTTATCAGGGTTATTTCTTTAACAAACGGCCGTTATATTGCAGTTTTTTTAAGTAGTAAGTTTTTGTAGCATTTCATTTAACCCTGAGAGGGGCGTTACAAATTTGGTATCAGAGCCCAGGTTGTCTCGTAACTTCATTTGTCACCGTACACGTGCTCGTCATCTTCCAAGTAAGTATTTAGTTATGTTAAATGTTATCTATGTGAAACTATGTTTGAGTGTTGTTTGTATGAGTTACATAGAAAAGTCAAGTAAGAGTAATATGTACTCAACTCGTAAAAAACGTTGTGTTATTACGAGTTATTCAGATTAAAATTTTATTCGAGTGCCTATATTCTTGAGTTAGGTCTTCTACTTTATTTAGGAAATACTTAGGGTTGTTATCTAAAAACACCATCGTTCTAGTCATACACCTCGCATAATTACGTATTCACAACCTTCCATATTAGCCTCGGTTGATCTTTCATAGCAAGTATGTCTCCTACATAGAGGTTACTCATGATTAAAATCCGAGTTAATTTATAATAATAAAAATGTCATATAGTCTTTATTTTCTCATGATTGAGTACTTGAATTACGTCACAATCAGTGCTATTCCAGTTGTCTTTTTAAATAGCTTGTAGTTTATTCATGGCCTACGTCTTGTTAGTTAATTTTTTTTTTTAAATTAAGAAGAATAATGAGTTTGTCTGATAATTTTTTTAAGCATCACCGTTAATTGAGTTTACAAGATATAGAAGATTTTTTTTCATAAGCATACAAATCAGTTTGTTATGTGTTTTGTTTATTTATTTTAAAAAGTTAAAGGAGTTATAAGTTGTAGCTTAACCTTGTGTGTGTAAAATGTTGAAGCTTCACATTGGATTTCGAAAGTTCTCAAGTAGTGGATTCAAATGTTTTATCAAAAGTATCATAAGTGGCATGATTTTTCTACGATGTTGAGTGTTGGTATTTCATGTTGGAATCTTGAGTTGCTGGGAGGGCCCCTCATCAATTTGATGATTCCAATATTAGATACTAGTGGTCAAACACCGCTTTAATTGTGTTTTCAAGTTGCAAATGCATATTTCAAAATAAGTTTTAAAGTGTGTTGATTTATTATTAAATGCGTTTAGTGATTACTCACATGACAGTGATTTTACCAAAAGTCAAATAAGAATTTATTTTTAGTGATACATTAGTATAATACAGAGTATTTAGCTATTTCCTCAAAAGTATGTTTCAGAAAAAAGTTTGAGTTTTAACTTGTTTCAAAGAAATTTCAGAGGACTCTCGCTTTTTGTCACAGAGACTTAAATAGTGTTGTACATTCTTTTTACCAAGGTTGTCCTCACATGATTGTTACCATTCGGTTACCAAAAAGGTATCGTGTCTCACCACTTAAAATCTTCAGAATGACCTACCATTAAAGTCTATATACATGATTCAAAAGTTTTTAATAGTATCTGGTTCTTAAAGTTAGATTAGAAGAGATCAGTGGAAGGATTAGATTAACCCACTCCTTGGTAAACCATGAGTGTTATGACCTGTACACAATATAAGGATTGTCAAGTGTGTCTCAGTACAATAAGATCTAGAGTACGAGACTTTCAACAGAATATAGGATATGGTACCAACAAGTCCTTTTTAGCATTTATGTACGAGTACATGTAGACAGCCTACGAGCTCATCTTGGGAAGTATTATGCTCTTTGAATAGTAGAAGTCTCAGTAGGAATAAAGAGTATAATGAGTTTGGCACGACAAACTATTCTTCTGTTATAAGTCATCAGCAATTCAAGGGCTTGAACCCCAACAGTTGAGTAAATTATATAATGTGATTCATTTATTGAGTAAAATAGTGCTAGGTAAAGTTAAGAATATTTTAAACTAGTAAGAAGGACCTAGTGATGATGTTAGATTTTCTTTTGAATGATATCAATGTAGATTCCTTGATCAGTTGATTATTATTGCAATTGAAATCTAAAGAGCATAATAATAAAGAGGCTGTGTAAAAAAAGGACTCTGAATAGAATTTTATTGCGGAAAATTTTCTTTGTTGAGTCTAAGTTGGTCTTAGATACGTCCCCGTACAGTTTATTACCAGATGATTTAACGGGTAATCATTTGTCAGTTTTTGTGGAGTTGTGTTACTTATGGTTTGACTTCCTTATTGTTTGGAAGGCTACGCAAACTTTACTGCTATGAATGAACAATACTTCCTAAGTTATATAGCTAGAAGATTAAAGTTAGAAGGAACAATATTGTGGAATATCGGTGAAGAAATAACTATTGATAATGAACGGTCTAAAGGAAGTTTACGATTAAACTATTTTTTTGTCTCGTTTAGACTACATGTTTGAATATATCACATTTTGATCAGTGAAGGGATGAAGGGTTTAATTGAGAGAGGAAAAAAAATATAGTACTTTCCTGAATCTTTATATAGCTGAATGAGGAAGCTAAGAGATTAGAATTTATGTTGTCAGGTATTTTTTTTGTGTCAGATATTTATGTGTTTGACAACGTCAAATTTTGTTAAACAGAACAATTATAGCGTTGTTCATTTAAGAAATATGAAAATTTGAAACTAAGCAAAATAATCCTTAGTGTTAAAATTTAATTGTTAACCCACATACTGATTTTCTAAAGGGAGACCAAGGAGATTTAGTTCAAACTTATAACATAACTTATCAACATAAGACTTACCCTCAAGAAAGTTTCCTCTAAATATTAAGGCAATATTAAGACTAAATAAGATAGGTGCTCACCTCATTAGAATTCGTCCTTTTCAAAACTGAAATTCTAAAGTATAATGGAGAATCTATTTTAAAATTTCATTCAACTTTCCTGACTACTTCGAGACACTAATCAATGAAGTTATAGATTTTGGTTCCAGAGGTACAGAACCGTAAGAAAGTTTTTCTTTTGATGAAAAGATGTTTTTGAGATGCTTGCTTGAGTGGCTAAAAAAAGTTTAGTAGGTTAATCTACTTTAGACGTTAAAAAGAATTCCTTTTGATATAATATTTAAGTCAAACTATAGTTGATTTTTTTGAGATGAAGATTTTCTCATAAGCTAGATTAAAGTTTTTCTCGATGCGGAGCAGTCTTGATAGCAGAGAGTATTAAAGTATTCTTACAGATACAACAACAAACTTGTAACACCGTCCAATTATTAACATCATTAAAATAGTGCAATTTTAGCAGTTTTTAGGGTTAGATAGAGAGTCCTTGTGATGGTCATTAAGAACAGATTGTGAGATAGTAGTAGAAGAAATAAAGAAAAAGTGGCAATATAACATAATTAAAACCATCAACTGGACATTGGACAGAAGGGAGAAAATGGTGAAAGAGATAACTCCATCCTTCCACACTACATAATCCTATTGTGAGGATGAACTCTTAGAATTGACAGAGAATGGAACACATTTTTTTTTCAAATATTATAATGCTAGAATGTCAACAATCAAGGATGAAATTTAGAAAGTGTTCTATTCTCCAATTTAAAAGACAAGTTGACCCATGTAAGCACATCTATAGAATGTGATTCTGAATTTCATTTTTAGTAGTATGTGGGATAAGTTTTTTTTATGACGAGGTTAAAATTTAGTATTGTCTTTCTTTTTCATATTAATAAGCAAACAGGTTAAACTAATTCATTTATAAAGATTGATGTGAGCCAGTGCTTTTGTATTGTAGCGCCATGAGAAATTATGAGAGGTGGATTTAAACAGTGAGAGCTTTCTTGTCCTTGTTTTGGTCATTATATGAAGTAGTTTTGTGTTTCGCCAATGTTAGAAATTTGATCAATCTAGTAATATGAAGAAAAGCCAGTACAAACTTCTCGCGGTTAAGTTATATGCTCAAGAAATAAAGGAAGTAACCTTGTGAAAGGTATAAAGTGATTACAGTTTTACTAAAGCCAAGTGAGGAGTCTAGATTGAAATTTTGTGAGACTATACCAGGTTGTTTAAGTTTTGAGGACGAAACTTTTATAAGGTGGGAGGGGTTGTAACCCCCCGATTTTTATGAGCTAGTTATATTAATCATTTTTATTATTGATATTATTATTATAATCAATATTAATATTTATTTTAGGCAATTAAATAAGTTTCTTCTATGACTAATGTGATTTATTGTTTGATCACGTGTTGTTCTAGCAGGTAACGTTGACCGGTAAGTTCTAATAATTTGAAGTGAAGAAATAAGTAATTTTTAAAGCTTAATCAGTTTATTCTGAAATAGAGAGAATACTTTTAATGTTGGATTTTTTAAAAAGAATATCAAAGCCCAAATAAATCTTAGCCCAATTAAGTAATCTTTTTGATAATAAAAGCCCTAGGATTAATGCTATTTGCTCAAGACCGTAGAAAGAATCCGCACCTCCCGTAACCTTGATTGCGGCTCTTCTCCTGTGTCGTCTTCCAAAACCTTACCTCATCTCCAAATCTGTGCATTGAGCCTCTTGATTTTGAAACCTGGTAAGTTGAACTTCCAGTTGTATTCTATATACTTATATTGTTCTATCAATATTGTTTAGAGTAAGGATTTTTGTTATTTCGTTGGTCAAATAAAAGATGGCAAAACTTCAATTTATTTAAATTGATTTGATTCTGCTTGTGTCAAACTAATTTTGGGGAGATTCGCACATAGATAAGAGTTTCTAGGTTCTCTTGTAAAGTGTATTATATTCTCCAATAAATTATTCTTTCAATTAAATTCGTTTCTTTTTCAAACAGCCCATGATTTAACTTTAAATCTCTCCTGCTAACCTTCTTTTCAGTAGCAAGTTAATTAAGTATTCCTTTTAACCTCAGGTGAAGTCTTACAAGACTAAAGGTATATAAAAAAAAGAGGGGTCATTATCGTTGACATACAGTCAAATGAGTATTGGTTTTAGTTGTCTATTCCTGCTCTTGAACATAATTGTTAAAAAAACAAATCGAAATATTGCAAGAAGCATGCAAAACAGCCACACACAGTAGATGTTTAAGAGGCACACTATTTTTCCATCTAAAGAAGGATGAGATCAAATTTCAAAAGTTATTTCAATTGAGTGGGTTCCATAGTAGTGAAGGCTTTTTGAAGGGGGTTGCTTGAAGATTCAGAACTGTATCGAGAGTTGACTAAGTACCTGTGTTACACCTTTGAAGATGTCTAGGTCAAGACGTTTTCTTATATCCGCCTAGAAGAAGATCTGCAATCTCGACATGATGGTTATGACGGGGCAATGAAAAGTTAACTCATCCAGACAACACAATTACAGAACGGGAAAATCTTATACCAAAACTGAAGACCGTCTCGTTGCTGTAGTGATGAATTGGTTGGATGACCCCATAGTTGTTACAACAGAGTTTTGTGGCGCAACGCCTTGGGACTGCCATACCGCCATGGCGATATGACGCCCATCATGGCGGAGTCGTGACGATAAATCGACATATACACTAATAAATTCATAATATGTTTTACATACTAAAATGCCTACATGTAACACTACTAATGAAGTAATAAAACATGTAATCAGCCATGGTAAGCGTTGTTTCAAAAAAATATTAAATATAAAATAAACAACTAAAATTTCACTAACAATGTAAAAAAAAAATTAAATGTAAGACAACACAGTTAGACAACATAAATTTCAGCATACATTTAAGACACCAAAAATAATACTCCCTCCGTACCGAAATAATTGTCCTACTTTGACCTTCACACAGATTAAGAAAATGAAATTGACTTCACACTGTAGCGACACTGTTTGGCACTGTAGCAACACTGTTTGGCACTGTTTTGCACTGTTTGACACTGTTTTGTATAGATTTGTTTACCAAATAAGGAAAGTTTCAAAGTAAGACAATTATTTTGGGACAGACCGAAAAGGAAAGCAGGACAATTATTTCGGGATGGAGGGAGTATGAAATATAAAATAAAATAAAAAACAACTTAACTGAAATTTCACTAACAATTAAAAAAATATAAATTAAATGTAAGACAACACAATTACACAACATAAATTTCAGCATAAATCAAAGAAACGAAAAATATAATGAAATATAAAATAAAATTAAATACTGATAGTCCCTGATCTTAAACAAACAAACAACCAAAGCTGATAAAGAAGAAGCAGATAGAAAGATATGAGATGAAAACCAAATCTCGTATATCGTGATAATGACCGTTTCTCTCCCTCGAGAAGGAGAGCAGCGGCAAACCCTCTCTCTTTCTCGCCTCTAAGTCTCAAGCCTCGAAAACCTTGGGGTTTCCATAAGATAGCCTCCTTTTATATGAGAAGTTGGCTAACTTATTGATTACAAAGAAGCTAATGGGCTAATACACATTTGTGGCCCATATTACACGTTTAACTAATAACTACACAAATAAAAAGATATTAAATTAGATTGGACACCATAAAATATTCCCAACAATCTCCCCCTTGATGTTCAATCGTGTTGAATCAGCATTGCAGCGCAAATATCTTTGTCTTTGTTGTTATTCATCTTCCTTTGTCTTTGAACTTGACTTCTTGAGAAGGCTTTCTTAAGAAATCCTTGCAATCTCCCCTTTGATGTCTTCTTGGCAATTTGAGCTTTGATGCCAGGGGTTGAGGAATCTTCTTTTGGCTTGCTTGTAAACCTTTCCTTCAGAAGTAGCTCTTGATCAGCTTGAATGAAGTCCGGTGGCGCCTCTAGAATGAATGTTCTTGAAGAATTGCAGACGCACATGTAAATCATCTTCAGAATTCGAGTAAGTGACATTTGTTTCCTCCACAATGTAGTCTTTTTTACTATTCAAGGTGAATGCATTTGAGAAGACCTTGTCGGTGGCACAGCGGAAAAAGATGGTTGACTTGTGAGCGTAGCTGACCATTTGAGGTGTAGAGATAGAAGAGAGTCGTTGAAATTTTTGATGGGAGAGAAGTGTCCGAGAATGATTTGGTGACATTTAACAACATGTGGACCACTCTCCCCCTCATGGCGATCCGATGAATCGGGACGTCGTGCCTTTATTCTTTTATTCTAAGAAGCAAAATAGAAAAACAAACAAAAAGGTAAACACCGGAGACACCATGGTGTTCCGTTATCACAACATCAATGTAAACACTGACATGTGGCATGTATAAAATGATAGAAACATTAAAGTTCTAACAGGACTTCCAACAAGGTATTGTGAGGCATCTGAAAGATGTCACTTTGGTTGTTATTTGCATTATCATAAAGATCAACATAGATAACGTAGCCCCTTGGGGTCGTGTAAACACCCGTTATCATCACTATAGAGATAAACTCTAAAGAAATGGTTTGAAAATGTTGGTGATTCTTATGTTGCAACAGCAGGACTTCCTTCCAATCATTGGTCTACATCTGTAATAGACGAGCCCTATGGAAGTTCTAGCGGGTCATGTAGACCTGCAACTGACTCAAAAAAGTGCATCTGTGTCCTAGAAATTTCAAAACATTTGGGAGTGAGGTAACTAGACACGACGTGAGCAATGAAAGTTCAGTGGCATGGGGCTGAGGCCACTGTAGTCAGTATCACTTTCCTCGGAAGGAGACAGTAATGAGAGATGCGGTTTCCCATGAAATATGATTAAACACATGTCTGTTGGGAGACAAATGAGTGGTCTTGGGTAGGGTTCAACATGCACTGTTGGACAAGATGCAGTGACTTCTACCCGGGATCTGATTAAATTCAGTCCTGAACCTATTGGGATTGTCTAGAGTATTTGAGTGGCTAGGAGTAAATGTTCAATGGATAGCAGGCAGTTGAGGTAGCAGACTTATCATTGATTATTGTTTTCTTGCTCACTTGAGCCTTCTGCTTCCTAACTCTCATAATGATCACTCACTCACTCACTCACTCACACACTCACTCACTCACTTACTCTCGGCTTTGTCCCTTGGGTAGGCTTAGTTGGGTTTACTAAGCCATAGAAACATGTCCTCTCATTGATTTTCTCTCTGTACTCCCCCTTTACTGGAGCACTCGGTATGCTTTGTCATTGTTAGGCACCGGGGAGGATAACATTGAACACTCCCCCTAAACTGTTGCATCCGTTGAGAGATCCCTTGCTTTGTCAGTGTAAGCCACCAGGAGGAGAAAACTAAAACACCCCCTCAGAATGTGCAAGGATGATTTCTCACAGCTCGTCATACCCACCATGTGTTTGGAGTAATCTGAACAAGTACCACACATGACGGTTTCCCAAAGCTCATCATTAAGAATTTCAGCATATTGATGATCACACAATGTTGATGAGTTAGGGAAGGCTTCAGTAGTTGATTGTTGATTGTTGTAAGATGACCTTTAACGCAAGGTTGATTGAATTATCTACGATTTTCGGACCTCTACAATGTAGTTTATAAAAGCTTTGACCTTAGGTTTTACTTTGGAAGAATTTGAACAGATTTGCCTAAATTTGACCATGACATCAGTGATTTACAAAGTTTGTTGAAAAACGAACGATTTGGCCCTCAAGGACTGCGCATGAGGGCGCGTGAAAAAGGGTTCTGGGGTAAACCCCAAAACTAAATGTAGATCTTTTCGTTAGCTTTCCATTAAAAAAATTCGCTTAAATCGGATCACCGAGTCAAAAGTTATGGCCAAAACAGTGTGATGTCGCTAAAAATCTCGAAATTTTGAGTTTTTGAGGAATTTCTTCGAAGTTGAGGTTCTCGATGTTGAATATTGAGAACAGGTGGTGATGGAGTATATGGCCCAAGTACCCCTGGCCCACATACTTCCACAACCATAATCAGGTCCAACAGGCCCAACGGGCCAAGCCCAACAAAATGAAGCGCTAAACGGCCCACAATACGCAAAGGGGTGCCTTCGGCCCCTTGACCGAAGGCCACCGTTGACAGGGTTAAGCTCAGAAACATCACAGGAGAACAAGGCTTGAAGACCAACCCTTCGGCATATACAGCCCTCGGTGTTGAGAGGCCCCCGGTTAGAAGAGCCTTCAGCCAACACCCTTCAACCGAAGGCACTTCCCTCAAACAGAATATCCTCTCCGCATGCGCCTGAATCACCGTACCAAGTACAACATCGCATCCAACCACCGCATTTAAGGCGACCACATGCAAATGTCGGTGCCACCCCGATTGAGGTGACTCCTCGACCACCAGATTATTGACATGTGTCCCTATCTAGCATTTATTACTGCTATAAATAGCAGCCCATTTCCCCATTGTAAGGCATCACAAATTCACACACTGAATACATACTCTCTCTCTACTTATTGCTTTGACTTCTCTCTAGTTATTCCCCGAAATAACCCCTCGGATAAGCTACCCTCGGGTACACTATCCATCATTTGGTGCTTTCATTGAGAGGTCGAACAATCAAGTAAGAAACCCTCCCATTCAGCTCAAAACACCAACCAAAATGGGAAGAACCACTCGTGCCAAGTCCAAGACCCTTGAGGACAACAACCTGGCCCTCGGCGAAGTCGACGCCACCGAAGCCTCCAACAAGGCTCTCGAGGGCGGAGTCATCGCTGGGTTAGAACAGGCTGCTGTTGACCTACGCCTTCAGCTCCGTAAAATGCTCCTGATACTCGCCTTGGCATCGAAACCCGAAGGAGGGACCGGAGCGAAAATCAAGTGAGCCCTCTGGTCCTCACTATTGACGTACAGTCGGCATTTTCTGCCTTCATCCAAATGCTCACTCAGAATCCAGGTGCCTTCAGCACGCTGGTACCACTTCAACCACAGGTCGGGGAGAGCGCCACTTCCCCCCACCTCCGCCCCCCTTCGTGAACCCTATCCTTCGGCTAGGGAACAACGAAGGGGTCAAGGCCCAAGACACCGCATCCTAGGAAGTCCAATCCCGGGACCAGCGCGGTGCGAACAAAGAGAGGCCTCAGACATATGCCCCTGAGAGGCTCGGAGGGGTGCAGGATCGCCGAGGGGTCCAAGACCGCCTCGGTGGTAAGGCACTCCAAAGACCTCAAGAAAGCGAGGGGTCGGTATCGAGGGCAGATGAGAGGCGTCCCCCTCAGGACAAAGGAAAGGCACCACTCCATGCCGACGACGCCAGACACCAGATCAACCAGACCCACTCGGCCCGTGTACAATCACAGGGGGCGGAGGCTCTCCCGAAGGATCACAGGGACGAAATTATTGAGGCTCTCCAATGCCGCCTTGATGAAATGGAGGCCCGCCAAGCGCACACGACCGCCTCCGCCTCACAAGCGGACCCTAAATACGCCACCATGTTGGCCAAAGTGGAGGTGATGCAGAAGAAATTTGTCGAGGGATCTGGGGAACCCGTCATCCAACTCCGGACTAGGACGCCATTCACCCCAAGGGTGTTGGCGGCCTAGATTCCGGGAAAATACCAAAGGCAACCCATCAAGCCCTACGAAGGAAAGACTGACCCCCAGGAGCACTACAGCCGGTATCAGAACATCATGATGATGGTGGGGCATCGGATGAATATTTGTGACGTTGGTTCCTTTCTACCTTAGAAGGACCTGCGTACGAATGGTTCAACCGATTGCCCGAAGGGAGTATCGACTCATGGCAGGAACTCGCCCAACGCTTCCTAACACAACTTGCGGGGAGACGCCGGTCGAGGAAGCACTTCTCTCACTTACTAATGGTGAGGCAGCGGAAGGAGGAAACTCTTCAGGACTTCTTGGAACGCTGGAGGCTGGAGACAGATAAGGTTGACGGCGACGAAGACGGGACCCTTCTGGCTCTCCTGCAGATGGTCCTCCGCACCAGAAACTTTTCAAGGAGCCTCATCATTGAACCCCCTCGCGACTACATAAAGGCCCTACAGCGGGGTAACCGGTATGCAGAGGCCGAGGAGGTGGAGAAATGCCACCAAAACTCGGAACAACAGTGTCCTAGGGCAGATGATAAGAATCACCGAGGGCAGGGTGCACCATTCCACCAGTCCAAAGGTTCGCCCCCCTCGGGTGATCGCCCCCGGCACGGCCAAGCCAAGCCCGGGGGAGGTTACACAAACAACCCGAAGGCCTGGGCGCAGCCTATTCTCTTGGATCACCCTCAGACACCCTTGACGCATCCCATCAGTGTCATCCTCGATTTCGCAAAGGAAAGGGGCCTCGTGGAGCGAGATTCTCGCGCACCACCGGAGGTATATGCCATCAACCCCAATGAACCTTACTGCCATTTTCATCGCCACCAAGGGTATATCGCCATCAACACCAAGGGTATACAAATGTCATCAACTGAAGACAGCCATCGAGAGGTTGATACAGGCGGGACACCTGTCCCAATTTGTCAGGAGCCCCCAGCATCAGGGGCCCCCGCGAGGGCCACAGGTGAAGGCAAACGCCTGGATCAATCCAAACACTATTCCCCTTGGTGACCCGAACGGCAATAAGAGGGAGATCGGGAACCTTGATGAGGAAGAGGGGTACAACGAATGCCTAGAGAAGAAGCGCCACATCCACATGATCACCGGTGGCAACACGGGGGGGGGGGGGGGGGGGGAGACTCCACTAGCCAAAGGAAGAAATGGGCACATGCCCTCTACGTAGGGGAGGTCACTCATATGCCCCCTGTAAAGCGGTTGAGAGAGGAGCCCATCACTCATATGTTCACCAACGCCGATCTCCCCCCAGCCTCCTCCCTTCACAGGGATGCGCTAGTGATCCAGAGCGAGATCAATAATACTATTGTCCACAGAACTTACGTTGACACGGGCAACTCCATCAACGTAATGTACCTTAACACATTCAAGGAGCTGCTCCTAGAGAGGGAGTCCCTTCGGCCTATGCGGACCCCTCTGTCAGGCTTCACCGGAGATACAATAGATTCCGAGGGGGTGATAACCCTCCCGGTACTCTTCGGCGACGGACTCCATAGGGCCAAGCTCGAAGTGGAGTTCGTCGTCGTCAACATCGACTGTGCGCACAACATCATCCTCGGCTGCCCCGCCCTCGAAGATTTGGAGGCCGTCATCTCCATGAGACACCTATGCCTCAAATTCCTAGCTGAAGGGGGCATTGGGTACTCAAGGGGGAATCAGAAACTCACTCGGGCCTGCTACCTCCAAATAACAAAGAAGGTCAGTAAGGCTGAGTTCCGAGTAGACACCATCACCGGAACCGTGGAGGAATAAGAGAAGAGGCCGAGGGCAGAACCAGCCGAAGAGGTAGAAGACTTTGCGCTTGATCCGGACAAACCGGAAAGAGTCGTGAAGATAGGAGCCAAGCTCCCTAAAATTTGAAGACCGGTATCATGGATGCCCTCCGCGCCTACTCCATTGTTTTTGCATGGGGGCCGGAGGACATGCCAGGAATCAGCCGAAGGGTAATTACTCACCGCCTATCGGTGGACCCTTCCTCCAAATCCGTGCAACAAAGAAGGAGGCCCCTCTCGGCCGAAAGGAGGGATTTTGTAAAGAAAGAGGTCGTCATGCTCCTTCCCATCAGACACATCAAGGAGGTAAAGTACCCCTCATGGCTGGCCAACGTGGTCCTCACACAAAAGCCACCCACCTTCCGCATGTGCGTGGACTACACGGATCTGAAAAAGGCGTGCCCCATGGACCCTTTCCCGCTGCCAATTATTGACCAACTGGTGGACGACACAGCGGGATGCGAAATCATGTCATTCCTCGACGCCTTCCGCGGATATCACCAAATCTTCATGCACGAGGAAGACACTGAAAAAACAGCCTTCATGACACCCGAAGGCATTTTCTGCTATCTGGTGATGGGCTTCGACCTAAAAAATTCAGGTGCCACCTACACCCGGATGGTGGCCAGGGTCTTTCAAGCCATCCTAGGGCGCAATATGGAGCCCTATGTTGACGACATGATCATCAAAAGCAAACAATCATCGAGCCATGCTAACGACCTTCGGGAAATTTTCGCCATCATGCAAAATTTTAACCTCCGGCTAAACCCGAAGAAATGCACTTTTGGAGTGCAAGGAGGCAAATTCATGGGCTATATAAGGAGCCGAAGGGGTATCGAGGCCAACCCCGAAAAAATCCAGGCCATCATAAACATGGAGCCCCCACACAATGTGAAGGAGGTCCAAAGGCTGATGGGCCGCTTGGCAACCCTCAACCGCTTCCTATCCAAATCGGCGGAGAAATCCATTCCCTTCTTCCAGATAATGAGGAAGACCGCCGACTTCCAATTGACATCAGAATGCCAGGAGGCCTTTGACGAATTGAAGCGGTACTTATCTTTACCCCCTGTGCTCTCCAAACCCAAGGTGGGGGAAACTCCGTACCTTTACCTCGGCGTTAGCCCTGCTGCCATCAGCTCAGTGCTAATCCGGGAGGAAGACGACATCCAACATGCCATCTTCTATGTTAGCAAGACTCTCAAAGAGGCCGAACTCAGGTATTCTCCCTTGGGAAAGACGGTGCTAGCCGTCGTTTAGACCGTCAAAAAGCTAGACCATTACTTCCAAGCCCATCCGGTTCAGGTCCTCACACACCAACCCCTCGACGCTTTGATGAGGAGCCCCACAAGCTCCTCTCGGATGGTAAAATGGGCTATCTTCCTTAGCCAGTACAACATTGACATCCGTCCGAGGCCTGCCATAAAGGGCCAAGCCCTGGCGGACTTCATGACGGAATGCAAGGCAAGATCAGCGGTGGATGAGGAGCCTTCGGCACCCTCGGATGATTGGTGGACCCTCTATACCGATGGCTCCTCTGCCACCAAAGCATGCGGAGGAGGGGTAGTACTCATTACGCCCGAAGGCTTCCGCGCCTACTATGTCATCCGCTTCTCCTTCAAGGTCTCCAACAACGAAGCGGAACATGAGGCCCTCCTCTGTAGCCTTCAGCTGGCAACCAACATGATGGCCATATAGATCCATGTGAAGTGCGACTCCAAGTTAGTCGTCGGCCAAATTTCAGGGGAATATGAGGCCAAGGAAGGAAGAATGAAAGAGTACAAGGATGCGGCCAAGGAGTTGCTTAAGGTATTTGAGGCACATTCTCTCACTCAAATACCAAGGGCTCAAAACTCTAAGGCCGACATTTTATCAAAGCTCTCGGCTGAGTCCCCGGAGCACCTCTTGAAGATTGCGAGGATCGAGGAACTCAGCCTCTCGAGCATACACGTCAGCCTCGTCATGAACATACAACAAAGGCCTGAGGACTGGGTGTCAGATATCATGAACTTGATCTCCATAGGGCAATTGCCCGAGGATGAAAACCGTGTGAAAGTAGCAAAGCTGAGGGCTCCTGGCTACACCATCGAAGACGAAAGGCTTTACAAACGGTCCTACAACGGTACATTGCTCCGGTGCCTTCATCAGGATGAAGCCGAAGTTGCAATGGAGGAAGTACACAGTGACACTTGCTCAGCTCACCAGGGACCCTTCTCCATGTCCCGAAGGCTCATAGTCCAAGGTTACTTCTGGCCTACAATGGCCCAGGATTCTGCGGACCTCGCCCGAAGGTGCGCCGTGTGCCAGCATTTCCAGAAAGCCCCCGACAGGCCATCATTCAACTATGCCCCCATCAGTACGGTAATACCCTTCTCCAGGTGGGGTATAGATCTAGTAGGCCCACTGTCGAGGGGTACCTCCAACAACAGATACATCATCATCGCCATTGACTACTTCACCAAATGGGTAGAGGCAGAACCCCTCGCCAGCATTACAGAGGCCAGGTGCCGCCATTTTGTCCTCAAGAACATCCTCACGAGGTTTGGCGTCCCCCAACAAATCATCTCCGACAACGGGACTCAGTTTGAGGCTGCCCCCTTCTGTGCCCTCCTAGAGGCATGGGGCATCAAACATACTTTCTCGTCTGTTGCCTACCCTCAGAGCAACGGTCAAGTGGAGAACGCCAACCGAACTTTACTTGAGGGCCTAAAAAAGAAACTTGAGGCCGAAGGGGGAGGCTGGGTAGAAGAACTTCACAATATCCTATGGGCCTACCGCACCACCCCTCGGCGGGCAACAGGCGAAACGCCCTTCTCCCTTTGCTATGGATTCGAGGCCAAAGCTCCCACTGAGGTAACCCTTCCTACCCGAAGGGTGGACCAATACGAGCTTGAGGTCAACGATGCCAACATGGCCCTCGACCTTCACCTAATCTCAGAATGCCGAGAGCAAGCCTTCATAAGGGCGGAAAACTACCGAAGATAAGTGAAAGGCTACATCGATGTCAAGGTTCATTCCCGAGAATTTCAAGTGGGAGACTACGTCCTCCGAAGGAGAGAAGCTAGCCAGCCAACCGAAGGTGGCAAAATGGAACCGAAGTTTGAAGGCCCCTATATCGTTGTAGCCATCATCAAGCCAGGAACTTACAAACTCAAATGCCCCAATGGGACCGAGGTCCCTCGACATTGGAATGTACACCACCTGGTTAAATTTTATCAATGATGTTAGAGCGGGCAAGCCCTCATAACTCACGAATGTATTATCCTGTGGCCCAAGGCCCCCAATTTTTCAAGAATAAAGATACGCTGAAGACACCAAGTACAAAGAACAAAACGCTTGTGAGCGGCGAAGCCCTCATACAAGCTCCTGGCCCAAGGCCTTATCACAAACGAGACCCCCCGGCACCAAGTGCCGGAGGTGGACGCTCCAATCAACCACAATGATGAAACACCAAGTGTTTTTAAAGGCAACCCCTCGGTACCAAGTGTCGGGGGCAATGAATGAGAAATAACACCAAGTGTTAAAAATAAAGCCGTACTCCTCGAGGACGCAACCATACCGAAGGCGCCACCTATCGGTACCAGGGGTACTAAGTACCTCCGGCCATTTGCAACTAATATGCAAATAAAACCCTTCCGTGAAATGCTTTCCGAGCCATTACCCCAAGGGAATGGCAGGCAACTAATATGCCCAGGATTCGACTTTCAAAAACGAAACGCTTCCCGCGCCATTACCCTAAGGGAATGGCAGGCAACAGACCATGTCTCAGGTTGAGGGAACGACTTTCAAAACTGAGGCACTTTCTATGCCATCCCCAAAGGGGAGGCAGGCAACAGACTATGTCTCGGGCCGAGGAAACGACCCTTGATCCCCTCGGAACCCGGAAGGTTAATCCCGAGGGGGATCCAACGGTGTTTACCATTGCCTCCCCATAGGCTAAGCCTTACCAAGAAACCATGTTTCTTGAAGCCTTCCCTTCACTATCTCCAAAAAGGGGGGAGGGGGTGAAGGGGAGTAGGCTCAACGAGCAATATGCCTAAGTCAAAAATTCTACTCATCCCTCATATTGCCGAAGGCATCTACTCTATATATGGGGCTTAAGTCCCAAAATCCACATCTGCCTTCATGTTTCGAACTAAAATCATCTAAGCCTACAGTTTGAAAGGCAAAGCCGAGGGCTCCCATTGTAATATATTGGACTCAAGAATTTCCCAAGTCCACACTTTGGGAGCCCACCGAAGCCGAAGGTTCATATGCCCAACAAAGATCGAGGGCACCTACTGCATGTTACCGGAGGCAAGTGCTCACAGACAGGATCTCAACATTTCCTAAGTCCACACTCCAATAGGCTCCGGCACTACTATCAGCTCTGGGGGGGCTCCTTTTCTACAAATGGGCCAAAAGTCAACTAACTCCACATTCCTATAGAGGGCTACTAGATGCAAAGTCATGGGATTCTTTCTAAGTCCACAATCTAAGTGCCATGGTACCACCATATTCTGCAAAGTCATGGGATTCTTTCTAAGTCCACAACCTAAGTCTACCACAAGCCGAGGGGGTATTCATGGCATTACCCAAAAAATTGGCTAAGTCCACAACACCGGTTCCCCGGAGATATATGACGAAGGCTAGCTATTCCCTACAGCTAGAAGGACGATGTCCACCGAGGGCCTATATGTAAACAACACTTAGAAAATTTTTCTGAGTCCTAAGTTTTTAGCCCTTGGATGACTCATGCCGTCCACTCAAAATCGAGAGGCAGCACCAACCGAGGACCCGGTGGTAAGCATTGCTTAGAAAATTTTCTAAGTCCATGGGTTAAGGCCCCCCGGCACCACAACACTTTGCTAAGGGGAAATTCAACCGAAGGCCTAGTGATGCACATCACTTGGAAAATTTTCTAAGTCCTAAATATTTGGCCCCCGATCAACTCATGATGTAAACATACATTCATACAATTACGGAAAAGGCATGAAAGAAAATGAAGGCATTCATTCATCAGAAGAGAAGAAGGGAATAAAATTTAGTCATCAAATGCCAGAGGGCATGCATTCATCCATTCACAAAAGTAAACTAAATTTTTTGTTACATTAAGGCCGAAGCCGAAAGATACAAGATGTTATTATACTCAACATCGTTCAAAAGAATTATTACAAGCACGATCAGGGGTCGACTTTTTCAGCAGCAACCTCTTCGGTAGGTTTGGAAGTGGCATCCCCTCCGACCTCTTCTTCATCCTCGGCCTCCTTCATCAGCTCAGAATCTTCTAAGTCTTGCCTCTCCGCATTAGTGGGGAGGGGAACGCGAACATTTGGTTGAAGAGGGGGAAGGCCATAGGCGGCAGGATCAAAATCCTTCGGCTCCACCCCATAGTGTCGGGCCAGCCTCCTGTAGATGAGGGTCTGAGTAAAGTACTCGCCCCCATCATAGTATTCCTTGCCCTTCCGGGCCAGCCACTCTACCCCGGGGCCGCCGCACCACTCATCAACAGATGCCTCCACAACTGAGGCCAGCCACTGTTTGTGCCCCTCAGATCTCCAGCCCTCGGTAACAAAGGCGCCTATGGCTTCCTCCCGAGTGACGGCAACCGCTTTGTTCTTGGCCTCCTCAGCCTCCTCGGCGGCTTTCTTGGCAGCCCCAGCAGCAGCCCTCTCGGCTTCGGCCTTGCCCTTATTTGCGGCCTCCAGCTGCAGCCCCATCTGCCGAAGGGATTCCTCCAACTATGCCATCTGCCTCACGGCGTCGGCGTTGTCGTGGACAAGGTTCTTCAACTGCTCATCCTGTTGCGCTTTCTCAAGACGCAACACTTTCCCCCTCTGTGCTTGTTCATCGAGGGCGATGCAGGCCTGTAAACGACAAACAAAATGAGTAAGGACACTATGCAAAAATGTTCTAAAACTATAGGAGAAAAAACAAAGGGAAAAGGACTTACAGTAAGAGAAGACCGGAGGATCTTGTTCTCGAGGGTCTCATCATCATAGGTGTCGAGAGCTGCCCTATCCATCTCCGAAGTGATGCCCCCCCAGGAATGCCTTCGGATCAACTGTGCCGTGCATCACGGAGGTTCCTCAGACGAGGGAGAATTGTATGGTCTCCCGAGGGAAGTCTCCCACGATGGGTTGGATGGAGCCGTCGCTGCCACAACCAGGGGCGAGGAGGATGAATGCTCGTCCATAACAAGGACCGGGGGAGTCTTCTTCCCGGCCTCCGCCTTCTTTGGTTTTTTGCCGGCGGAAATAACCTCTTTGTCGGCTGCCTTCCTCTTTGCAGCGGCAGCCGCAACATCAGCAGGGACGGCCGAGGGCTCGCCGCCCTTCGGGAAGAACTCATCGACGGGCTTTTGCAAGCCCGCCTCATTCCTCTTCGGCTCTTTGGCCGATTTTTTCTTCAAACCGGCGAAGCCTTTCACGTTCATTTTGGCACCTGCAAAACAACATAAATAAGTGAGGCCGAGGGGTCAAGACAAGGACAAAAATTAAACTACAAAAAAATCTAAGTGCAAAAAAAAATGGAGCCCCCGGGAACTACCTCTTGTGCTCTCGAAGGCTACGTCGAGGACAGGGAACCTCTCGTCTGATTCCCCCAGGAAACGGTAGCGCCGAAAGCCAAGGAGATGCAAGTCATCCTCCACAGTGGACTCCTTGATTGTCATGTGCTTGTCCCGCCCCTCCGGGATCTTGGCAAGCTTTTTACCGTCTTTCTCGAGGCTGGCACTCCCCACTTTCGGGTGTCGTCTGAAACAATCACTCAATTCCCCCGGGAATGGGTTCTCGGCCCGGCCTAACGTAGCAAAAGCGGTCCTTCCAACTAGACCTACACAAACACGGGCTCGGGCCGGGCTTATTCTAAAAAATATGCCCACTTGTAGTGGGCGGGCCCGGCCCGGCCCGGTAAAACGGGCATCCTCATATGTCCAAGCCCGCCCATGAGAGCGGGCCGGGCTGCCCACCGGGCCTTTGGGCCCGGAAAATATCCTTTTGTCAACTTTGTTAAAAAATGAAAATATTTATAAAATAACATCACAACATTTTAAATGCAATTAAATAATTAATGTAGTCACAACACATTTTGAACACAAGAATACGTTTAAATGCAAAACACAAAACGATTCTGGAAAATAAAAAGCATCCAAATTCCAAATAAGCATCCATATTCCATAATTAAAAGCACAATCACAGATTCACAATGTGCAGCGGAAATAGTCAAGAGTATCTCCAAAAAGACTTAACAAATGTATATCATTACAGTTCAAATTTAAATAGTAGAACACAAAAAGTAATTGGTATCCCAAGATTCCAAGAACTTCTCGACACTCCTTCATTTCACCAGAAAGTAATTGATCTCCCAGACTGCTCTGCCAAGTGCCAATAAATATCAAATAATGAAAACCAAATATTATTTATAAACCAAGTAAAAACATTGAGATAATGAAAACTACTATATTGTGATTTCTGAATCTTACCGTCTGTGAAAGAGAAGCATTGTCTTACACTAGAGTAGCATTTCATCTTCTTCATCCTCGTTATCATTTGAACGTCCATCACCGATCTTGAACATACTTGCGGAACCTTACAAGTTAAAAATAATGGAAAATAATGACACTTGTGAATAATGACATGGTAATGAAATTATACTTCCAAGTATTTTCAGTTTTATATGTATAGTCATATAATGTATAATTATATATAGAATAATATATATAATATAATATATAAAGTATGTTTACGGGCCGGACTTTTAGGCCCGACCGGGCCTATATTACAACCCAAGCCCGCCCATATTTTAAACGGGCCGGGCCGGGCCCGGCCCGGTGGGCTAAAGCATGTGTCCAAACCCGCCCATTTATATGGGTGGGCCAGGCGGGCCGGGCGGGCCGTCCCGGAATTGTGCAGGTCTACTTCAAACCCTTGTGCGACGAGGGCGCATCAGTAAATAGCCTCCACTTGGCGATCAGTTGTAGATTCGCGAACCCCTCGGCATTTGCGTGGCCTCCCCGACAAAGGTTGATGCTCTGGAAAAATAAATTCAGGCTGGGAGCCACCCCCGGGACCGGCATAGGTGCAAGAACCCAGCAATATAAGAGTGACTGTTAGGACTCAACTGGCAGGGGGCCAAGCCTACGTACCAGAGATACTCAAGGAGGAAGGGATGTAGAGGGAACCGGAGGCCCATAGTAACCGATAACACGTGAACAATAATGCACCCCTCGGGAGCCCGGGAAAGTACATCATCGGGTCCTGGTTCTACCACAGTTGCTGAAGGCCCAACGTGCAGCTGGGTGACGTAACATTCCGCCCTATCGACCCTCGACTTCAGCTCGAGCGCGGCGGTGTTCAAAAACGAGTATCCCTCAGGGATCCCAACGGGTTTCCCAAGAACAACAACACTCCCCTTCTTCTTCGGGGCCCCCATCTTCTTCTTGATCTTCTTTCCCGGGGCCACCCTGAGAGGCTCCGGGTTGAGTGGCCGGGAGGTGCTGGCCTCACCCGTGTTGCGTGGGGGAAGGACGACGATGGTGACCTTCTGTCGCTCCTTTTCCTCCTCCTCTTCGGCAGCCTACATAGCGAGGGCAAGCTCCTCATCCTCTATCACCTGCTCGAAGTCCTCAACTTCGGCTTCGGCCACCAGATTCTTCTGCATCTCCACTGCAACCGCTGAGTCATTGTCAGACGAAGGCTCCACACTCGCTGACCCTTCTTCCGACCAGGTCTCGGCCTGGACCGATGGCTCTCCATAAATATATTGAGAATCAGAAGCGGATGACATCCTTCGGAAGTTCGTGGGGGAAAGAATCGAGAAAGGAAGGAAATTTTCCTAAGGGTCACTAACACTATATCTAAAGGCTGAAAAGCAAAGTATGCTAGGATACCCAAGAACAGAGGAGAAACTGACCTTAGAAGTTTGGTTTCGATCGAACTATGCTTTCTCTCTCTAGAAAAAATTGGCCAGAACTTCGTTAAGCAAATGAATCACGCAAGGGCTGGCACTCAGGCCTTGGGGTATTTATAGGCGCCCCATTTCGGGCCTGGGCCGAGAATTGGGCCCCCGGTTAGAAAAATCATCATTATGACCGTCGCCTCAGCCAACCGGTGACACCCGCCCAGAGGCAACCAGCGGGTACGCGCCACGTGGACGCCTTCTCCAACGGTCATATCCCAACGACTATATTTCAAATTTCCACCTCACAACGACGCCTTCAGCTGGCACCCTTTGGGCAAAAACAACAAAAATAGTCAACCCTCAGTGCAAACCAGGGAAACCCCTCGGCACCCTTGGCCCCCAGTGTGAACTCAGGGAACCCTCAGTGCAACACAGGAACTATCACCTGCATTCATCACGCCCTCAGCCCAGAATGATTGAGGGGCGCCCTCGGCATCCCCAGAATATCCACAAGAGGCCTTTGGCCAGTCATCAACAGAGCCCCCAGATCATGGATAGCTCTCGGCGTTAACATTGCTCTTCATCTCAAACCAAGGGCTCACCTTTTTGATTCATCATTGGGGGAATTCGGTGCACTCTTTTTCCCTGGTTAGGATTTTTCCCACGGGGTTTTTCCTAATGAGGTTTTTAACGAGACATCCCCCCAAAATGAAACGAAAAGCGGCAGCCCTCGACCCTACGCTGAAAACGAGCACCACTCTACTCCTTTTCACCACATTACCTTTGCCTCAAGGAGTGGGGGACTGGATAACCCCCTCGGAAAAACCACAAAATGTTAAAAATCATTAACATGACCCTTCAGGAGTGAGGGACTGCCCTCGGTAAAACAGGCAACGCAAACCTCTCACAACTCTACAAACAACAACGAAACAAACACCAGCATCAGAGGACAAACACAATTACTCATTTTCCCTCAAGTACCTTTCGACAAAAGGAGTGAGGGACTCCTGATGGAGTATATGGCCCAGGGACCCCCGACCCACATACCTCCACAACCATAATCAGACCCAACGGGCCAAGCCAGCAAAATGAAGCGCTAAGCGGCCCACAAGATGCAAAGGGGTGCCTTCAGCCCTTTGACCGAAGGCCACCATTGACAGGGTTAAGCTCAGAAACATCACAGTAGAACAAGGCTTGAAGACCAACCCTTCGGCATATACAGCCCTCGGTGTTGAGAGGCCCCCGGTTAGAAGAGCCTTCGACCAACACCCTTCAACCGAAGGCACTTCCCTCGAATAGAATATCCTCTCCACATGCGCCTGAATCACCGTACCAAGTACAACATCGCATCCAACCACCGCATTAAATGCGGCCACATGCAAATGCCGGTGCCACCCCGATTGAGGTGACTCCTCGACCACCAAATTATTGACACGTGTCCATATCTAGCATTTATTGCTGTTATAAATAGCAGCCCATTTCCCCATTGTAAGGCATCACAAATTCACACACTGAATACATACTCCCTCTTTACTTATTGCTCCGACTTCTCTCTAGTTATTCCCCGAAATAACCCCTCGGATAAGCTACCCCCGGGTACACTATCCATCAGGTGGGATTAAGGAAAATTCTAAGGCAAATACCTCGACATCCTAATCTCGAGGTTTAAATCTCGAGATTACAATCTCGAGGTTTAAACTTCGAGATCTTAATCTCGAGTTTGCCTCAAAGAATAATGGCAAAATCCACCTGCAAAGCAAACCTTGAGACTTCGAAATCTTCAGAATTTCAAGTTGTTTGGAATAACTAATGGGATGATACACATTTGTGGCCCATATTACACGTTTAACTAATAACTACACAAATACAAAGATATTAAATTAGATTGGATACCATAAAATATTCCCAACAAATACTAAGCGTTAAATACAAAGCATACAACATTTAATACAAAGCATACAACATTGAATAATTGTACACAATATTGGAAGGGATGGAGAGCCCAATTGCTAGCTCAAGACGCTCGACGCTGGGGAAGCCGGTCTTGAGATATAGAATGACGCTGAGGCCAAGGGGCCGTTCGTGATATGAGGACGACGGCAGTGATGGGCCGATCGTCATATAAAGGCGATGGTCCCCATCCTGGAAGGGAATAGCGAGCCCCGTCGCTGGCTCAAGACTCTCGGCACTGGGGAAGCCGGTCTTGAGATGTAGAACCACACCGAGGCCAAGGGGCCGGTCGCGGTATGAGGACAACGACACTGAGGGGCTATGATGCAGTCGATGGTGGGCTTGACCGTTGGCCTAACACTTGGTACCGTCAGTTGGCCGAGGACAATCCTCAGCTGATAAATTGCGTCATCAGGGTGACGACTTTTTGGAGGCGCTCTTGTGTTCAAATAAAGATCATCAGAGGCTAGGTCGAGGGACTCAAAGCAAGCTCGGATCATTTAATAAAAATGACCGGAGATCGGTCGAGAGGCCCAAAGCTTGACTCGCACCACGTCAGGGGACTTTGACCCGCGCAGTGACGGTGGTGATAATATAATATAATAATAATAATAGTAACATTAAATAATAATATTAAATAAGAATAGTAACATTAAATAATAATAGTAATAATCATACTACTACTATTCAATGTTTAATGCATTAGGAGTACTGGGTTGCTTGGGTACTTACCGAGATCTGAGCTGCCAATACCCTTGGGGTAAAAGGCATCCTCGTGCGGGGTTGGATGACAGGCTCCCCCGAGCTCTCGACGAGTTTCCTCTGCATCTCGTCCACCTTTGCCAACATGGTTGCGTATTCGGGGATCCATCTGTGAGGCAGAAGCTATTGTCTAGGCCTAACGGGCCTCTATCTCGTCAAGTCGGCACTGGAGGGCCTCTGTCTTGATCTAATGTTTGGTTTTCACTCCGGTCCTTCCGCCGGTTTTCGAGGCCAAGGCGAGCGTCCGGAGCATTCTTCTGGAGCTGAAGGCGCAGATCAGCAGCAGCCTACTCCATTTCAGCGAGGGCCCTGCCTTCGGGAGCCTTGTTGGAGGCTTTGGCAGCTTTAACCTCACCGAGACCTAGATTTTTGTCTTCTAGGGTCTTGGATTGACCTCGGGTTTTTCCCATTCCGATGAGTGTTTTTGTTTTTCGGAGGGGAGGGTTCTTACTTAATTGTTCGACCTCTCAATGAGAGCACCAAATGACGGATAGTATATCCGGGGGATATCACTGAGAGGTATCTAGAGAGAAATCAGAACAAGTAAGAGAGAGAGTATGTATGTAATAAATGAGGTTGTTATTCCGATCTTTTACAATGAAGAATTGACTTGTTATTTATAGCAGCCATAAATGTTAGGTGTAATTAATGCGGGTACACGTGTCAAGTAATCAATGGTGGATGGTCAACTAGGCTAGGGTGGTGCCGTCATAGCATGTGACACCGCATTTAATGCGATGGTTGAACGTGACACCACATTTAAAGTTGGTCACTAACTGAATTTTGTAACTTTATCATTGATCACTATGTCGAAGGGAGTCATTGTGCCATTAGTCACTTTGACATTGGTCAATGCACCTTTAGTCTCACTTTTGGAATTTAACAAAAAAAAGTATTTTTTGTCCGTATCGCTTTTTAATACTTCCTCCGTCCCTTAAAACTTTGACAACTTTCTTTTTTTGGGTGTTCCACTAATTTTGCCAGTTTCTCTTTTAAGTAAAGAATTTGTGGTTCTAGTTAATTCTCTTTTCACCTCAAACCTCAACCACACACTTTTACATTATTAATTTCCATTCCAGTGCTCTACACTCCAAACTTTGCAAATTTTAGAAAGGGAAAAGGGCCAAAATGGACATTGAGGTTTTTAATGAAGAGCGTATTGGACATTAAGGTTTTTTTGAGATCAAATAAACATGAAATTAAACTTTTCAGACCTCATCGCCCACCCCCTAACATTTCCCGTTAACATCTTCTCTTCCCCGTTATCACCCTGCGATTACAATCTCCCTAATTGAAATTTCTAACCCTAACTCACTTCCATGGCTAATAAGTGTGAGATTGTGCGAGTGAGTCGAGAAGATTAGAAGGTGTTCAACTGCACGACCAAGGTTACAATACGTACGACTAATCTGGGGTAATCTTTGAGTGTTGTTTTTGTTTGTTACAATGACTGGGTTGGTTAATCTCAGATTTAACCATAGCGGGAGGTGGGTTATGAAACCAAAGTTACAGTATGTGAATGGGGACGCTGATACAGTTTATGGGTTTGACCCTGATTATATGTGTTATCATGACATTTCAAGAAAATACAAGGATGACTTGGGGTTTAAAACACTGAAAAATATATATGTTTTAGAACCTGGAAAGGATTTGGACAATGGACTTTTCTTAGTTCAGGATGATGACACTATAAGGAAAGTGTTAAATCGTATAAGGAGATTTTCTTGGATTGATACTATAGAGCTATATGCTGACCATCAACTGGACGAACCCATTTTGATTCCCCTGATAGAAGGTTCATTTTCTGAAATTGGTAACCATGACATTGGTGATGAGAATGATGGTGGGGTGGGTGATGAGTCTGCCAATACAGATTGGAGAGACCAAAGTGATGAAGTGAATACAAGTGGTGTCCCAAATGGGTATGTTACAGATGAAGAATCAAATAGAGGCTCAGAAGATGAAGAGAGCAACAATTCTGATCCATCCTCTGATAATGATGGTACAATCAATTACAATGCAACAGATGGGTCAGATTGTTTTATGAATGGAATGACCTTTGCAGATGCTGAAGAGGCTAGGACTGCAATTGCTAATTATGGTGTGAAATATGGTTACAAGCTGAAAATCAAACCAAATGAGAAGAATAAACTGGCTGTTAAATGTTTGAATGAGGAAGGCTGCCCATTTAGATTATGGATTTCTCAAGATGGGAAGAACTATGGGTTGGCAGTGAAGATTTGTAACACTGAGCACAAGTGTTTCCGACACTATTCTATTCCTAGTGCTACTCAAAAGTGGCTTGCAAATTACTTTAAAGGGCACCTGGAGAGAAATCCTAGCTTTCGAGTTGCTGACATGAAAGAGGAGGCAGAGAAGAAGTTGAAGATAAATGTTAGCTTGTATAAATGTAAAAGGGCTAAAAGGTTGATTATTCAAGAAATGGATGGTAGTTATAAGACTGAGTTTGGGTACCTAGAAGCATATGCTGCCACATTAAAGAGGAGTAATCCAGGTTCAAAAGCTGAAATTGAACTCTGCAGTGAAGCATTGAAAGAAGGGAGGAGAGTATTCAAGAGAATGTTTGTATGCTTTGCTGCTTTGAGGCAGAACTGGCTGGCTGGCTGGCTGTAGAAGAATCATTGGTGTGGATGGTTGCTTTCTAAAGGGTGTTCATGTTGGATGGTTGATAATAACATCACAGAGTCCTTCAATTCATGGATCCAGGAAGCTAGGTCAACACCTATTGTAACCATGCTGGAAGATATACGCTTGAAGGCAATGAAAAGAATTTCAGAGTTCAAGACAAATCATGATAAGTGGATAAACGATTGGTCTCCCTTATGCATGGAGTACTATCAAGACAATAAGGAGGCTGCTAGTGGTTGCAATGTTATATTTAATGGGGATGTGGGGTTTGAGATTGGAGAGGGGACAGATAAGCACACAGTTGTGTTGGATAAGATGGTCTGCACTTGTAGAGCATGGGAACTGACTGGAATACCATGCTTACATGCCATATGTGCTTTCTATTATAGGAAGGTAGATCCTATCACCTACATTTCAAGATGGTATCATAAGGAGACTTATATGGCAGCATATGCAAATGCTTTGCAACCGGTACCTGGAAAAGCTTTCATGAAGGTTGATGATTATGAACCCATTTTACCTCCCCCAATGCCAAACCTACCTGGCAGACCAAAGAAGAACAGGGTTAGATCATCTACTGAGGTCAAAGGATCTGGAAGTGCTTCTACATCTGCCAGTGCTACACCTCAGACATCATCAAGAAAAGGGAGACCACAAACTTGTGGGATATGCCATAAGGAGGGCCATAAGAGAGCTACATGTCCTAATAAAGATAAAGATGTAAGTAGTACATGACTTTGAAGATGTAAACTACAATATTGATTTATTGTGTTTTCATGACTTTTTTTATCTGTTTCTTAGGCAAGTGTTCAAGGAGCAGAAGGGAATGGACCTATACCTGTGAAGAGACCTGCTAGTGTTGCTTTTTCAGCAATTCCTACCACTACAGAATCAGCTCCACCAACAAATCCACACACTAATGCTAAAAGGAGTACTGGTAAGTCTAAAGTGACATGTAGAAGAATAGGAAGGAAGATAAGTAAACAATCTGTAACAGGCTTTGGGTGCCATGTGGATGTGAACACTGGGGAGAAGACTTTAAATGTGAGTATCAATAGGTTTCCAGTGTTATGTAAGTGGTTTAGTTTGTTGATGTATTGAAATAAGTTTTCTTATTTCTAATTTTACCTTCATGTACTTGTTTATGCTTGTAGCCTGGGATGAGCAGTGAGGAAATAGTTTCAGATTTCCAGCCTGAAATGCCACATGACCCTGATGTTACAGTCAGATTTGCAATCCCAAATGAAAAAGATATCAGAGGAGCTGCCCGGGCTGAGAAGCAGTTGGATGTGCCAACATATAGAACAATACCTTTCAAGGGTGATGGTACAGAGGTGCATAATCCAACAAACCTACCTTTTCAACCACCTGGTTTGCAATGGAATGGGAATGCAGCAATCAGCTCTAAGCAGTTGTTACAGAAGATGCAGATCAGGAGGTCGGGTTCCATTCCAAAGTGATGAATGAAGACTCATATGTTTCATTAGAACACTTTTGGATGCAAATATGGATGAATGAAGACTCATATGTTTCATTAGAACACTTTTGGGCACTTTGTATTTATTAGCTTATTAGCTTTTTGGCAATGTAGTCGTTTGAAGACTCACGGGAAGTTTAGGTGTTTTGTATGAAGTTTTAGTACTTCTGGCAATCTAAGGAACTGACTGCAATTATGGGGTGCTAAATTAGGGCTTATAATGCTTTTTTTGTATTTTGTAACCTCATTAACAATCAGTATTATGATCCCTAATGATGTGAAGTTATGATATAACATCTTTTTTTGTTTATATACGTTGTTTATTCAACCAGACCATGTTGGCATGAGGGCTTTCTTCTACATATTGTATTGTGGTTATGGTATTGACTCTGATTTCAAACTGCTCTCAAACTGGTGTTATCAGTACACTACTTCATTTGTGGTGTTATCAATACACTGCTCTCAAACATAGTAATACAACCAGACCAACTTATTAAAAACCAAACCAAAGTGTTAACTTAAATTCAAATTCTAACAGCAACATGTATTCAAACTGTTTACAAGGTCATAACCAAACCATTTTACAAGAAACTGAAACTAACATACTAACACACATAATACTACAATAAGGACACATAACAACACTACAATAACATAATTATTCTTCATTTTAGTTTTGCTTTCCAATTCCAGATGGGCTGCATCATTCATACTGTTGACTTCTTCAAGTTCACTCTCCAACTTTTGAGCAACACTATCACATTCCAATTCAAACATTGCAGATTGGAGCCTCCTATTCTCCCGTTTCAGCTCATTGATAACATGCCTTGCTCTGTCCGTTAATGGCTCATCATGCCATTCAAAGAAGCCACATCCAACCTTCTGAGTATACACAAGAGTATGAATATCAATATGAATATAAATAAATTATACATATTCATGATCTTCTCCAGTTCTCATATGTGAAAAGAACAATTAAAAGCATACCTCATAATTAGGACATCCATGAAATCTTCTCCCTGGATTCTTGTCAGTCCATGAAGTCCAAAGTGGCGCCTTGACGCGAGTTCCATTTGCATTCATGCATCTGCAAAACCTAGAATGCCCAGAATACGGTCGCTCATAGATGCTTCGAAGCTTCACTGAATCACCGGACTCAGATTTCTGTACCTCAGACGACCTCGATGCTGAAGGACTAGCCGACATCACTGCTTTCTTCTTCATAATCTGTCTCAGATTGTATTTATTAGGTATATATCAATTAGGTCTAATCGCAGGGTGATAACGAGGAAGAGAAGATGTTAACGGGAAATGTTAGGGGGTGGGCGATGAGGTCTGAAAAGTTTAATTTCATGTTTATTTGATCTCAAAAAAACCCTTAATGTCCAATACGCACTTCGTTAAAAACCTAGGTGTCCATTTTGTCCTTTTCCCATTTTAGAAATGAGGAAGCCGTCGGCCTAGCTTTCCTGTCAATAGCAAGTGTATCTCCTGTTTCACACTTTCCGGCGACAAAATCTTTAAAATCCGCTCGATTCCGGTCACACTCCGTATATGTTATAATCACAGATACATACACGTTGTGAGCGGATGAACTGAGAACCTGAAATATGGGGGCTACAGGCTCGAAACTGGAGAAAGCTTTGGGAGATCAGTTCCCGGAAGGAGAGAGATACTTTGGTCTTGAGAATTTCGGAAATACCTGCTATTGTAACAGTGTCCTTCAGGTTCGGTTATTTCTTCTTTTGATTTGCTTTCTTCAACTTCTGATTAAAAGTTTCAGAATCCGACACAGAGTTCATGTGAATTTTGTTTAATTTTTTAATTTATAATGTTATTGTGAATTAGACAACAAGGAAGAAGAGATAAATGTGTTTTTTTTTTCGGATTATAATGCGAAAGATAGAGGATTTCAAATATATTATTACCCTAAATTTTCCTTTGATTGGACTATGTGTTCATTGTTCAGTGATGAAAAGGTAAGGTCTTGCTAGAGTTCTCAAGTGTTTTTATGTTTTCAGCAAGAGCAATGGACAATCCCACATATTTTAGAGGAGAAGCTTTATTTGTTCAAGATACTTTTGGTATACGGATAGACGGATAGTCCTCCTGATGTGTTGCGGGACATTTTTGTGGTTGTTGTATACGGTACAATGAGCTTTTATTTATGCAAACACTACGTTAGTTACTTTCCGTATACAATCTTTACAAACAGTGGTTTTAGGCTAAGTTAGCCATATGTAAATCCAAATTCCATGAATCTATTAGATGAAAAACGTAAATAGTCCAAACAGTAAACGTAGATGAAACCCCATTGATCTGCGTATCCTATTTTGTCATGAAGATTTTAAATCATTTCTTAGGAGTCCTTCTCACATGTTATGTCCCATAGAGGTATTTGAGATGAGAGAGCATTATGAACTCTTAATTTCATTGCTCACCAGCTATGTTACTCTTGAATTTCTCTAGTATATGGCTTTCCATTTCCACTGCATTAATGTTTTGGTTTAAATTCATCAAAAACTTGGACTGTTTGAATGTCTGGTATGATGATGATGCTGCGATCGCGATCTCCCTCTCGCTTGGAACTACTCGTTCATCGCGGCTACATTTCCAACGATGTTTTCCATCATCGTTCTCATCTCAGTGATGCTTCGTTCCATCGCTGCATTATGTCGTTCAATGGCTTCCACTCTATTCTCCATCTTAGATCTCGTCCAGACCATTCACAGCTGAAACGGAGGAATTTTCTGATTCCGCGTAACTATTCTGATCACCAGTACGATCACCAGAAACGCATGCTCTGATACCAATGATAGAACACTGGTAATTCCGACTCAGAACACAGTAGAATCAATAGGAAATTCTCAAGAAAAACAAGATCAAGAAGAGTTTATTGATGTAGGAGAAATGTACAAAAGGTAATACAATGCATAGGACTATTCGAGATGCCCAGTCTCCAAAGTCTAAGTCCAACCGAATAACAGCCTAACCTCCACCAGCTGCTTAACCTTCTATTTATAGCTAATATCCACGCAGGGATGTACAAGATATTAACCAACAGATTAGTTAACTAACTAACTGTTTTATTATTTCTCCTATCATAGACATTTCTAAAATACTTAATAGGCTGCTCATCCGAGTGCCTATCACACCGCTCCCTCCCATGGTTGTCATGGCGGTATGGAGCGGCACCAGCCAACCACCTTATCACCTAGGCAACTAGTCACATCATATGTGACATTTAAATATATAAAATAATACATTTAAATATGCTTAAGTTGTGATATATTACATTATTACAAATTAAACTATATATGACTTGGTTACTCCGTACAAATTAAGTTATATATTACATAGAGTTGAAACCAACAATTTATAATTCAAAAGTCAAAACAAGGTTTAGTAATTTAATACATAAGTAAAAATATTCATCTCAAATAAACAATAAAAATATTCTAAAATTTAACCTCATGTACTCCAACCTGCTCCTTTTCTTTGTATGAATCTATTTTTTAAACATATTTACATTTGGTTAGGATTTTAATTTAATAAGTGAAAAGTTTTTGTAATTTTACTTTTGGTTTGTACTTATGTACTTAAAGAGAAGATATATATGAATTTTCTTCGATCATCGTATCTTTTTCTCAATGCAGGCTCTGTATTTCTGTGTTCCATTTCGGGAACAGCTACTAGAGTACTATTCAAATAACAAAAACCTTGCTGATGCAGATGAAAGTCTCTTAACATGCCTGGCGGACTTATTTATGCAGGTGATGTTTGATTGTTAAAAAGGGAAGTCGGTGTTATTGTGTGACAAACTTAAAAAAAGTGAGACTCATAAAATTCAATAGTGGGAGTATTTTCATATTGTTGCTACAATGTATCTTCATAATATGTGAACACATATTTTGAAGTGTATTTTTATATGTAATGATTAATGACAACTTTTTAGTTGAATTTGTGGGCCTTGCCTAACTTCTTTGTGCAGATTAGCTCACAAAAGAAGAAAACAGGTGTGATTGCTCCTAGACGCTTTGTACACAAATTGAAGAAGCAGAATGAGATTTTTCGGAGTTATATGCATCAGGTGCTGTGTGAACTCAATGATAAAATTTAGTTCATCAATATTGTGATTATTTGTAGTTATATTTTACACAAGATTAAAATTCTTATTTTTATTAAGTTCCAGTGGTACCCTACATATTTTGATTGCACATGTATAGCTAAAGGTTTTGAAAAAGAAACAAGAGAAGTACGCTAAGGTATTGTTTGTTTGTACATTATATCTTCAGATGTGGAAGTCTAAGGCTCTAAGCATGCAGTTTTTTAAATTATTTGAATCATTTGTGTACAGTTGATGAATCCTTTGCCTAGTAGAGCTTAAGAATATGTGATACAATGCCATTGTGAAGGAGAATACGCTTACATTGAATGTTCTGAAATACTGAAATTTTAATGGATTACAATTGCTTCCCGGAAAGTATCTTCTTGGAAATACTTTCTGACAGTTGAATGTTCTTGTGTATGGCATGTTTGCCTGGAATGCTTTTCCTCTGTTTGGCACCACAAAAATGTTCTCAGTAAGTCTTTGAACTATTACAGAATCCGTTTTGAAATTGGGAAACCATTTTCATGAAAAAGATCTATATTTTCTATTTTTGTGAGTTAAACTTAATATTATTACTTTGACTGGGCATGAAATTTAAGAAAGTGACAACGGTGAGGTAAATATTTATTTAGAAGAGAATAATATTATAAATGACATATTGTTTTCCTTAAAAGGAAATAGGCAATAATTTCGAGACAGAGGAAATAAGCTATGTAGTATAATAATTATAATTTAGGGACACAAGGAGTATACGTGGAGTAACTTATTTTCACAGTAAATATCTTCCCTTTTCTAGGAAAACTGCTTCCACAAGTCCACAACATGCTACATTCCTGCCAATAAAGTTGCATTTTTATTAGGTTCTGATCATCTGATGCCAACTTTTTAATAGGATGCCCATGAATTCCTGAACTATTTGCTGAATGAACTTGTTGACATACTGGAAAAAGAGTCAAATGCTGCCAAGAGTGGTCAAGAAACTTCACTACCATCTGAGAACATTGCAAATGGACCAAAGGCCATCCATGTAAACAATCACATAAATTTTTCTCATAAGGAGCCTCTTGTGACCTGGGTTCACAAAAACTTCCAGGTAGACTTGCGTGGCCTATTATCAATTCTTACTTTTCGGTGCTGCTTCTAATTATTGAAGCCTGGCCTAATCGCTGGAAATTTAGTTTTTGCATAGGAACATTTTGAGTAATTTTGATGGCCATTCTTTTATTTTTTTTTTATTTTTTATTGCTGGAGTTGTAGTTTTTCCATCATTTGCAATGGAGCCAAAGATTCATTATTTTTTGGCTTGAGATTATGATGGAATAAAGCAAAATGTCTCACTAAATGATAGGACCCCGGCTATTATAAATAATAAGAATAGATATGGCTTAGTCTATTCTAGAAAGAAGTAGTTTATCTGTTTTTGGCTGGCGGATAGTTGTTATGAACTATTGACTACTTATAGTTAGGGAGTTGGGACTATAAATAGAATAAACCAGTTAGAAGTTAGGCAGGCTGTTAGATGCTTGGCTTGGGACTGGGAAGTTAGAGTTCTATCTCTAGCTTTGGGACTACTGTACTGTGTACCGCCATTAATGAAGTTTGGAGTTGTTTTCTATTCCGTTTTACTTGTGAATTGCGAACTCTAGAAGAAATTAATAGTTGCTTGTCCTCGGAAATATTTTCATCACTGGACGGTATCATGTCAAGCTCACTAACTGCACGGTCATGTGTGGGATCAGATCTCATCTCATCATTTACAGTTCGAGTGAATTCTCCGACATCATTAGCAATTCCCCCGGTTACCGCCTCCAAATGGTGGTTCAGGAATATCATAAACTGTCGGTGCTTCTTTAGGAGCCACACTGAGATCAGTGTGTTGAGGAAATTTAACAGGGGGCTGCAGGGGCATCCAAAAAGGAGTTAATCAGGGCTGTGAGGGAACCAACAGAGGCACCAACTTCATTATTAGGTCTCAAGGAGCTTGCACAAGGATCTGGAACCGCACCAACATTAGCCAAAACAGACGCAACACAAGGACCAGCCTCAATTGCAGGGGCACATGAAGCACCAAGAGATGTAAGAGAGGCTGCCTGGTCATCATTAACTGGTACAAAGGCTTCCTGAGCATAAAAAACAGGGAAAATATGGGCAGTGAGGACACCAGCCGAGGCACCAACATCTGGTATAGCAAAATCGCTGTCAGCAAATTCAATATCATTGGAAGGGGCTGTTATTGGGGACTGAACAGAAAAAATTTCAGTAACATTGGAACAAAAAACTGGTTGAGCATCAAGGAAGCTAACATCTTTAGAGGGGGGGGGGGGGGTTCTGGTATTGCCAGACGGGGCACGTTGGCATTTACAAGCATAGGGGCAGCAGGGAAATTCTCAAGCATAGGGACAACATTAAAATTATCAAGCACATGGGCAAGATTATCAGATATATGTGAGAAAAAGAAGTTTGAGGATGCAGCATAAGCGAAAAACACAAGCAGATACTGTGATAAAAAGAAAAGGAAGGATAAACAAGGAAAAAAAGTAGCAACTGCAACCATATACAGGCTATGCAGGACTTGAACCTGCATCTTTGTGCATATTTGCACATTGCTCTACCATTTGAGCTAATAGCCTTGATAATATATTATACTAGACACCAAAAAGAGCATTTAACATCACGAAAAAAATAAAAAAGAAGAGAATGATCAATAATGTAATCAAGAGCTAACAATAACTTGTAAAAGAATGAGTGCAATATTTTAATATTGAATAACCTCTTAACTCAAAACTGAAGATTATTGTTTACACATTAAGATTCACTATCAAGGCAAAACTTTTACTCAAAATAATATAACTATTAATTCAAAAAGACATAACTTTTATTTCGAATTCATAGTTGATCATTTGCATTAGAAATAAAGGACATGCTGCCAAAGTTGAAAGTAAATCCAAAAGGTTGTAGTTGAGAATGACCTGGTAATTACTGAACTCTGCCCCTTTCTTCATGGTCAAAACCATAAATCATATAAGAAGAATTATCACCTAGAAGATACAATAATCCATTAGTACACAATGATCTCAACCCCTGGATGGCAAAACATTGGAAAACAAACTAAAGCACCCCTAGTACCATTCAATTTGGAAGCTCTTCTTTTGAGTTCTTAAATCAATTGTTTGGGTTTCCTAAATCAATCCAAAGGACATAATAAATTTAAATCAGTGATTTAAATTTGAGGTTCTCTGTCAACACACAACTAACTTCTAGTCAAATAACTATAACTATTAACTTAAAAGACATAACTTTTATTAAAAACTCATATGAGATCTAAAGTTTAGAACATCAAACTTTAACATAAATGTAAATTTAAGAGGATAAAAGTATAACTGAATAGACAAAGATTCAACAAGAAATTAGTCAATGAGTTTCATTTGTTATTCATAAATTTATACTCTACACTGAAATGAATCCCATTACCGTTTACACATTTTATCAAACACTTGATATGCATAACTAGAATTCATTATTTATTTAGGATATTAAACCTCAATAAAGAATAGGCTACAATGAAATATCTTTTATTAATGTGCAACATAATATATAGATTCGATTCAGATGTGACAACAAATCAAGAAGAAAAAGTATGAAACAAAACTTTTGCAGATAAGAGAAGAGTTTAGTACTTCAATTAGGGAAAAAATAAGTTGATTCAGAGCTTCGATCTCTCTATAGTCAATCATCATCACTAGGAATTGGTCTTGTATGGCGCTGCACCTCACTAGACGCACTAGGTGATAGATCGAAATGGACAAGGAAGGGCGAACGATCGTTGTCACTTAAACGCTGGTGATCTTCCTCCGCGAGCGGCTATTCATAGCCGGAGAACTCGACAATAACTCATCGTTAACTTCCTGGAATGAATCCGCCTAGGGGGTCGCCATCACAACATGATTGGTTTGAAGAAGGAGATCGGGAGAAGCTCAGAAGCGGTGAGAAGAAAGAGAATGATACAGATGAGCGGAATATTTTTATTTAAAGGGCAGAGGTTTTACGGATCTAATAAAGGTATGAAGTTAACACAAATTACAACTATGCCATTAATGAGACCACTGCATCTAAGTAAATCGAACGGCTCATAACCCTTCTCATTTTTCAGCCGAAAGGTCACTTCTCACCGGATCCTTTTTCTATATATATATATATATATATATATATATATATATATATATATATATATAGGTTTTGGTTCAAATAAGAACATGATCTTATGAGAAAAATGAGAATGAATCTGGACCGTTAGATTTGCTTTATGTGAAATTCAATGTGCATTGGATGAATCTGTAATGTGTATTAGGTGAAATTGAAATGTGCAGCACAAATGGTACAATGTAGTGACATTATGTGAAGTTAAATTGTGCATTAGGTGAATTTGAAATGTGCACTAGATGAAACTAAAATGTGCAGAATAAAAGGTGCGATGTGATGTTATTTTTGTACCTTTTATTCTGCACATTTCAGTTTCACCTCATGCACATCTGAGTTTAAATTTTAATTATGCACATTTCAATATCATCTAATGCACATTTCGGTTTCACCAAATGCACAATTCAGTTCCACATAATTCAATCCAACGGTCCAGATTCGTTCTCATTTCTCTCCTAAGATCCGTTCTTACCGGAACCACTCCCTATATATATATATATTATATATATATATAGAAAAAGGATCCGGTGAGAAGTGACCTTTCGGCTGAAAAAATGAGAAGTGGTCTTCCCGTACAAAGTGCAAAGTTTTCACATTTTCATATTTCGCTTGCAATTTTTCTTATTTCGCTTGCATTTTCATATATATATGGAGCGGTTCCGGTAAGAACGGATTCCTAGGAGAGAAATAAGAACGAATCTGGACCGCTGAATTGTATTATGTGGAACAGAAATGTGCATTTGATGAAACTGAAATGTGTATTACATGATACTGAAATGTAAAGAATTAAAATTTAAAATCAATTGTGCATTTGGTGAAACTGAAATGTGCTAAATAAATTGTACAAAATTAACATCACATCGTATCTTTTATTCTGCACATTTCAGTTTCACCTAGTACACATTTCAATTTCACCTAATGCACAACTCAGTTTCACTTAATGACATTGTATCATACGCTTCGTGTTGCACATTTCAATTTCACCTAATGCACATTACAATTTCATTTAATGCACATTGAATTTCACTTAAAGCAAATCTAACGGTCTAGATTCGCTTCTTTCCTAAGATCATGTTCTTATTTGAACCAGAACCTATATATGTATATATATATATATACATATATATATATATATATATATATAGGGAAGAGTTCAAATGAAAAGTGGTCTTCCCGTGCAAAGTGCAAAGTTTTCACTTTTTCATGTTTCGCTTGCACTTTTTGTTGTTTGCGTTGCACTTTTTGGCCATTTTGATTTTAGCCAAATTCGACCAAAATGACAGTGGTAGTTTTGTAAATAAACCAATTTTTTTGAGCTATCGCGAAAAAGTGCAACGAAAGCAAGAAAAAGTGCAAGCGAAACATGAAAAAGTGTAAACTTTTCACTTTGCACGTTAAAACCCCTTTTTATTTGAACCCATCAAGGTTATCCTCTATATATATATATAGGGTGCGGTTCCAGTAAGAACGATGCTTAACGTGAGAACGCATCAAGGTCGTTGATCTTTGGGAAATAACGGTCATAACTTATAGAGTGCACTCCTATATTGTGTGAATAACGACATACTAACACATTCATAACTAATAAATGGCCTTTGAACGTAATAAGAAAGGGCAATTACGTAATGTTAATTTTTTTACCTTCTATGATGATGACACCCTATTTGGCATTTATTATCTTGCAACTATTTTAGTTTCAGGTATGGAAAGAATTCAAACTACGTATAAATAATGTGTTTGATAAATTTAGGTGCTTAGTACATTAAAAATACACGTTACTTTTATATTGTTGTAATTAATTCAATTGTTTTTAGTGCTGAAATAATTCAATGTGTTAATGGTGTATGTTATAAGTATACTTGTGCAACGTGTTGTAGTATTAGTGTAAAGTGTTGTATTTCAGTTCTGAAAGGTGTCTTCCTTAAGGGATTGAGAAGAGGGATATCAGGGCTGAACTGAAGTTGTATACTACCAGAACCTTAGCTGAGGTTATGGATCAAGCTTCCCTTATTGAGAACAAAAATAATGAAGCTATGTTGATGAAGAACAAAGAAGAAGGAAAGAAAAAGGGGTTAAGTAAGAGCAATAGTTCATATTCTCAAACCATTTGGGGTGATGGAAGCAGATGGAAAAGTATGACTAACAGTAACTCTAACATGCCAAAAAGTAACTCAGATTACAGAAGCAACACTGACATAAAGGCACCTACTATGGGTAAATCTGGTCCCAGGTTATCCAGGAGTGAGCTGCAAGAAAGAAGTAGGAGAGGCTTGTGTTTTAAGTGTGGAGAGGACTGGAGCAAGGGTCACATCTGTAAGATGAAGAACTATAAGATGATTCTAGTGGAACAGTCTGAAGGAGAAGATGAATCTGAAGGGGAATTACTGGAATCTGAAGAAGAGGGAGATACTCATAAACAACTTAAAACAATGCAACTTTCTGTTTTAAGTAAGGAGGGTTGATGGGAAACAACATGTGAACATTCTGATTGACAGTGGAGCCACACACAATTTCATAGCGCAGGGTTTCATTGACAGGTGGGGGTACCTTTTATGCCTATACAAGGAGTTAAAGTGCAGATTGGCAATGGGGATCTCATCCATAATAATGGCAGATATGATGGAATGAAGCTGGAAGTGCAAGGAAATACCATACATCAATCATATTATATTCTGGAATTGGGTGGCACAGATATTGTTTTGGGGATGGCATGGCTGACTGAGTTGGGCGACATGGAAGTGAATTTTCAGAAGCAAGTAATAAGATGGAAACAACAAGAAAGGATAAATTGTATCCAAGGGGAAGCAGCATTGAATATTTGGGAGGTTCCAGTGAAAACAATGCTTCACATTCTGCAGAAAGAAGGAGATGTATATTTTCTTTATTATGAAGGGCAGTTGTATGGTTTGGAACAGAATACTAAGGAAGCCAAGGTTTGGGAAGACATCATTGCTGAATTTCCAGAAGTGTTTACTAATCAGTTGAAGTTTCCTCCTGCTAGAGATTGTGACCATGCCATAAACATCCAATAAGGAGCTAGTATACCAAATCTGAGGCCCTACAGGTACACTTTTGATCAGAAAAATGAGATAGAGAAAGTAATTGGTGAAATGTTAAAAGCTGGTATCATTAAGCACAGTAATAGTCCCTACAACAGTCCTATCTTATTGGCCAGAAAAAAAGATGGTGGTTGGCGATTTTGTGGTGATTACAGAGCCCTGAATAAGATCACAATACCTGATAAGTTTCCCATACCAGTTATAGAGGAGTTGCTAGATGAATTGGGGGGAGCAAGGGTTTTTTCTAAACTGGATCTGAAGTCAGGCTACCACCAAATCAGAATGAAGGAGAGTGATACCTGTAAGACTGCTTTCAGAACACATGAAGATCATTACGAGTACCTAGTCATGCCATTTGGGTTGACTAATGCACCTTCAACATTTCAAGCTCTAATGAATGAAGTTTTGAGACCTTTTCTCAGGAAATTTGCCTTGGTATTCTTCAATGATATACTGGTTTACAGCAAAACCAAGGAGGATCATAAAGAACACCTCAAATTAGTCCTGGACGCTTTAAAGAGGAATGACTTGGTAGCAAATCAGAAGAAATGTTCCTTTGGTCAAGAGCAACTGAGTTATTTGGGTCATATCATTTCTGCAGAAGGGGTGGCAGCTGACCCTAGTAAAACTAAGGCCATGGTAGAGTGGGCTGTACCAAAAGATTTAAAGGAGTTGGGGTTTTTTTTGGGTCTTACTGGATACTACAGGAGGTTTGTCAAGGGCTATAGTCACATTGCTGCTCCATTAACACAATTGCTGAAGAAGGATGGGTTTAAATGGAGTGATATGGCTACGAAAGCTTTTGTTGAGTTGAAGAATGCTATGTCTTCTTTACCAGTGTTGAGAATCCCTGATTTCAATAAAGTTTTTGAGCAAGGAACTAGCACCTAAACATTTGAGTAAATCTGTTTATGAAAAAGAGTTGATGGCAATTGTGTTTGCAATCCAAAAGTGGAGGCCCTACTTACTTGGCAGGAAATTTGAGGTTCACACTGATCAAAGAAGCCTCAAATACTTGACTGAGCAAAGAATCATGGGAGAGGATCAACAAAAGTGGATTGCCAAGCTAATGGGATACAATTTTATCATTAAATATAAACCTGGATGTGAGAATAAAGCGGCAGATGCTCTGTCAAGGAAATCAAAATTTTCAGCTTTATCAATTGTAAATTGTCAGGAGTGGGAAGGATTAAAAGATGAGCTGCTGGAAGATCCAAAGTGTGCTGATATTATTCAGAAGATTTTAAGTCATCCGGATCATATGGCGGATTTCAGACTGAAGAAGGGGTTGTTATACTACAAGGGAAGGCTGATGATACCCCAAAATTCCCCAAGAGTGACAAGGATTCTTCTGGAATATCATGATTCTGCAACGGGAGGGCATTCTGGTAATTTCAGAACTATGAAGAGGATCTCAACACTGTTCTACTGGGTGGGTATGAGGAAGCAGATACAACAATATGTGCAGAATTGTGATGTTTGTCAAAGAAACAAGTATCAGGCCTTGAAACCTGCAGGGTTGTTACAACCATTACCTATTCCAGATTGCATCTGGACTGATATAAGCATGGATTTTATTGGTGGATTGCCAAAAGCTCAAGGGAAAGACTATTCTGGTTGTGGTTGATAGATTAACCAAATTTGCACATTTTATAGCCTTGTCTCACCCATTTAATGCTAAAGGAGTAGCTGAAATGTTTGTCAAAGAAGTAGTTAGACTCCATGGATTTCCAAAATCCATAGTGAGTGATAGAGACAGCATTTTCTTGAGTTCATTTTGGTCTGAGTTATTCAAACTGGCTGGCACACAGTTGAGATACAGTACTGCGTATCACCCTCAATCAGTCGGCCAAACGGAGGTTGTTAATAGGTGTTTAGAGACCTATTTGACATGTATCACATGGAAGAAACCTAAGGAATGGACCAAGTGGTTACCTCGAGCAGAGTATTGGTACAATACTAATTACCATATTTCCTTAAAACAAACCCCTTACCAGGCTTTATATGGGCAAGAACCTCAACCCATTGTAAAAGGGGATGTGGTTAGGACTGCTAATGATGAAGTGTCAAGACTGACAGCTGAGAGGAATGGAATGTTAGCAGAACTCAAAGAAAATTTAGCTATTGCTCAGAATAAGATGAAGCAGCAAGCAGACAAACATTGGAGGGAAATGAAGTTGGAGGTGGGTGAAAAAGTTTTCCTGAAGATTCAGCCTTATAAACTGCAGAGTTTGGCTAAGAGAATCAATCAGAAATTGAGTCCAAGGTTTTATGGACCTTTTGAGATCATTGAGAAGGTGAATGCTGTAGCTTTTAAACTGAAATTGCCAGATGATTGCCTGATCCATCCAGTATTCCATATTTCTTTACTCAAGAAAGTTCTAGCTTCCGATACTTGCTGTCAACCATTGCCTAAATGTTTGAGTGAAAACTGGGAATTGCTGGTGAAGCCAGAGAAGGTGGTGGATACAAGGGAGGGAACTGATGGTAGAACTGAAGTTTTGATACATTGGGAAGACCTGCCAGAATTTGAAAGGTCTTGGGAAGATGCTCAAGTGTTGAAGACAGTTTCCAGACTTCAAGCTTGAGGACAAGCTTGTTTCTTTGAGGGGGAGTATTGATAGGACCCCGGCTATTATAAATAATAAGAATAGATATGGCTTAGTCTATTCTAGAAAGAAGAAGTAGTTTATCTGTTTTTGGCTGGCGGATAGTTGTTATGAACTATTGACTACTTATAGTTAGGGAGTTGGGACTATAAATAGAATAAACCAGTTAGAAGTTAGGCAGGCTGTTAGATGCTTGGCTTGGGACTGGGAAGTTAGAGTTCTATCTCTAGCTTTGGGACTACTGTACTGTGTACCGCCATTAATGAAGTTTGGAGTTGTTTTCTATTCCGTTTTACTGTGTGAATTGCGAACTGTTCTTATCACTAAACTGTCTTCGTTTCTTTGTTATGAAGCAGCAGTCAGTCCATGCAATTTTGGACGGGATTTTCACTATGGGTCATCCGGAAACAGTCTCTATGTTCTTTAGTACAGGGGTAAGACTGCGTACATCTGACCCCCCCTTACCCCACCGTAGGTGGGAGCCTTTGCGACACTGGGGTAAATGAAAATGAAATGAAATTGCTGGAGTTGTAGTTATTTATTGCAACAGCAATGTTTTGAGTCATGATAACGCTCCTAACAGATCCGATCCCTTCCAAACCATCGTTCTGTGTGATTTGCACATTTCAGGGTACACTGACCAATGAAACAAGGTGCTTATGTTGTGAGACTATAACAGCCAGGTATGAAACGTTTTTTGACTTGAGCCCTGATATTGAACAGAACAGTTCAATTACAAGCTGCCTTAAAAAATTTAGCTCCACCGAGACTTTGAATGCCGAAGACAAATTCTTTTGTGACAAGTGTTGCAGGTGAGAATTTGTCTGCTTTTAGTTTGTTTAGTTCACTGCAATCCAACTACATTGATATTTCTGGGTTGGTGACATGATATTTTTAGCCTTCATTAATTTTCCAAAATTATATAGCCAAAGATCACACGTTTACTTCCGTAATTGTTTGACACTGTAATTTGCGACCTGTCTTTCATGATTTATAAATTCAGTCCATCACTTGTTAAAATAGGCATAGAATTAGCCCATCCTGTTAAAATAACCATTTAGCATCAATGCTTATGGGGATGTTCTTTGCAATATTACACATGTGAATGCCCCTATAAACCTTAATATTTGATGGTGTAAACAGTATTAACATATGGACTCATTATCTCAATTGTAAAAATTGATGATGTAGGTTTATAGTCCAAGAGCCAGGTTCTAGATTACACAATTTCAAACCGTTGTGGGACTAAAGTCCAACTTTTGAAAATTACACACACATGTTTGTGTGCAGTTCTTTACTGGCTCTTAAATACACACACACACACAGAGACCAAGAGAGAGAGAGGAGTTATTCAAAACCTACCATTAGGGGGCTTACAAAACCCATCGCCCCCATGAAATTACTAACATACCCTTGAGAGAGGGAGTGTATGATAAGGCGGTAAATTATAGACCACCCTAGGGGCATGTTAAGGGACTGTAGGTGCTCTAAAAGGGGTTAGAAATTTGAGCACCATGGGGTTTTGTATGAGAGAGAGAGAGATGCGAATACATTTTTTAAAGTTACACGTGCTCCCACATGTGGGTGGTATATTTTTTGTATGACCATTTTAGGGCAGTGTTTGGGAAGGCTGGTGCTATAAAGAAGAGTATGTTTGAAAATGAAGCTTGCAGGAGGCACAAAAGAGAATGAAGATAAAGAAGGTGCCGCAGGTCCTAGTGATCCATCTCAAGAGATTCAAATACATAGAACAACTAGGCAGGTATAAGAAGCTGTCGTACCGAGTAGTCTTCCCTCTGGAGCTGAAGCTGAGCAACACAGTGGAGGAGGTGGACACGGAATACTCCTTGATTGGGGTTGTGGTCCATGTGGGGACAGGCCCCAACCACGGTCACTACGTCAGCCTTGTGAAGAGTCATAACCATTGGTTGTTCTTCGATGATGATAGCGTGGAGATGATTGATGAGTCAGCTGTTCAAACTTTTTTTGGATCGGCCCTGGACTACTCCAGCAATACTGATCATGACTATATTCTGTTTTATGAACGGGTGTGTTCTGGTTCTGCCCCTGGCCAATAAAATAAATTATGGCGCTGTTTTTTCCCTTTTAGCAGCCATGCCCCCAATTTATTCCAAATGCTTGTTTTGTGCGTGATATATACACAGTTCTCTGCTGCTCTTTCTTTCCCTGTACAACAACAATGGTGGGTGCCTGGGTGGAATCGAAGTTAACCTTTCTCTTTCTTTTCCGCCAATAAAATGGGAAATGAGGTAGATATATGCTATGCGTGGATTCAAAGCAAGTGTTTGTAAACTACCAGCAGAACACGTCCTGAGAGGTGCAGTGGAAGTAAATTACGTTTGTCAACTTATGGAGAAAATAGGCTCTCCATCCACCTTCTGTGTAACAAATTATGTTTTTTTTATGTCAAGAAAAATATGGTCCATATCATTTCACTTTATTATACTCTAACTTTAATCAAAATCTTTACTTTTTAACCATTTTATTAATAATTGTGTCAAACTAAAATAAAACGCACAATTTGGGGAGTGAATACTATATTGAAGCCCAATTTCAAAGTTTTTCTTTTGCATACGAATAAAAATGTGTTACCAATGTCACCATTCCCAATGTCACCACCTCTGCAGAAGATCACTTGATTGTTGGAGAAAAAATGGGAATCTTTTTCGTGAATTTGAAAATAAAAAATAGAAAATTTCTTGTGACTTTTTGAGTAATAGATGGTCCAAATTGTGTGTGGGCAGCAACTCCAGCAAAGGGTGGATTGTTGGAAGGTATTAGAGATTTAGAGGGAAAAGCAATTTTAAATTAATTAATCAAAGATTAGGTTCATTAGAGAAAAAACTAGTCATATTTTTCTTTAAAAAGTGTAGAAACATGTTTTATGTCAGTTTTTTAAAATATATATATATATATATATATATATATATATATATATATATATATATATAGAGAGAGAGAGAGAGAGAGAGAGAGAGAGGAGTTTTCATGTGCGGACGGCTGCACCAGACCCGCCGTCTGGCCGACGGCGTTTGGCCGCCTTCCCAGTGGAATTTTTTGATGCAATTTTTATGGCATGTTCTTCATCAAGTCTAGTTTATCCACAAAAAATCAGTTAAAAACTCAATCCGGAAGGTCGTCAAATGATTTTGTGAAGTTCACTGCGTATTTTTTAGCGCAGTGAATTTCAAAAAATCATTTGACGACCTTCCGGATTGAGTTTTTAGCTGATTTTTTTGTGTGAATAAACTAGACTTCATTAAGAACATGTCATAAAAATTTCATCAAAAAATACCACCGGGAAGACGGCCAAACGCCGTCGGACGGACAGAGGGTCTTGTGCGGCCGTCCGCATGAGAATACCACTAGTATATATATATATATATATATATATATATATATATATTAGAGATCAAATACAAACTAGGCTTAACATGCTAACCTACAAACTAATCTCAGCCCTCCATTTTGATTAGATTACCGTGAAGTTGATTCCTTAATTGAGGGGTTTATTGGTCTTTTTCATTTATATTATTTTTGGAAAAAATAATCACTCCAGCTTTCCGTAACTGATTGCATCGGTTTCTTCCTTTTCCCCTGCCACGATCACCATCAACACATCCTTCTCCATTTCCATAACCACCTATTTCCCTTTCTTCTTTCATTCCAGCTTTTCCATCGATCGTGATTCGTCCATCAATATGTGATTACTCCAGGATATCAAAGCTTCTCTCCATGTCCATCTTCATCTCAAATTTAAGACAATATGATTAGTGTTTTTCTATTTGAATGCCATGGATTTTGCACACAGGGAGAACATAAGTTCTCAAATGCCATGGATTCCGACATAAAGTTGAATTGATATGCCGAATTTTTTTAATTCTTTTGTTTTGGTTTTCATATCAATTATTTTGCCCTAAATGGTCTTTTGTTTTGGTTTTCACTAAAATCTGTTGTGATTTTAGTGATATCTTTTTAATAAATTCTTCACATGGTTATCTCCTTCTCAAATCACTTCTTTGTCATATGAATATAATAGAATAATGAGGTAGTCATGTGAATTCTTTTTTTTACTATTTAGAACATGGTACTCATATATTATGCATTTTGTAATCCCTTGAATTGTGTATCCATGTCATTTGAATATGGAGTGCAGATATCATAATGATAAGATGCATGATACGAACTTTTAAAATGCACATGTCATCTTATTAAGGTGCACTTTTAATCTTACTAAAGTGCAGTATAAGAACTTCTAAGATGCACATATCATAATGATAAGATGCAGTATGAAATATTAAAGTGCACATATCATCTTAGTAAATTTCAATACACAAACTTCTAAAATGCACATGTCATAATGATAAAATTCAAATTCATATAATGTGACATGTTTTTCTTATATTATGCACTTCTACTAATATACCGTTTAAAACATGTTTCTCTTATATTATGCATAATGTGACATCATGAAATTTGTATGGATGTCAATTGAGTATACAATGCAAATGTCATAATGATAAGATGCAGCAAATTGTCTCATACGGTGCACATGGAATCTTACTACTAAAATGCAATACATGAATTTGTAAAATGCACGTGTCATAATGATAAAATCATGCAACATATAAACTATTAACATGCAAATGTCATAACTGAAAGATGCACTATGAACTTCTAAAATGCACATATTATATAAAATGAGACAATTATAGGGGTACAGAGAGAGTATTAAAGTGCACTTGTCATCTTACTAAAGTGCAATATACGAACTTCCAAAATGCACATGTCATAATAATAAAATGCAACATGTGAACTAAAAATGCAAATGTCATAACGATAAGATGCAGTATGAACTATTAAAGAGCACATATCATCTTACTTAAGTGCAATGTACGAACTTTTAAAATGCACATGTCATGATGATAAATGCAACATATGAAATCCTAAAATGAGCGTCGACATATTTTATAGCTATATACTTCTAATATAAGTTATGTAGATATTATTAATGTATAATGCACATCTTGCAATTTTAATATGCATATCACATGACATTAATATGCACATCATATAACCTTAATATGCGTATCACATAGCCTTATTATGCACTTCAAGTAAATACGTTGTGCTTCAAAATGGATAATTTATCATGAATCGTTTCATTCTATAAATTAACTTCTACAATTTAGACCTCTCCGACGTACCTTTTTATTATTAAAAAATAGAAAGTTAATTATGAAGTAATATCTTTCTTCTTTAATTAGAATTCATCATTCAAAAGTGGAAGGTTATTAATTGACGGTTAATTAAATAAGAGGTGTGAGTAAAATCAATGATTTCTTATCTCAAACCTTCCTAAATAAAAGAACGCATGTTGCTAGAGTACATCATTATTTAATGGGACGGCTTTGTTTTTGTTTTATTAAATTACCTCTATGACCTTTTAATTAACCAAATCATCTTATCCGTTTTTATCACATACGGTTGAGTGCAGCGTTTCATTAATGCATCCCACATGCATCAACCGTCCACATTTTAAATCCAGCGGATGTTGTTGGTTTGTAGGTTTGCACCGGAAGCTTGGTTTGCATGGGATCTCCCCCCAATATATAGGGAATAGATTTGGTGAGAAGCCTTCTACGGCTGAAAAGTGAGAATTCCCCCGATCATTAGATCCAATGTAATCTACGGTTGTAATTTAAATTTAAAATTAAAACAAAAGCAACCTAATAGCCACATAAGTTTTGGAAGCCAGGAAATATTTCTCTGCAACTGCTCAATAACCGAGACCCAGAAACTTCAAAAAACTTTGAATCTCTCTCGCAATCACTTCGAATACCTTCAATGGGAGTTCGAAGAGCTTGAATCAATCGCACTCCGCCGAAGTTGTGGTAGAATTCTCCGAACTTTGATGAACTTGAATCGACCGCACTCTGCCGAAGTTATGTCAGACACCTCTACGAACTTCAATCGATTGGTCTACTGCGAAGTTGTGTCAGGGTTCTTGACGAACTTCAATCGATCGGACTCCAACGAAGAATTGTCAGATTTGTCCGAACTTCAATCCACTGGAATCGGACATTGCCGAAGTTTTGCCAGACATCTCCGAAATTCTGCTTGTATCTTCAAAGGTAATTTTAGGGAATTCTATAAACTGCGACTCCTTTCATAAACTTCTTTCATTCAATTTCTAAATGCAGATTTAGGTTAACATATACATTTTCATGCATTCCAAGTAGCATATTTAGGTTAACTTATAGATTTTCATCCAGATTTGTTGAAGTCGGTTATAGAAAAATTTGGGGGAAACCTTTGGTTTTAATTTGCTATTTAGGAGTACAAGTATTTGAATAATTTATGGATTTTACAACTAAAACTTATTGTTTGAACAATATAGTTTGTTTAACTAGATACATTTAACTTTTAATAATATAATTTTAACTTTTAATTAGAAGTATATTTTATTCTGTTTGAAAAATAATTTCTCTAAATAATATCAACAACTTATCAGTTTTAGCAACTTTATAGCAAGCACATATCATATCATGTAGAAGTATTCTGTTTAGTCCTCACTTTTGTAAGAAGTTCTTGCACTCTAATTTATCTTAAAAGTTGCAGCAACTTGATTTAGACTAGACCTTCTACAAAGTATAAAGTAGTTCTATTTTCTTTTAAAAATGACATGTTACATATCAAAATCAACAACTTATCAGTTTTTGCGATGAAAAGTTACATATTTTTCTTACAGCCTATTAGCTCAATTGGAAGAGCATCGTGTGACCACACGAAGATGTGAGTTCGAATCCCACATGGGCTATCTCAACAAGTGGATCGATGATTTAATTTCTTCCAAACTTTAACTTCATGTAGATGCTCCATTTATTTTAATCGTAGAATCTAATAGATTGTGCATATGTCTTACTTAGAGTTGGGTTATTTTTAAGTTGAGTATGTTTAAGATGAAATATATTAACGCAATTGATCTTAGTTGAAGAATGGTATCCTGCCATTTATGTCCCCTTTGACCTTAGCCTCCACCTCTCTTCTTGATCAATAGTTAACCAGAGAATGAAGATCCAATGTGATGTCTGCAATAAAAAGAAAGTTTAACTTCTCTATGTGTTGCAGATGATGCTTGTTTGTTTCAGGGATGTGACCACAGAGTTCACTATGCTAACAAAGTTACTAGCAAACACCACGGGGTAACTCATCTCCACCTCTCCCCTCTGTGATATTTGCAAGGAGAGGAGGGCTTTCTTGTTCTACAACCAATAGAGTGAGATTGTGTTCAGACACCTCGTGCACTATGTTTCTTGATTTATTGTTATTGCTTTTATTTTCATTTGACCTGTGTAAATTCTTCGTCGTCTTCCTCTTCGACAAGGTGATTTTCTGTGATACCTGAAACAGAAGAAATTAATAGTTGCTTGTCCTCGGAAATATTTTCATCACTGGACGGTATCATGTCAAGCTCACTAACTGCACGGTCATGTGTGGGATCAGATCTCATCTCATCATTTACAGTTCGAGTGAATTCTCCGACATCATTAGCAATTCCTCCGGTTACCGCCTCCAAATGGTGGTTCAGGAATATCATAAACTGTCGGTGCTTCTTTAGGAGCCACACTGAGATCAGTGTGTTGAGGAAATTTAACAGGGGGCTGCAGGGGCATCCAAAACGGAGTTAATCAGGGCTGTGAGGGAACCAAAGAAGGCACCAACTTCATTATTAGGTCTCAAGGAGCTTGCACAAGGATCTGGAACCGCACCAACATTAGCCAAAACAGACGCAACACAAGGAGCAGCCTCAATTGCAGGGGCACATGAAGCACCAAGAGATGTAAGAGAGGCTGCCTGGTCATCATTAACTGGTACAAAGGCTTCCTGAGCATAAAAACAGGGAAAATATGGGCAGTGAGGACACCAGCCGAGGCACCAACATTTGGTATAGCAAAATCGCTGTCAGCAAATTCAATATCATTGGAAGGGGCTGTTATTGGGGACTGAACAGAAAAATTTCCAGTAACATTGGAACAAAAAACTGGTTGAGCATCAAGGAAGCTAACATCTTTAGAGGGGGGGTTCTGGTACTGCCAGACAGGGCACGATTGCATTTACAAGCATAGGGGCAGCAGGGAAATTCTCAAGCATAGGGACAACATTAAAATTATCAAGCACATGGGCAAGATTATCAGATATATGTGAGAAAAAGAAGTTTGAGGATGCAGGATAAGCGAAAAACACAAGCAGATACTGTGAGAAAAAGAAAAGGAAGGAATAAACAAGGAAAAAAAGTAGCAACTGCAACCATATACAGGCTATGCAGGACTTGAACCTGCATCTTTGTGCATATTTGCACATTGCTCTACCATTTGAGCTAATAGCCTTGATAATATATTATACTAGACACCAAAAAGAGCATTTAACATCACGAAAAAATAAAAAAGAAGAGAATGATCAATAATGTAATCAAGAGCTAACAATAACTTGTAAAAGAATGAGTGCAATATTTTAATATTGAATAACCTCTTAACTCAAAACTGAAGATTATTGTTTACACATTAAGATTCACTATCAAGGCAAAACTTTTACTCAAAATAATATAACTATTAATTCAAAAAGACATAACTTTTATTTCGAATTCATAGTTGATCATTTGCATTAGAAATAAAAGACATGCTGCCAAAGTTGAAAGTAAATCCAAAAGGTTGTAGTTGAGAATGACCTGGTAATTACTGAACTCTACCCCTTTCTTCATGGTCAAAACCATAAATCATATAAGAAGAATTATCACCTAGAAGATACAATAATCCATTAGTACACAATGATCTCAACCCCTGGATGGCAAAACATTGGAAAACAAACTAAAGCACCCCTATTACCATTCAATTTGGAAGCTCTTCTTTTGAGTTCTTAAATCAATTGTTTGGGTTTCCTAAATCAATCCAAAGGACATAATAAATTTAAATTAGTGATTTAAATTTGAGGTTCTCTGTCAACACACAACTAACTTGTAGTCAAATAACTATAACTATTAACTTAAAAGACATAACTTTTATTAAAAACTCATATGAGATCTAAAGTTTAGAACATCAAACTTTAACATAAATGTAAATTTAAGAGCATAAAAGTATAACTGAATAGATAAAGATTCAACAAGAAATTAGTCAATGAGTTTCATTTGTTATTCATAAATTTATACTCTACACTCAAATGAATCATATTACCGTTTACACATTCTATCAAACACTTGATATGCATAACTAGAATTCATTATTTATTTAGGATATTAAACCTCAATAAAGAATAGGCTACAATGAAATATCTTTTATTAATGTGCAACATAATTATAGATTCGATTCAGATGTGACAACAAATCAAGAAGGAAAAGTATGAAACAAAACTTTTGCAGATAAGGGAAGAGTTTAGTACTTCAATTAGGGAAAAAAAAGTTGATTCAGAGCTTCGATCTCTCCTATAGTCAATCATCATCACTAGGAATTGGTCTTGTATGGCGTTGCAGCTCACTAGACGCACTAGGTGATAGATCGAAGTGGACAAGGAAGGGCGAGCGATCGTTGTCACTTAAACGATGGCTATCTTCCTCCGCGAGCGGCTATTCATAGCCGGAGAACTCGACGATAACTCATCGTTAACTTTCTGGAATGAATCCGCCTAGGGGGTCGCCATCACAACATGATTGGTTTGAAGAAGGAGATCTGGAGAAGCTCAGAAGCGGTGAGAAGAAAGAGAATGATACAGATGAGCGGAATATTTTTAATTAAAGGGTAGAGGTTTTACGGATCTAATAAAGGTATGAAGTTAACACAAATTACAACTTTTCCATTAATGAGACCGCTGCATCTAAGTAAATCGAACGGCTCATAACCCTTCTCATTTTTCAGCTGAAAGGTCACTTCTCACCAAATCCTTTTTCTATATATATATATATATATAGGTTTTGGTTCAAATAA